TTCTGGGAGGGCAGAGTGGACAGTGGGAGGCAAAAACGCCTGTGATAAGGCTGGTGTGGCCCAGGCCTGGGGCCGCCAGGAGGCTCCCCCGCCAGGGCACTCACAGTGGGGAGTCAGCCCACGGCCCCCTCCTCTGCCTGCGCCGGGAGCTCCCAGTCAGGGCGGGGCCCTGCGCTAGAGCAGGGCGCCCATCTGGAGTGGCATAGCTGGAAGGCAGTCGCCCCCGGGAAGGCCTCGCAGAATTCGTCTGGAGTCTGTCTCCCTTCTCCTTATTTTAGAATCTGCCTTTCCTGAACGTGACAGGCTTTTAGCAGCTTCTCAAGGAACTCTGCTTGGCAGGCACCCGTGCGGCACCTGCAGATCAGCCCCGCACGCGGAAGCCAAGGAGAACCGCTCTGCTTTGGAAATACACTCGGGCCCAGAGCTATTTCCGAAGGGTGTGGAGTCGCACCCCTCAAGAAAAAGAAACGTGCCAGGCCGAGTGTTGGGGTGCTGCGGCTAAGGCGCTGCTGGGGTGCTCCCCCACCCCCGTCCCGTGCCTGGGGTCCAGTCTCGTCTCTGCTCCCACTCCAGCTTCCCCCTCATGTTCGCATACAGGGCCCCTGTATCCGCATGGGCACCCCAGCTTCTGCCCAGCCCAACCCTGGCTGCCAGAGGCTTGTGGGAGTGGCCGGAGGGTGGGGGTTGAAGAGGCCAGAGGGCGGGAGAGTGCAGTGTGGAGCTGCCTGTTGAGTTGCCACCGGGATAGCTGTGCCCTGTGAGGGGCGGAACCTCTCCCTGCAACACAGACCTGTCAGGCCAGCAGGCAGGAGCAGCCCAGCATCTGCTCTGACCCCTTGGTGTGGGCCTGCGGCCTCTGCTGTCCCTGAGTGCTTGATGGCCCCAGGGTGAGTCCGTAATTCGTCTTCTGAAGCCAGCCGTGGGTGCCTCATCCCTGGCGTGGAGGTATCTGCCACACAGCCCTGGCCCCCACTGGTCTGTTTCCACCAGCATTTGAAGCGTGCTACCCTGTTTCCGCCCCGCAGGCCGAGCTGCCTGCGCCGTCTTTCCCACTAGCCGCTGGGTGCAGCAAGAGGAGCCGTGAGTGTGGCTCTGCCGGGGTGGCTGTCTGCAGGCCCTGAGCACTGGCCATGGCAGTAGGTTGGCTGCCCTGCGCTTCAGAGCCAACTGCACACGTCCTGTGTTGGCTTTTGTTTCCATGTCATATACTGAACAAGCGCCTTACTAAAGCCTAGTCTGTGTGAACATTCTCACCTCCTCAGCAGTGCAGGGGCTGCAGCCCCTTCCGCTCCGTGTACTCCCTGCTGACCCCAGGTGCCCAAGCTGCCCCTGCACCGTGGGCCTCGCACCAAGCTCCCTCTGCTGCTCCGGCCCTTCCCCCGCACTCACCCTGCTCCTCACCGCCTCCTGCCTCCCGGGGCTTTCTTCTTTGTCCCTACAGCGAGCCCCCTGGGGCAGGTCTGCTTCCGAATGTCTGTGTGTGCTTGCAATGCCATCACTTCCCCTTTGCTTACACCTGTGATAGCATTGCTGAGATGCGTTCTGTTCGTGGGGTTCTTGGCACCTCTCTCTCAGCACTCCTCAAGGCCGTGTTGCCCCCAGACGGAGGCAGCCTCGGAGATGCCTTTCTTGTTACACCTTAGGTCTCAGGCTCCCTGGAGTGGGGACAGGGTCTGGGTTCCCTGGGTGGGGAAGCCCTGGAGCTCTGCCCACGTGGAGCGCATCAGCGCACCATTGCGTTTCCTTGTGGCCCGCTGTTCGGAGTGCCAGCTGGTCCCGCCTGCTGATGGGCACCGAGATGGTCTCCATTAGTGACCACAGCTGCTGAGCAGATCCACATATAGGCCTTGACATGCAAATCCATGTCCGTCTCTCCTGGAGGAACGGGTCGCACAAGCCTGTGTCATACACGTGGCTAGCTAAGGCATTCACACCCCCTCGGGGAGCAGCCCCGCGGGAGCTGGGCCTGTGGACATGCTGGCCAGAGGGCTGCCGCCTCCCGACTCCCTGATCTACCCTTGAACCACAGCTTTTGGTACTTCTCTTAAAATCAGCCCTTGGTTAACATCCACTGTATGACTGGTGGGTGTCCCAGGGAGCTCTAGGAAGGCCAGTGGCATCCTGGGCACCCTGAAGCCTGCAGCAGCCAGCGATGGCCAGACGGCACCTGGGGCCTGCGCGTGGCGTCCATGAGGGTCAGGGGCAGAGGGGGAAGGAGATTGTTTGCTCTGGAAGGCTTGGAGGGGAGGAGTCAGGCTCAGTTCCACACTAATGGGCTGACTGGTCTGAGGGACATAGACCAGGACTTGTCCCGATTGTCACATGTCGCTGGTTCCTCTATCCACAGACACCAGAGTGGATTTGAAGGGCAGTTCTCCACGCCTCTGGAGGGTCTGAGCCCTGGGACCCAGCATGGGCTGTGGCACTGTCACCTGACTCCCAGGTCAGTCCCAGTTTGGGCTGACCATGGCTACATGTTTGGCTCTGATTCTGACAGCTGCTGCACTGCCTGCAGCAGGGCTGTCCAGCAGGGACTCTGTCTCTCTCTCTCTCTCACACACACACACACACACACACACACACACACGTATACACCAGCTCCCTGCAGCAGGGCTGTCCGGCAGGAACTCTGTCACACACACACACACACACACACACACACACACACACACACGTATACACCAGCTCCCTGCAGCAGGGCTGTCCGGCAGGGACTCTGTCACACACACACACACACACACACACACACACACGTATACACCAGCTCCCTGCAGCAGGGCTGTCCGGCAGGGACTCTGTCACACACACACACACACACACACACACACACACACGTATACACCAGCTCCCTGCAGCAGGGCTGTCCGGCAGGGACTCTGTCACACACACACACACACACACACACACGTATACACCAGCTCCCTGCAGCAGGGCTGTCCGGCAGGGACTCTGTCACACACACACATGCAGCCACATGACACAGCCATTGACATCCTCACATGCACAGGCAGAGCCCCTGCCCACCGTGCCAGCCCCAGCCCCCACCTCCCTGGCATCACCCAGGGCTGAGGACGAGGAGGCCAGGGAATCAGGGTTTGTGTATCCCGTCATGTGGTGGGGGACACTGATGACGCGGTGTCGCCTCTGAGCTGTGAAGGCAGGAGTGTCCCCGCTGCGCCTCTGGAGGACATGCAGGGCTGAGCCGAGCACACGGGGAGCAGAGCTGGAGGCTGAGCTTGGTGCCTGCCCTTTGCCACCGTGCGCTGTGGCTCTGCCATCTCTGTCCACATGTGGGCATATACTGGCAGAGTGGGGATGTAGAGGCCCAGTGGGAACTCGCTTGAGCCCAGCGAGGCAGCCTGCAAGTCGCAGTTTGTCACCTCAGCGTGTGTAGACTGCCCGACAGGCGGCTCTGACCCTCCTCTCTCACACATTGTGGCTCTGGGGTTTGCGCCTCCCAGGCCTGGCCATGCCTCAGGTAGCTAGGGCCTGTGTGTGGGGCCCTGTGTGTGGCAGCTGCGTGTTGTGCATCGGAAGGATTTCAGCATGTCCGTTTCCCGTTGGCCGAGGGGGGTTCTGCTGGCAAGCTGACCCCTGAGGGCTGCATGGCCCTGGACATCCTGCGGACCCGTCCCCTGCAAGCTGGTCCTCAGTGAGTGACCTGAGGCTGGCCCCGGGCTGTAGGTGTTTCCTGAAAAATGGCCTCTCTCTGGAGGGGTTGCCTGCCCAGAGGAGCGCTGCAGGAGGGGTGCTTGAGGGCCCCTGTCTGCGTGCCGGGGCTTTGCGTGGGGAAATAAGTCTCCCTGTTAAGGTGACGGGGAACCCTCTCTGTCTCAGATTCTGCTCTGGTCTCACTTGCTCATCCTGTCCCTGGCCCTGTGGGAGTCAGCCCTTCATCACTGTGACCAGCACCCTGAGGGGAGCCGCTGCAGGGGCGTGGTGGGGGTCGGGGTTCATGCTGGCCACAGTCTGGCAGCTGGCATCTTGTGGGGGCAGGAGAGGGAAGAGGGAGGGTTGGCTGCAGGGAGGGCGTGGAGCTCAACTCAGCTCTGCCACCACCCCCATTTGTCGGGGACACTTCCTGCCCTGGCCACCAAAGAGCCATCATGCCAAGCTTAGGGTGTACACACTGTATGTGCTGTTCCAGGGCACCAGGAAGGCTGTCTGTGGCGCATGGACCGCGCGAGCTTACACGCAGCAGGCATGCTGGGCAGGCGTCCAGCCCAACTCCCTCTGAGTGTTCTTAGCAGAAAGGCGGCGCCGTCAGAGGGTGTTGGGGACGGGGATCTAACCCATGCGATCCGGGGCTCGGGGATCACACGCTCATGTCCAAACCACATCACTGTGAACATTTCCTTCTGGGAGAAGAGAAAAGGTGTTTTTCTGTCAGATATAATTAAACCTGCTGCAGAGCAGAAGGGAGCATGCCACGTGCTCCCTGCAGGTGGGTCCTGCGGGGCCTGGCCGGGCCGTCCACTGGCAGGCAGGTGGGTCCTGCGGGGCCTGGCCGGGCCGTCCACTGGCAGGCAGGTGGGTCCTGCGGGGCCTGGCCGGGCAGGTGGGTCCTGCGGGGCCTGGCCGGGCCGTCCACTGGCGGGCAGGTGGGTCCTGCGGGGCCTGGCTGGGCCGTCCACTGGCGGGCAGGTGGGTCCTGCGGGACCGTCCCTGGGCCCTCCCGGCTCCCAGTAGAGAACAGCAGTATTCTCACCACCTGTGCTCCCAATCCTTGCCTGCGGGTTTCTGGCACATTCCGTGTGCACATGTCCGTGGACACATGGGGTCACTCCTCCGGGGCAGCAGTCATCCTGTTGTGAGGGAACAATGCAGGGTCGGTACCCCTGGAGCCAGTCAGGTCCCCTGAGGTGACTGTGGAGTGGAGTGGAGGAGGCTGTGCTTTTGGGGTGTGAGCTAGAAACGACTCCTCCTCTGGGTGGAGCTGCTGGTCCCCGGCTCCCGCTGATGACCAGGCCACCCGTGACGGAGGTGCCCCTGTCTCCTAGAATTCCCGGGCGGCTCAATGACAGGAGGACACCACTGGGTGAGCTCAACTGGATTTTCACAGCCATCACAGACACCATTGCCTGGAACGTGCTTCCCCGGGGTAAGGCTGCCCGCTGCCCGGTGGCGTGGCGTGGAGGTTGAGGGGGGCAGGTGGCGCGGTTCCCAGGGCAGCTCCAGTGTGGGGCACAGCGCCGCCATGCGCAGTGTCCCGGGCCATACTGTGTGGTCTTTCTGGGCGTCTTCGGGGCAGGTGCAGGCCCAGTCTGTCTTTCTGTTCCCTGCTTGCTGGTTGGTTTGGGGGTGCGTGTTCCTGCCTGTAGGGCCCGTCCTCGGGTGTTGCTCTTGATCTGCCCATGTCCCTGTCGCTGTTGCTGGTAATTGTGGTGTGTTTGGAGTTGGATGCTGATCCCTGAAGACCCCTCCCTCTCTGTCTGCCTTCAGATCTCTTCCAGAAGCTCTTCCGGCAGGACCTGCTCGTGGCAAGTCTGTTTCGAAATTTTCTGCTGGCCGAGAGGATCATGAGGTCGTACAACTGCACGCCGGTCAGCAGCCCCCGGCTGCCCCCGACCTACATGCATGCCATGTGGTGAGTCTGCGGCTGGACACGGGCCCGGCGGCCTGCTTCCCCCACACTGCTGGAGTGCAAATGTGCGGCAGCGTAGGGAGCTCTAACACAAACCTGTGTGACTTCAGCCAGGCTGTGCAAGTCCTTCTGGAATGGGGTGGTGACCAGTGTCCTGCCAGAGTGGCATCGTGTGGGGAGGGGGATCCTGGCCTTGCAGACTAGCATTGGACGAGCTACCAGCTGCACCCATGAGGCGTGTCTGTGATTGCCCAGAGCCTCAAGACTGGTCAGCCCACGAAAAGTTAATCTGCACATGCATGCACACCCCATCGTGTATGATGGCTGTATCCTCACACACACACACACACCCCATCGTGTGTGATGGCTGTATCCTCACACACACACACACACACACACACACACACACACACACACACACACCTCATCGTGTGTGATGGCCATTGATAACCCACCAGCAGTGGCAGAAGCAGCAGTCCTGGCACGGTTGGTTTTTCTTTTTTTTTCTTTTTTAAAGATTTATTTATTTTTATTACAAAGTCAGATATACAGAGAGGAGGAGAGATAGAGAGAAAGATCTTCTGTCCGATGATTCACTCCCCAAGTGAGCGCAATGGCCGGTGCTATGGCGATCCAAAGCCAGGAGCCAGGAACTTCGTCCAGGTCTCCCACATGGGTGCAGAATCCCAAGGCTTTAGGCCGTCCTCCACTGCTTTCCCAGGCCACAGGCAGGGAGCTGGATGGGAAGTGGAGCTGCCGGGATTAGAACTGGCGCCCATGTGGGATCCCAGCGTGTTCAAGGCGAGGACTCTAGTTGCTAGGCCACGCCACCAGGCCCGCAGTTGGTTTTTCATCTAGACATGGGCCCTACAGACGCTGGGTTCCTTCTTCTTGTGTTGCTCTCCTAACATGAGCAGCGTCTGGGAGCATCTAAACTGGGGCAATAACAGAGGAAAGGTGCTAAGCCCTGCCGCTAATACTTTAAAGGAGTGAGTCATCTGTATGTGGCCTTAAAAACCACTATAGGCAGCTTGATTTGGGCTGGTGGGCTTTTGTTTTGTTTTGAATATACTTGACCAAGTTTCCCCCGATGTGGAAACCCGAGGGGACAAGAAGGGAGTTGCCAGCTCGTTGTCCATCCCCCGGAGAACACGGCCAGCACTGGGCCGGGGAGGCTGAGCCAGAGTCCAGGACGCGGGTGTGCGGCGACAAGGACGCTCAAATAGACTCTGATGCATGACAACCTAAATCATGTATAAACAGTGCGGGCCACGCTTTCCTCACGCCCAGTGCTCCGTGAGTCGTGGAGTCACAGGAGGAGCTATGTCAGAAGCCTCGGTCATCTGTAGGATCCGTTTAGAATGAATGCTTTTCATTCATTTTCACTTTCAAGGAGCAGACATCCTTGGGGGAGTGTGTCTTCAAATCAGCCTTGTTCCCCTAAGAAAAGCCCCGTCTGTCTCCTGAGGCAAGAGTAGCTGAAAATCTACCGTGAGAGGAGGGAGGGAGGGTGGACAGAGGGGCCTGGCGGGCACCTGGGAGCGAGTGGACACAGAGGTCGTTGAGGTGGGGCACAGACACATCCGCCACCCCCTCCAGTTCCCCTAGAAATACGTTGTGTGGTATTGGTTCTCTTTAGAGTGCCAGCTTTGTGGTGAAGTGGAATTCAGGTTATCCTGGTATAATAAGGGGCTCATGGGTTTCAAAGATTTTTGCATCAAAGTCTCCCGTGACCTTTCTGAGGCAGCCTTGTATGTTTGTCTGGTGTAAGAACGCCTCCTGGGCTGTGCTGAGCCACATCGGGTTTAAACAGGAAGAGAAAGAGGATCGGCCGCTTGAGATGGAGTCCAGAACCAGAGCCAGACATGGAGCAGGAAGCAGGCGAGATGGCCAGTTAACAGCTGTGCACTGAGGCGAGAACTCCAAGGGTGTCCCAGCACCTGCGCCTGGACCTCCTTCCTATGTCGGGCACTGCACCCAGGCTGGCATGCACCTCGAAGGCCTGCGGGGAAGCGGGGTCAGCCTCTAAGTCCCTTCCCGCGTACCTGCTTCTACTTGCGGCCTGGGCTGGGCAGAAAGGGCCAGCTGTGCGGTGCCAGAACCCAGGCTCCTGCCCCTACTGTGCGGTGCCAATGCTGCAGGCGCTCTGCCCGCAGTACTGCCCCACACACAGGCACATTCACTCCTTTATCTCTGCCTTTCTTCAGCCAGAAAGTGCCTCTGTCCAGTCGGTTCTGCTGAGACCTGGGGCTGTCCCCGACATGGCAGTCAGCGGCACCCCAGCCTCTGGGGAGGGGAGGCCCAGGCCTCCAGCCCAGGCAGTGATGCTCGGCCCGGGTGGGCGAGGTGGGCTTCTCGGATGAGAGGAGAGAGCAAGCAGAAGGAGGCCCACACGGGCAGCCAGCTATGTGCCATCCCCACAGGTGCCTTGGCACAACTGTGGACTCCACCACCCCCTGGGCACCTGCCTTGCCATCCTGCCTTGTCTTGGTCTGCCTTTTCCTTGTAAACCCACACCGTAAAGGTGTGTGCTGTGTTGGCAGTGACATGAGGGCAAAGAAGCCTTCCGCCCCATCAGCGTCACGGGGCAGAATAGACAGAACACGGACATCTGGCCACAGCCTGGGCTCGCTGCAGCAACAGTGACGGGCCCCGGAGAGCACATGAAATGAAACAGATTGGCACTGAAAGGGAAAAAAATCGAATTCACAAATTACAGACAGACAAGGACGCTGCCCAGGCACCACAAGGCAGCTGACAGCAGCTAGACAAGAAGGGGAGAGGGCGGCCACTGCCGGGGGATGTGCTCCCATTGCTGCGCACCCGTGGCTGCTGTGGCCACAGCCTGCTGAGCACCTGGCAGCGTTCTGCCAGGCTCTCGGCACTCCAGCTGCCAGTGGGCACAGCCTGTAAGGCTCATGGCACTCCAGCTGCCAGAGGCACCTTCGGCCTTTTGTAGCGTGGCTAGGCTGTCATCCTCTGACCCCTGGGGCAAGGACCATACCATGGGGCGTGGTTGCAGGCTCCCGTGGAGTCTTTGCCACCAGGAGCCCCTTGCAAGGGCCAAGAATTTACCAGCTATGCTGGAAGCGAGCCCCCGGGGGGCACTGACGGATGGGGGTGCTGGCCTGGGAAAATGACCAGAAGGTGCTAACAGGACAGTGCTAATCTCAGTGCCTGCTGGCTGGCCCCCTGTGTGCCCAGCTAGCTTCCTCTGTGCCCAGCTAGCCCCCTCTGTGCCCAGCTTGTTCTGTCACAGAAGTGCTAGGCCGACACACCTGCGCTGGGGGTGCAGCGTTGTGTCTGACAGCGAAGAGGCTGGGCAGCCTGCCAACATGTGAGTGTGCGGGCTGACGGCCCTGCTGCGCCTGCGCTCGGCTCGCGAGCAGCGTCTCCCTCCCCACGCGGAGCAAGGTGGAACCGGGGTCTCTGGTCGCTGTAATGTAAGGCCTACCTGTGGACTGTCTAAGCCTCTCTTAGACATTTTAAAAAACTGAATCATGATAGTTAAGGCATTATCAGCTGTAAATACAAAACTGAGGACCAATGGAAGTCGCAATTGGTACTTCTTAACATGAAAAACATTAACTGGGATCCCCTAAGGTTCATTGCTTGATCTAGTTAATGTTTTTTAACTGATGAAGAAAGAGGTCATTAAAATCTGACGTGGAAAAGAACCTGCATGCCTTAGCTGCAGGCTGTGTGAGGCTGCTCTGCAGCAAGTCGCTGCTCCCCACCCCACCCCCAGGTACAGGTGCTGGGCAGAGCAGGCCTGGGCAGGGCAGGGCAGGGCAGGGCTGGGCAGAGCAGGGCTGGGCAGGGCTAGGCTGGGCAGAGCAGGGCTGGGCAGGGCTAGGCTGGGCAGAGCAGGGCTGGGCAGGGCTAGGCTGGGCAGAGCAGGGCTGGGCAGGGCTAGGCTGGGCAGAGCAGGGCTGCGCAGTGCAGGGCAGGGCTGGGCAGAGCAGGGCTGGGCAGAGCAGGGCTGGGCAAGGCAGGCCTGGGCAGGGCTGGGCAGGGCTAGGCTGGGCAGAGCAGGGCTGCGCAGTGCAGGGCAGGGCTGGGCAGAGCAGGGCTGGGCAGAGCAGGGCTGGGCAAGGCAGGGCTGGGCTAGGCTGGGCAGAGCAGGGCTGGGCAAGGCAGGGCTGGGCTAGGCTGGGCAGAGCAGGGCTGGGCAGAGCAGGGCTGGGCAAGGCAGGGCAGAGCAGGGCTGGGCTAGGCTGGGCTAGGCTGGGCAGGGCAGGCCAGGAAAAGGCTGAGGGGAGACTGCAGGAGAGGCCGCTGTGGTGCTCATGGGCTGGGGCTGAGCTCCCTCCAGGCCTTGGCCTCTGAGGGAATTGAGGGAATCAAGAGGGACAGCTTCTCTTGAGAGCTCTTGGAGCAGACACCTGAGGAGCTGCGGTCAGCGCGCTTCCCCGAGGTGTCGCATGGTGCCACCTCCCCACCACCTCCAGCCTGGAGCTGCCCTTGGTCCTCTCCAGACCCATCCCTGCTTCCGGCAGGGTCCCTAGCACCAGGAGACCAAGCTGGGCAGCTGAGGAACAGCTCTGAGGGGCAGGGCCTGGAGAAGGGAGCGTGCTGCAGGAAGGAGCCTCCTGTGGGTGAGGATAGTACCATGGGGGGTGCACACTCCAGGCTCCCCAGGCTCCCAGGGTGATGAGGCGTGGGTGAGGATAGCACTGTGTGGGGAGGGCGGGCCCCCAGGGAGCGCAGGTGAGGCAAAAGACAGTAAGCGCATCGCATCCTTTAGAATCTCTGTAAGGAGTCCTTGTGTGGTGGGTGGGGTGAGAGGTTGCATTTTTAGCAGGGGGAAAGGGGAACAAGCCTAACAAAAAATTGAGGTTAAAACAAAGAAATGCACATTGGTGCCCGGCTGACGGGGAGGGGGTGGTGGGGGCACAGGGCGACTCTCTCATTTTTGATGCAAAGCCATAGGGAGCTGCTCTCCCTCCCTTCCCATTCCGGGCTCCTGCAACCTTGCATTTGTCTGCAGTAGTGACCTATGCTTTCTGCTCCCTGGTGGCTCGGTGCCTGGCTGGGCTCCCCTGCAGCCCACCCCAGCCCACCCCAGGCCACCTCTCCTGCCTGCCGTCTGAGCAGCCCAGCACTTCTGAGGAAGCCCCCTTGCTCCGGGCTTCAGGGGCAGAGGAGGAGCTTCAGATCAGTGAAGAGGGTGGGCACAGCCCCTCCCCCACTCCAGCTCTCTGCCCTGCCTCTCCTCACCTGCCCTGCCCTTCCCCCGCTCCTCACTGACTGCCCTGCCCCTTCCCTCTCCTCCTCACTGACTGCTCCTCCCCTCCCCCTGCCCTTCCCCCCTCACTGCCTGCCCCTCCCCCTCCCCGCCTGCCCCTCCCCCTCCCCTGCCCTGTCCCCCTCCTCACTGCCTGCCCCTCCTGGCCCTGCTCCCCAGGACTGTGGGACGTGCTAAGCCAGAAAGCTCCCTGGCAGCACCAGCCCAGAGGTCTCACCTTGTGGTCTCGCACTTCGATGGGACCCCCTTCCCCATCACCCCTAGCTGAGACTCTCAAATGAAGACTGCAGGTTCATTTCAGGTGCATCCCGTTGTAGCCGGCTAGCGCTGCGCTCTCAGAGCACTCTGCTCAGAGCTGTGGCCGTCCAGCCTTACCCGATGGTTCTCAGCACCCTCTCATCTGGCCCTTGGCTTTGGTGAAAATGGTGATGAGCAAGTGCCAGCTAGAGGCCCAGAGTGCCCAGCGTGCCCACTGCCCTGCCCGTCCTCTGCTCCAAGGCATCTGTCATGGGCGCTGTGCTGGATGCCCCCTCTTCCTGCCCTGCACGTCCCTTCAGCACGCCATCTGCCCGTCCCCGCAGGCCTGCTGACTGAGCAGCTCAGAGCGTGTGGCCAAGCCAGCTGTCAGGCCTGTGGGCACAGATCCCTGTGGCCCTCTGCCTTCCTCCTCCGCACACAGCTGGAAACAAGCCACGCCCTGAGAAGCATCTTCTAGAAGCGAAGGGGAGAGCTCTGTGTGGGGAGTGCGGGGCAGAGTGAGTGCCCTGGCTGAGCGCTGGCTGAGCCCTGCCCCAGGACAGCTCTGTGCTGGCCCTTGCCCGGCAGTAGCTGTGGGGCCTTTGTGTGACCTCAGAGCCTCCCTAGGACCCCAGGAGGATGAGGCCAGTAGCACCCATTGTACAGGTGGTGAAACTGACCTTAGCAAGTGGCACCATGGGTGCCACGGCCCCAACACTGGGCCCTGTTGTGCCACCACCAGGTGCCACCCCCTCCCCAGGCCTTGACCTGCAGAAAGGAGCCAGCCCACATACCCACCTGTCACCCACGCCAGCCCACTGTCTAGGCAGAGAGGTGGCTTTCCTTTTGTCTTGCACTCTAGCTCAGCAGATGTTTGTTGAGAACCTACTGTGTGCTGGGCCCAGGCGTGCAGTTGGCTGTGCAGGGACATCAGGAACTGGCCTGGGTGCCCTGGGACCAGCCTCAGAAACAGGGAGCAGGCGGGCTTTGTCTCCACTTGCAGTGCTCTTGGTGAAGCTGCAGGTCTGAGGCCCCAGTGGGGCCCACTCCATTGTGGAGGTGACACCCCAACTGCCAGGTGACTGACCAGACCTGGACTGCTGGCTAGCTCCCCAACACCCAGGAGAGCCCCAGTGACTCATGCCACCAGGGCAACCTGAACTGGGAGTAATGGGCTACAGTGCGCAGGGAGGCCTTTCCCCTACCATGTCCCCAGTCCTGCCGAGTCCCCCCAGGCAAGGCCCTTACTGCCCACTGCCCACCAGCAGGCTACAGCGCCCAGTCTGTTTTGCTGCTACCAGACCTCAGAATCTGCTGCTGGTTGGACCCTGCTGGAGCAGGCCATGCTGAGTGGCCCGGGCTGGGCCCACAGCTCATCAAGGCGCTGGTTCCATCAGGCGTTGATCTCGCTCCACCAGCCAGGAGACAGCCATGGGGACATCCCACAGGGAGCCTGTGCTGCTGCTGCACTCTGTTGGTCGGAAAAGAATTCGACGTTAAAACTTCATAGAAAGAAATCATTCATACTCTGAGGAAGATGGGGGGCTCCCTCTTTGAACTTTGACCCCCCTGGTGTCAATCCCAAGTTCCCACATTCCCCAGAAGGGCCACAGAGCAGGCCACCTGCAAACCTGTGTGTCACCGTCCCCAGGTTATGTAGGATTTGTTTGTGAAGCTGCAGAAATCACTCTGTAATGGACTTGCTTGAGGACAGGACCCTGCGGGCTGGCGCAGGTGGCTGCCTGGCAGTGGGGCGTGGACCCTGCGCCTGGCGGTGGGGCGTGGGTGTGCTGCCACCTGGACTTGCACACCACCACCTCCCTCACATAGGTGCCCCCAAGGGCCCTGGGCGAGTGGACACTGGGCTGCAGGACAGGAGTCCATAGCCAGGTCCCACACTGCCTGGCCCGGGGGGACCACCAATGCTTGGTGGCCCCTTGCTCCCGTGGCCTTCTGCCCTGGACACTCCCGGCACAACCAGCCATGGGCCCCCACACCTTCACTGGCCTGAGCCTGCCACCCTGCTCCGCTCACCAGCCTGCTGCTCTGTGCTCTCCTGACAGGCAAGCCTGGGACCTGGCCGTGGACATCTGTCTGTCGCAGCTGCCAACCATCATTGACGAAGGCACCGCGTTCAGGGTGAGTCTGGGCCAGGAACAACAGAAGCTCATCCATGCTGGAAAGACTAGGATGGCCAGGGCACGAAGCTTGGTTTTGAAATGGTCAACTTTTAAAAGGCACCTTGTCTGAAAATCTGGCTCCCCTGGATCTGCCCCCGCAGGTCACCATGTTCCTGGTGACGCGATCCCCGTGACCCTGGCAGGCTCTGGACCCAAGACACGAGTTTGCAGTCCTGGCCTGGGCGTGTGGGCGACTGCATGGACTGCCCCGTGCAGGGGCCTCGTCTTCCTCGTGGGCCCGCCTGTCAGTCTGGCGTCTGCCCCCGGCTTCTCGTCCCTCAGGGATGAGAAGGGTGAGCATAGATGAGTGACGCCCAGACCTGTTGCCCAGGGGTGGGGCTCAGCGTCAGCCAGGGGTGCAGGCACAAGGGCTTGGGTGGTCCAGGCTGTCCCTGAGGCTGAGCTGTCAGCCATCGTCAGAGAGGGAGGCCAGGCTAGGACCAAGGCCTTTGCCCCACACACTCCCCTGCAGCCCTGCCGAGAAGACTGGCGGGGGCCAACTGCACTGCCTTGGGTGACGTAGGGACCCCCTACGCCCCAACTTCCTCACCTTAAAGGGAGGGCTTGAGGGTGTCCGATCGACAGTTTCTGCAGCTGAAAGTCATGGGGACAAGGCTGCATGTGGCCAGGTCTGCACGCAGAACACCCCAGCCCAGCCCACGCTGCGCTGTTCCCAGTGGACGGCAGTCACGGCGAAGCCTCTGACCTGCCGTGTGTGGGGAGCACGTGTGTGCCGGAGGTGGGGTCAGCAAGGCAAAGCATCTTTCATGAGAACCCCCCACATGTCTTACACTGTCTCCCTGCATTGTATTTAAAATTTCAAATCTAGAGCAAATAGGAAGGATTTTCAGTCTGGTGTGTTTGTGACTTGGTCCTACCATCGTCCGCACTGGCTACCACATGTCCGTCTGTCCCTGTCTGTCTGCTCACCCATTTCTGCGCAGCCATCACTGTCACTCCTCTCCCTGTTTGCTTCTTTCCTCTGTCTGTCCTCCATCTGTCCACCGTTTTTTCTCTTGTATTGGTAAGTGCCAGTGGCTGCCCGGAACCTCTGCCCTCTGTGTGCAGCAGGCCTTGTCTTCCCTGCCCCATGGCCCATGTGATGTACCCACTGCTGTAGTGCCCTCTGTTGGCTTCTGGACCTGAGGTCCGGCTGCCTTCCTGGTGTAAGGTCATGGGCAGGGCAAGCGTCCCTCGGTGGAGAAAGATGTGTGGTCCCCAGGGAACCCCCGCCCTTTGCACACACTGATGCCCCCGGCCTGAGCCATCCTGGGCAAGACAGCCTGCTGGGGCATCCTCTGCTCTCGTCCTTTTTGCCACTTGGTCACATTTTCTTTAGCGTTCATGGTTAGGGATACTAGCCCCGGCTGCTGGACGTCAGGGCTTGTTTGCGATGCACCGCCCTGAGCTGGCCTTCTCTCCAGTCCAGGGCGCGGGTGTGTGCCCTTCCCGCCCAGCCTTGCAGTGCCGCGGGCCTGGTGCGCGGGCAGGAGAGCTGTGCCGGAGTCCAGCTCCAGCCGAGTTTGGAACTTGAGAAGGGTGCATGGAGAAGGCGTAGAAAGGAAGCAGACCACTACAATCCAGGATCGTAACGGGCAGTGTCCTCTTCTGCAGAAGCTGTCACAGACACTGGCACCAACTTTTCATGCCTGGTCAAGCGGGCATTCCTAAGGGTAGTTCTGCCAATTGTTTCATCTTGAGGCAGGATACCACGTCCTGATCCTGTGGTCAGCAAGTTCTCAGTAGATGGCACACAGCACTCAGTGACACAGTCCTACTACCATCCTCATTCCACAGCTCAGTCTTGAGTCAGTTAAGGGAGGAAATGCATCACAGAAGGAGCCTAAAGATCAAGGAAAGCGGAAAGAATAGATTCCCACTACACCTGGGGACGGAACGCCCTTGATTAGCATGTGGTCAGTGCGGGCAGTGGAGACAGCAGGAACAGTAAAAGGCCCTTTTGCTAAGACACTATCAGCAACATCAGCTTTCAACTCACATTGATAGTAAAGACCAACTCCGCAGAGGCAGACAATGCCTAACTAGATGACAAACTCAGCGGGGCTGTGCGGTGTCCATGCAAGGGAGGTGAACTGCCTTCAGGTGGATGCAGAGACATCCACCAGGCCTTCCCATGCAGCAGGAAATTCCTTACGGCCCTGCCTGCAGTGGAGCAATTTTCTTCACATCTTTGTGTCTTCCACACCCACTGCACAGACCCCAGCAGCCATGGTCCCCCAGGACCTTTTCATTGTCCCCATGCAGGATGGCCGTGGTCCCCTAACCCTTCCGCCTTGTCCCCATCCATGCAGCGTGGCCGTGGTCCCCTAACCCTTCCGCCTTGTCCCGTGCAGCATGGCCGTGGTCCCCTAACCCTTCCCCCTTGTCCCCATCCATGCAGCGTGGCCGTGGTCCCCCTGAGCCCTCTGCTTCCATGTGGATTATGTGCTTTTCTTCCCGCCGAGAACCTCCCAGGGTTTGATTGACCTTGCAGTGAACTCTATGTCTTGACCTGGGGGTGTGTCAGCAGCCCCACTGCCTCCAGCCCTCTGACCCACCATCACAGATGCAAATGGTATTTTTTAAAATTGTATTTCCTGTTTTCTCTCTGTGTAATCCTGAGTTATTCTGTGTAGCAGCTGTGCTAAATCCATGTCTTTGTTCCATATTTTCCTGTCACTTCTCAGCTTCATCCTAAAACCTCATCATCAGACTCCTGGAAGGGCCGAGTGTGGAAGCCACACTTGCAGACTCCTGCTAATCCCGTGGGAACGCATCCTGCCTCTGTCTGTCTGTGCAGTGTGGGTCTCTGCCTCCGTGGGAACGCGTGTTTGTGGACGGAGGGGTCCTGCCTCTGTCTGTGCGGTGTGGGCCTCTGGTGGTGGACCCCAGCCCCTCAGAGCAGCAAGGTGGCTGCAGGAGAGCCCTGCCAGGGCAGACACCAGGCCAGGTTCGGGGTGCCTGGCTCAGGGGCCACAGAGGAAGGAAGAAGTGGCAGAACAGTCTGGATGCATCTGTCGGGCTCCCAGCAGCCCCCCGTTGTTTGTACACCAGGCCACTGAGGCTGACATCATCATAATGTTAGGACCCTGTGATCTGCCCCTCAGCCCCAAGGACCTCTGGGCTCCGCTCCCCAGCTCTGGCCTTGTGTCCTGACCCTGAGAGTCTCCAGGGGTCCCTGACATGCTGTGGAGGTCACTTGGGGACTGTACTTCCCCACATGCCTGCATCAGGGCTGGATCAGACAAGTGGGAACCTGGAACCCATCCGGGTCTCCTTGAGCCAGCACCCCCTGCTCCCCAGGTGTCATGGGTTTTTGATGCTGCCACCCTGTGGTCCTCCCAGGATGACCTTTGTGGGTTCCACCTCTCTCCTTGCCCTCTAAATATTGAGGGGCTCTAGGCTCGGTCCCACACAGCTTCTGTTTCCCATGAACCCGAGGAAGGAAGCTGCCATTGATGCCTGCGTGAGAGCCCAGAGTGCCCTGGGTGCATGGCCGCACAGGGCAACTGCCCTTCTGTGGCTGTGGTCAGCCCAACACATCCAGCCCATCAGGCTCCCCACTCAGCTGTGGGCACCTGCTTCTTCGCCATACTCCACAAACTGGGGATTTGTTCACAGATCCTGGCTCCAGCTCTGTAACGCCCGCACTGCCCCCAGCCCCAGCTCTCACCTGCGTGGCATGAGGCCGCCGGCCGGGTAAGCCGGGCATCACGTGCCTGCCTCGTGCACGCTGGTTCCCTGACCATCTCCTCGTGCTTCCCCACAGCACAGCCCGTTCTTCGCGGAGCAGCTGACCGCCTTCCAGGTGTGGCTCACCATGGGGGTGGAGAACAGGAACCCGCCCGAGCAGCTCCCCATCGTCTTGCAGGTGAGTTTCCCCAGAGGGGCCAGACTGGCTGAGGTGTCCCAGGGATAAGAACCCAAAGTCTTGCAGGCCCTGGGACCTGTGGCCTCTGGCTACCTGGTCCCTGTACTGGGGTGGCTGAGCTCCAGGCCAGCTGGTAAACCAGCCCTGTGGGTAGGAGTCAGTCACTGGAGCAGGCTACCCCTCCACTGCCCTCTGTGCACACTCAGGATTGATGACCACCTCCAGGGAAGGAGGGGAGGGGTGTGCCAGTCTCCCGTAGATCCTACGTGAGCCTGGTGGGCACCAGTCCCAGCAGCTGGGTCACTGGTGAGATGCCAGTACAGGCCCTGGAAGCTGCCCACGCCCCCTTTTCCAAGGGGTTTGTCACTGGTTGGATTGGAAAGCACACTTCCTGGGGGCGTCACTGGACACCAGTCCTTCTTGTGGCCCATCAGTAGGCTGGGGGCCAGTTCTGAGGGTCCCACCAGCTGGCTGTGCTTAAAGAGGTGGAGACCCCAGAGTTCCCTGCAGGTGTCACCTTCGGGCATGTGCCCACACCTGTGCACCTGTGCCATGCATGGCTGCCTGTGGCAAAGGGTGCGCTCGTGTTGGGACAGGTGAGAAACTGCGTGGTCATTGTCAATACTAAGGTCTCACAGGTTACTTTAGATAGAAGCTAAACGAGCTTGTGCTTGGGGTGAGGACATTGAACTTGGGCCGGAAGCTTCAGATCATTGTAGGGATGGGTCCGTGAGGAGTGGAACACCTGCCACCCCTGCCAGGGTGCCCCAGGTTGGGGACAGCAGCAGCCATGGCATGGCCCAGACTCCCGTCGCACGGCCCAGACCCCCATAGCACGGCCCAGACCCCCATGGCACGGCCCAGACCCCCATGGCACGGCCCAGACTCCCGTCGCACCGCCCAGACCCCCATAGCACGGCCCAGACCCCCATGGCACGGCCCAAACCCCCATGGCACAGCCCAGACTCCCGTCGCACGGCCCAGACCCCCATGGCACGGCCCAGACCCCCATGGCACGGCCCAGACTCCCGTCGCACCGCCCAGACCCCCATAGCACGGCCCAGACCATGCTCTTCTTGGAGCCAGGTCAGGGGCCCTTTGTCCAAGGATGTCCGTCTCGTCGCTCCAAGAAGGGCTGTGTGTCCCTGCCCCGGTGATGGACGCACCGTCGCCTGCGCCCAGCAGCCTCCAGTCTTGGCCCTGGCCACAGGACAGCCCGCCCTGCCCCACCTCCTGCTGTTCAGTCTGACTTGGCCTCCTTCAGGCCTTGTCCTGAGGGTCTCACAGAAGGAAGGCCCAGCTGAGCGCAGGGTCGTGCACGGGAACCTGCACTGGGGGCCACTGCTGCTGTGGTGATGCAGGCCGGAGAACACAGCAATTCCCTTGGTCGCCATGGCTGCTGTCCTGAGCAGACGGGATGAGCCGTCAACATGTAAGCAGATGGAAGTTCCAAAGAAACTGCCACGTAACAAAGTACAGGAAACTTGAGTTCCTGTCGGAGCCATGGCTCCCGCTGTGAGGGCAGGGAGGTGACGTGTGACAGCAGGATTGGGGCCTGCCTGTGCTCCAGCCCCTGGCCAACAACGTCCCGCAGGGCGCGCTCTGCTTTCCCCCCCGCCACACAGGATCCTGCAGGATCCCGCAGGGCGCGCTCTGCTGTCCCTGCCTCACTGTCAGTCCCCCTCCCCTCCTTCCAGCCAACCGTGGCACGCAATCCTTTGTAAATGGCCATTTACACTCCACACTGCCTCGGGGGAAGAGAAGCCAGGCCAGAGCCAGCTTCAGGTGCCAAGACGAGAGCGGCTGCATTGAGAAGGCACCTGGGTGCGATCTGTCATGCCAGGGGACGCTTGGGTTTTCACCATCGCCAGGGGGTCACAGGGGAACCTCGGCCTGACAGAGGAAGAAGACAGAACGCCTGGGGCTGGCTTGACAAGGCGCAGCCGCGGCTTTGGCCTCTGCTCCTCCCTGTGGGGCCACCCCTGCACTTCATCTTGAGCCTGTGTTTTGTCCAGCCTGAGCCCTATTATCACAGACTTGGCTGAGTGATCCCAAAAGAAGCATTTCCACCAAGGCTGCCCTGCATGCCGCACCCCTGCCTGACCTTCTCTGTCCCACCAGCAGCCAGGAGAGGACCCACTGCCCCTTGCGCCAGGCAGACACGGACACACCTCTCCTGGCCTGCCCACAGCTGCCTTTGTCTTTCAGCCCTGCGTGTGCACGGTCGCCATCACGAGACAGCCAGCATGGCTGAGAATTGTTAGCCGCGACCTCTAACGTGTCGCTGCTGACGTCAGTGGCCGTCACTTCCTGCAGAGCTCACCACGTCCCTGGCCCTGCAGAGGTGGGGGGCGGGGACCCATTCTGGGGGGCTCTGCGTTCCCTGCAGGTGCGTGGAGATGCCCCCCCCCCAGGTCATGGTTTGCAGTGGGAACACTCAGTGTCTTAGCGCCTGCCCGCAGCTCTGACAAAGCAGAATGGACATGTCATTCTCGGTGCCTTGTTCCCTGTTCACACGGGGGCCACTGCCAGGCAGCAGCAGAACTGACCTGAGATGCCGTTACTGGGCACAGGAGGCAGCTCGGAGCCCCGGTGGCCCGCGGGGAGGGAGCCTGGGGGCTGCCCTCCCCACACTCCCCTGCCTGGTGTGCTGTGTGCACCGTGGGCGGAGGAGGCCCCGTCACCTTAGCAGGCTCCGTTTAATTTGGTCTTCATATAGCCAAGATGAATCTTGTGTGTGTCACAGGCGTCTCAGTGACTCACTCAGGTCCCTGTTGTGGGGCTGGAGTGTCCTCAGGTCCTGAGGTGCTCTGACAAAGGAGCTTTGTTTTGTGGAAAATACAAATCCAGGAAAAGCCAGCCCATGTCTTTTTTAAAAAAGATTCATTTTGTTTACTGGAAAGACAGAGCTACAATTCATTGACACGCCAAATGGCTGCACAGCCGGGAGCTTCTTCCCAGTCTCCCAGGGCACAGAGGCCCAAGAATCTAGGCGTTTCTCTGGTGCTTTCCCAGGCATGCTAGCAGGAAGCCGGATGGGAAGTGGAGCAGCTGGGCCTCCAACTGGCATGCGTGTGGGATGGCAGTTCTGCAGGCGGCAGCTCAGTCCATATTTTGTAAACAGTTTGTCTTTGTGTTGCACTTCAATGATTTGAAAATGTCACTCTATAGAAGGAGTTGGGAAGGTGTAACTAGTACCACCCACACTTGACGTTCCCTCCCCGGCGCGGGTTAGTGGTTCCGTGTGACCGCAGACACGGCGTCAACGTCACTGCTGCCTCCACATTGGCCGCTGTCTCCCGCATGGCCGTGCGGTGCCTGGCACGCAGAGGACCTGTCACAGCAGTGACGGTGAAGGCCAGCCTTCCTCCTGCAGGTCTCCCAAGCACGTGTCTCACTGCTTTCCCTGGCCCTAAGCAGACAGCTGGATCAGAAGTGAAGCAGCTGGGACTTGAACTGGTGTCCCTATGGGACGCTGGAGCTACAGGTGAAGGTTGAGCCAACATGCCACGGTGCCAGCCCTGGAGATGCTTATTCTAAAACACTGCACATGGTTTTAAGTAACTGCATCAGTAAAGCTGCCCTGACTAGTTGGGGCACATCTGGAAGAATCTGTTTTGAGGCATCAGTGAAGAAGGGCTCAGCCTAGGGGAGCCTTAGCAAAGCAGCGCGGGGACACCCAGCTACAGCAGGAGGCCCAGGAGACTTCGCTGCTGCTGGGCTGGAGGACGAAGCCCTCACTGCTTCCCCGGCATTCATGGGACAGAGTCGCTTCCACATGGGTGTAACAGGGTGAGGCCCTGCCCCTCATCCGCTCGTCTGTTGGACGGAGAGGACCCCCTCCCACACAGCCCAGCTGGCACGGCTCCGACTGACCGAAACACTGCAGCCTGCCAACTCGGTGCTCCGTGGCTGCTGTCACCACTGCCCACAGAACAGCCACAGGGGAAGCAGGCCTGGGCCCAGAGCTTCCCAAAGGTGGGCCGAGGTGCTGAGGCCTTTCTTAAAGACGTGGGAGAGAGAGGGAGTTGGCTTCACTGGGGGTAGACGTGGGCCTGGAAGAAAACCAGAATGGTCGCAGGAGCTTCCTGGCGGCTCTGGGTGAGGCGGCCGAGGCGTTGGGCAAGCACGCTGGGAAGCTTCATGGAGACCCCTCCTCGCTGAGCCCCTTCCTCACCCACAGCTGTGCTCCGCACGAGAGGTGGGCAGGAGCTGGTGGCATTTGGCGTCACCAGTGTCGTGTGATCCCCTTGCACTTGGAAGGAAATTTGCCGGATGTTCTATCTGCGTTTTCCTTGAGAAGGAAGCCGGAGTTTCTGCAGTTGTAGAACTGAAGCCACAAGGCTGGGCGGTGAGGGGCCAGGTTAGGCACACTTCTCTTTGAACCTAAGCCCATACCTTGCCCCCAGCTTGTCCCTCGGAGCAGCGCCTCCGGGCAGTGCTGCTGCACGAGAGCCCGTGGGGTGAAGACGGGGAGGGATCGGCCTTCCCAGCTCTGCCAGCGTGGAGAACCAGCCACCTGCACACTGACCTGGCACAGGGGACAGATAGCAGGCCCAGCCACAATTCTTCAGACGCGGCACCCCAGCAGCTCCTGCCCGCGGCACCCCTTCCCCTCCCTCGCCAGCAGGTCCTCCAGGGCAGTGCTAGGGAGGGGCTCCGAAACCGCAGGGCTTGTATGTCAGGGTTCTTGCTGGGCGCAGTGCAGGAGGGCAGAGTTGGGTGGGAGCTTGTGGTACACAGCCCAGCGTGGCTGCCGGGGTGCTGTGGCCAGGACACAGCCAGCCATGTGGGGTGTGTGTTGGAAGACCCGAGAATACAAGGATGTGGGGCGTGCATACGGCGGGGGAGGGGCATACAGAAACGTTTCGTATAGTGAACATGCGCTTCCTGTGTCTTGAAGAGGTGAAGACTGTTTCCCGAAGTTGTCTAACTCACGAGGAGTCGACGGAGTAGCCCAGGTCATGCAGGACGACCCTGAGGCCGGCTTGTGTGGTCAGCCGGCTGGGCAGGCGAGGGCAGCGTGGCCACCTCGTGCTAATAACAGCGCCTCTTTGGTGTCTTCCAGGTGCTGTTGAGCCAGGTGCACCGCCTGCGAGCCTTGGACCTGCTGGGAAGATTCCTGGACTTGGGCCCATGGGCAGTGAGCCTGGTGAGTGCCTGCCACACTTGCTCGGAGCTGGGCCGTGGACAGACGTAGCCGTCGTGGTCCTGCGTGGGCCGTGTCTCCTGGGGACTGGGCCGTGGACAGACGCAGCTGTCGTGGTCCTGTGTGGGCTGTGTCTCCTGGGGCTGGGCCGTGTCTCCTGAGGGCTGAGGCAGCCGTCGTGGTCCTGCGTGGGCTGTGTCTCCTGGGGCTGGGCCGTGTCTCCTGAGGGCTGAGGCAGCCGTCGTGGTCCTGCGTGGGTCTGCGGTCCTGCACTAACAGGTGTGTGTGAAGGATGGGGCACTTAATTGGGAGGCTGATGTTACAGCATAGTAGGTCAGATCTCTTCCTGTGATGTCTGGATGCTATTTCAAGTCCAGGCTGCTCCACTTCCAGTCCATGTGCCTGGAAAAGCAGCAGAGGAAGGCCCAAACCGCTGGACCCCTGTACTCACGGGAGATCTATGGGCGGCTTCAGGCTCCTTGCTGACTCTAGCTCAGTTCTGGCCATCGTGGCGTTCTGGGGAGTGAGCCACTGGGTGGATCTCTGTCTCTCCTCTCCCTGTAATTCTGCCTTTCAAATGAAAATAATTAATAAAATAAAAAGTCACTTGTGAGGTCACATTAAAATGAGAGGTTTTATGAGAGGCAGACAGCGTGCCCATCACTGGCTCACCCCAGAGCGTCTGCCACCAGCAGAGCCACAGCAGGAGCCGGGGCGCAGCCCGGGGTTCACCACCAAGCGTCCATCCACCTGCTGCTCACAGGTCCTGTATTGGAAGGGAACTGCAGTCGACCCAGCGTTCACACGGGTACCATGACATCTCAGTCTCTAAGGCAAACACTACCCACTCCCACCTGAGCCTGGTTGGAGTCATGCTTGGGCAGTGGAAACGCTGCTGGCTGGCACGCAAGTCTGCTGGGCAGCAGCTGTTGGCACAGGTGGAATCTGGCCCTCGGGTGAGGCCTTGAGTCCTTAATCAGTGAAACCAAGCGCTCATGGCCACTAACAGGATAGGAATGTGGCCTTGCCCTTGACCCTGGCCTCTGTCCTGCCACCTTCACCTCTGCTGGCTGCAAGGTAGGAGTACTTTGGGGACATGTTCACAAGTCCAGCAACTTTGAGATAAGGACACAGTGAAAGTATAGGTGACTGGAATTAGCCAGTGTCCCTCCTCTGCCTTGTGCACCTGCTTGCCGCCATGTCTCTCGTTTCTCCTCCTCTGAGAGTCAGGACAGCCCTTTGGGTAGAGGGAACACCTGTCTGGACAGGTGCCAGGCTGTGCCCCTTGAGCATCACCATCAAGGGCCTGACCTGGTGTTGAGGGAGTGGTGGTGCCATCTGAGGCCAAGGATGTTAGGGTTGGGTTAGTCCTGGCCTCTTAGGGCCAGTCAAGGCCATCTGAGGCCAAGGGTGTTAGGTTCCAGGTGCAGAGTTCCCTGTGCTTGCCGGGCTTAGGGTTAGGGTTCGGTTAGGCCACACACACACACGCCCTCCAGCCACGTGTCCCACATGTGCTGACAATGCTGTGCAGCTGGCCCCTGGCAGGCTCCACGGCCACACTGACACCTGCACTCCCCACAGGCCCTGTCAGTTGGCATCTTCCCCTACGTGCTGAAGCTGCTCCAGAGCTCAGCCCGGGAGCTGCGCCCCCTCCTTGTCTTCATCTGGGCCAAGATCCTCGCCGTGGACAGCGTGAGTAGCCTGCCTGGTCCAGCCTCACTGTGGGTGGGAGCCAAGCCCGTCTCTTTCTCAGCTTTCCTCCTTCATCCTTGCATTGCCCATTGCAAACAGCAGGAGGCCACGTGGGTGCTGGGGCCAGGCTACTCGCAGTGGGACTCACCTTCACCTGCGTTTCCTGCCTCTTAACCCCAGCTGCACACCTGCCAGCTGTCGCCACTGCTCCTTGTCTTCTGAGACCAAATGGATCACTGCCATGAACCCCGGGTCCAGCTCTACCCAGTCTGCTGCATTGGTCCCCGGTTGCTCAGTCCCCCTGGGCCCCAACTAGGCAAGGCCCCTGTACCAGCACCTGTGGGTGAAATGGGTCAGCAGGCTTACAGGCGGTGGACCCCTGCCTCTACTGTGGGGCCCGTGTCACCCCACTGCAGGTGCAGGCTGAGTATGCCTATTCCGGGTGCCCTCCATCCACCCACACGCCTACCAGGGCCGTGGAAGGACGCTGACTTGGGAAGGTGTCCCAGCACATCTGCCACTGTGGTCATCTCCGTCACACATTCTCTTAATTTCTGTTGTGTTTGGGGTTTCCCAACGCACACGTGCTGGTGTGAACAGTGGCCCTGCTGGGTTCCTGTTGCCTGTCGGTCCCCTTGCCCTGTCCTACGGGGTAGATGCCGTGTCTCACCTGATTCTCATGCCTGCTGCAGGTCGGGCCACAGACCAGGCCTCGGGGTGTATCCCTAATCTCCTGTTTTTAAGAACTAAAAGTTCTTTTCCGAAGTTGTGCTGTTTTGTGTTCAATATCCAAGGGTGTCAGCTCCAGTAACCTCATCGTCAATAAGTGCACAGTGAGCTAAGTTTGCATTTTCAAGGCTTATATACATTTTTTTAAGAAAGTTTTTTTTTTTATTACAAAGTCAGTCAGATATACAGAGAGGAGAGACAGAGAGGAAGATCTTCCATCTGATGATTCACTCCCCAAGTGACTGCAACGGCCGGTGCTGTGCTGATCCGAAGCCGGGAACCAGGAGCCTCTTCCAGGTCTCCCACGCGGGTGCAGGGTGCCAAGGCTTTGGGCTGTCCTTGACTGCTTTCCCAGGCCACAAGCAGGGAGCTGGACGGGAAGTGGAGCTGCCAGGATTAGAACTGGCGCCCATATGGGATCCCGGCACGTTCAAGGCGAGGACTTCAGCCACTAGGCCACACCGCCGGTCCCCCAGTTTATATACATTTTTTGAAAGGAAAATTTACCATGGTGGGATGGGAGAGCAGAAAAAGGCCTGCCATTAATGGTTCGCTCCCCAAATGGCCACGATGGCTGGGGCTGGGCCGAGCCAAAGGAGCTTCGGTCAGGGCTTCAGGCAGGTGCAGGGAGCCTTTCCCTAGCATGTCAGCGTGCAGCTGGGCCACAAGTGAAGCAGCCTGCTCTGCCACTGCACCGTCATTTCCCGGGTAACTGAAACCCACATCACAGCTGTGTGTGTGTGTGCAAGTGGCATACACAGATCTCCCATTTGCTGGACGGGCCAGGTTGAAGTCAGGAACTCCATGCCAGTCTCCCAGGGGACTGGCAGGGACTCACGCCCTTGAGCCATGACCTGCAACCTCCGGGGTACGTTAGCAGGAAGCTGGGCTCAAACGGAGAGCACTCCGATGTGGGCGGTGCGTGTGCACTGGGACCCAGAGGAGCACTCCGGCCCTGGCCACCGCTGTGTGGCATGTGGCTTGGGAGTTCTTTGAATCTCCTGCACGAGCTGTATTCACGTCAGTGAGTACGGATGCTCTCCCGGGCTCGTGTTTCCAGTGTCAGCAACGTCATTGAAGACAGAGGTCTCCATTTCAATTCAAGTGCAGTTGAGTTCGTTCTTTAGGAACGGGGTTTGGTGCCACAGGCCAGGCTCTGATGCTTTACCAGTTTCCTGGTGGTGCTCCTGTGCCAGCACCACGCATGTGTGTGTGTGCGCTCATGCATGCTGCACGCCTGTGGGTCCTGTCTCTGTGAGCTGATGGAGTGTGTGTCACCTGGACGTGGTCACTTGTCCAAGCTGAGGGACTAGTGCCCACAGGTTCCTCTGTCATGTCGCCTGCTTGGGATTTTCGAGACGTGTCCTTTCTTCTTCCAGCCTCATGGCTGACATCTCACTGTGGCTGCTTTATCTGCGTTGTGTGGGTCTTGTGACTCAGTGGGGCGCGCTGGCCAGGCAGAGGACTGTCCCGCTCCTAGGATGTGTCTGCTGTCAGTCTCCTGGACGGTCCTGTGTGACCTCGGGCCTGGGCAGGCCTGCTTGGCTTGTCTGCTCCCAGTCCTTTGCGTCCTGTGCTGTCTGCATGAAGTAACTGGAGCATGCTGGAATTTTCCTGTAATGGAGGTTGCCTTGCGCTGTGAGCAAACATTGCTCATTTGTGCGGTTTCTCTTTTTGAATCTGAATGTAATGTTTTAACTTGGTTACTCAGTCTTATAAAGTGTGTTGCTAGAGTAATTTCATTTTCATAACTGTGCAGCAGAACTTGAAATACTATTTTTACGTCATCCGAGTGACAAGAATACACTTTGCCACATGCCAAGCTGTGAAATACAGCGTGTGGGGCAACATCAACCTCACAGGTGGCTCTGTGCTGTGAGCCAGCTGCCACGTTGGGGGGACAGACCCCTCGGTGTGGCCGGCCTCCCAGAGGACGCCCTCTGGACGCCTGTTCATGGCAGCATCATTTGGAATCACAAAGGGGAGTCGGACTGTGTCCGCGGGAACACGGCACATCCTGCGGCAGTGAAGGGCCCTCCGTGTCCGGATCTGCACTCTGTCCATGGCGGCCAGGTTAGCCAGTGCAGGAAGACATTTATGATGAAATGAGCATACGATGTATGCTGAGCCTGCATGCACTCGAGCAAAGTGAACAGGACGCCGTGGTGCAGGCTGGGAGCAGGGCAGGAGAAGGCCTTGTCCCGTTCCCTCCAGCTGCTTTCTCTTGCCAGAAGCTTCCACACTTTCTTTGTACCAGGAACTCCCATCCAGGGCAGTAATGCTGCACCCCTGCCTCTCCATGTTCCCATAGGATGGTATCGGGCCGCCCGGGCACCTGCTCCCGAGTTGTCAGGCCCCATGGCCCCTATTCTGTAGTCCCTGGGTGCATTCCTGCTGTCCCCAGCTCTGCTGAGGACAGCGGGAGAGGATCTGTCCCACAAAGCTCAGTGCCTTGCTCACGGCTTCCTGCCAGCCTCTGCTTTGCCCTCAGCTCAGCTGTGCGGCCGTGGGCTTCACGGCCCCCTCTTCCCGCTCTCTGCCCTGCCTCCCTTCTCTTCCTTCCTTCCTTCGCTACAGGAGGCTGCAGGGCAAGTCCGGGGGTGAGGTGGGGGGCGGCTGAAGGGGGCTCACTGAAGGAAGCCCGTTGAGTGTGCACACTGTTGCCTCGCCCCTGCCTTGACTCTGTCCCTCACACGTGCTAACGGCAGTTGGGCCTGGGAGGTGGCAGACCCATCCTACAGGAAGCTCATCCTGGAGGCCCTTAGTGGCTACAGCCTGGAGTCTGCCGCTCAGAGCCCTCACCGTGCTGAGGGCGGCGTCTGCTGGCTTCCCACACCTTGACTGGGAGGCAGGAGTGGGTGGCTGAGAGCTCGTGCCTGCACACACATGGATCCCACGGGCAGCGGTCTGTGTGTAAGCCGGTGTGCACGTGGCCACGGCTGAGCTTGACCACAGGCCAAGGACACGGCAGTGTCACCGCGAAACCCCATGTGGAGCCAGAAGCCTGTGGCGGTGATGGCATCACAAGAGGAAGTGGCTGCTGAGGTGCCTGAAGCCCCCACTTGCTTTTCAGATCTGTGGACAGAACTCAGCCCCCCACCCCCACCACTGCACATCGCTGTAAGCTTGCAGGCTTTCAGTGGACTTGTTTAAAGACAAATGCCAACTCTGTTCTCACGGTGGCCATGTACCCCGGCTGGCACTCTGCTGCCCACAGTCAATGTCAGAAGAGTGCCAAGTCAAAACCCTCAGCTAAAGCCAGGGACCTTGAGTTGGCCCTTGAAAGCTGCCGTCTTAGCTGCACCCGGAACTGGCCTCCCCACTCCTCACGGCCTGAATTAAAGACTCTCTAGTGCAGCGCTGCAGGGCAGCATCCAGTGGCCGCCTTAGCAGGAAGAAACAGCCCGGAGTCCTGGCGGAGCCTCTGGGCTGCAGTAGCCAGCAGGTGCCAGCTGCACCACCTGCAGGCAGCCAGCCGGGCACCACGCCCCCCGGGCCCCCCACCTGCAGGCCCCCAGAAGGTGTTTTTCGGAATGTCCGGGAGCTGCACACCTTCGAGGGGGTGTGAGATCCCAGCCCTTTTCCTTCTAGCCAAACGAAAAGCATGCAGCAGCACCCTGAGCTGTTTTTTTCCAATGAAAATTGGACTTGCAAAAGTGATGAAGACATGAATATTCATTGCGCTCCCCGGAGGGAGGGGCTCATGCTCATTCTGTCTCTCTCTGCAGTCATGCCAGGCGGACCTCGTGAAAGACAACGGCCACAAGTACTTCCTGTCGGTCTTGGCAGACCCTTACATGCCGGTGAGGATATAGGGACGGCCACACTGTCCTGCGTCGGTGTCCCTGCGTGGGGGCGTCAGGGAGTGGTGGCTACCCTGTTGCAGACAGCTCTGTGCCTCTGCCCGAGGGCTGAGGTCCCCGCACACCAAGTTTGTGCTGGCTCCTGTCAGCCCACAGGCACTGGGCTGTGCCCTCCTGTGCCCAGTGCAACTCCCTGGCACCCACACGCAGGTGCCTGGGTGGTCCCGCAGCAGGAAGGACATTGCTGTGCCTCAGCACATGCGTGGAAAGGCAGACGGACGCGGGGCCGAGGAGAGCACGGTCGTGCGCATGGCCATGTTGACAGCGACCTGGCTGAGTCATATGGGAGCTTCTATAAATGTTTTATAAGCGATTTCTTTCTCTTTTTTTTAAGATTTATTTTATTTTCATTACAAAGTCAAATATACAGAGAGGAAGAGAGACAGAGAGGAAGATCTTCCATCCGATGATTCACTCCCCAAGTGAGCGCAACAGCCAGTACTGCGCCAGTCTGAAGCCAGGAACCAGGAACCTCTTCTGGGTCTCCCACGCGGGTGCAGGGTCCCAAGGCTTTAGACCGTCCTCGACTGCTTTCCCGGGCCACAAGCAGGGAGCTGGACGGGAAGTGGAGCTGCCAGGATTAGAACTGGCGCCCATAGGGGATCCCGGTGCATTCAAGGCGAGGACTTCAGCGGCCAGGCCACGCCGCCGGGCCCTATAAGCGATTTCTTTATTCTTAGTGTAGTGATGGGAGCAAATAGACGTTCTGAACAGTTCTTGCATGAAACCTACTCGTACCAGAACACTGAGCCAGGCGCACAGCGTGTGCGTGCTGTCCCGGTGGCTGCGTGGTCGTGTGAGGAGCTTTGCTGTGTGTTGTCACACCATCTGGCTGATCTTTAACCAGACGATGAACAGCAGACAGGAAGTGTTACAGGTTCCGTGGGGTTGGCGTGGCGGTGAGGTGTACACCTGCACTCGGCAGGGTGAGTGGGAGTGCAGCCCAACCCCGGCCGGCCAGGAGAGGCAGAACGGTCCCAGCCACTTGTTGCAACGTGGTGAGCTCCACCAACCGGGACCACACGGCAACCCCAGGGATGCCTGTGCCCCAGCCACGCTGAGCCTGTGCTGTGTTCCCCAGCCGGAGACAGCAGGTGGAGTTCCCTACACCTGTGCCCTGTGGAGCGCCTGCAAAGAGCAGGGGAGGGGCTGCTGCACCGCGGCCGGGCTCAGGATGCCTCCAGGCCTGCGGGCAGTGAGCCAGGCGTGTGCCCAGTGCAGGTTGCTTGTGTGAGGCGCTGTTAGGCATGGCTGTTGTAGCGGATCAGTGAGCCCCTGATCGGCCCAGAAACAACACATCAGTCACAGGCAGGCAGTAAGAAGACACGTCATGAGACAGAGCAAGCTCGGCTCCGTCCTTGAGAGCAACAGAGAGGCACTGGGGCTGGGTCCCTGGGGGGGGTGTCCAGGGGCGGGGTCCCGGGGTTGGTCCAAGGGCACTAAGGGCACCTGTGTCTCAGCTAGCCCTTGCCACCATCAGAACCTTCCTGACCTAAAGAAATGAGCTTCCATGCCAGGCGGCCAGTGCAGGCCTGGGAGGCAGGGCCAACGCATCTGTCCAAGGGTAGAGGCGGCCCTGGCTGCAAGTGGTGTGGGGGTACTGGAGAGTGACCAGTCGGCAGGGGCCCTGCACTCCTGCAGCAGCTGAGCTGCTCGGGGACCAGGGCACCTCAAGCCAGCTGCTCCACTCTGCACCCACAGGAGGAAGCCAGAAAGACTGTTACCCAGAGGGAGAAGTGGGTGCAGGACCAGAGGAAAACAGAGACCCGCAGACGGGAACCATCTTGTCGTTCACTCTCCTTGTGGCCACAACAGCTGGGCCATGTCAAAGCCCAAGGCCCAGGCTCCAGCAAGGTCTCCCACGCGGGTCCAGGGTCCCAAGGCTCTGGGCCGTCCCCGACTGCTTTCCCAGGCCACCGGCAGGGAGCCGGATGGGAAGTGGGGCAGCTGGGTTTAGAACCAGTGCCCATATGGGTACAGGTCCCACGGCTCTGGGCCATCCTCCACTGCTCTCCCACACCATACGCAGGGAGCTGGATGGGAAGTGGGGCAGCTCATCCTGCTGTGGCACCGTGTGGAGCTCAGGGTGCCCTGTGGGACAGGCACTGCGGATTGTGGCTCATTGGAGGGATCAGACAAGGGAAGAATTAAGGCCCTAGGAGCGTGACGTGAATTTCAGGGGCCCTAGAACAAGTTAGATGGGAGTGTGTGTGCAAAACGCAGAACACCACGGTGTGGTTGAAACAGACCGAGTGCCAGGTCAGCGGAGGTACAGAGGGCAAGAGCAGGGTGCAGCCGAGCCGACAGGAGGCCAGAGCCCTGGACCCCTTAGCGAAGGCTGTCCTTGGGGCCGGTCGGCACCCCCCACACGGCCGGCTCCCACGGTGTGGCTCACGGTGACGGCTGCGGGAGCCTGGGAGCAGGAGCCCTCACCACGGGGAGACGCAGGACCGAGGCAAGGTTCTGTCTTCCAGGCTGAACATCGGACCATGACCGCTTTCATCCTCGCCGTGATCGTCAACAGCTACAACACCGGGCAGGTGAGGCGCTCTGGGCTCCTGGCCACCCCGGCCCCGCAGAGGGGTGCTCTGACCCTACAAGACGGTCGGCCGGGACCCGTGGCCACTTGCAGCTGGGCCAGGTGCAGTGGAGTGTCCAGTGGAGATCCCTGCCATTCACGGGGCCTATGAATTGGTGGGGGAGGTGTAAAACGTGCCAACTTGAACCAGTCTTGAGCTGCAGTCGAGGCACGCCCCCGCATCTGTCCCGCAGGAAGCGTGCCTACAGGGGAACCTGATTGCCCTCTGCCTGGAGCAGCTCAGCGACCCCCACCCCCTGCTGCGCCAGTGGCTGGCCATCTGCCTGGGCAGGATCTGGCACAACTTCGACTCAGCCCGCTGGTGTGGGGTGCGGGACAGCGCACACGAGAAACTTTACAGCCTCCTCTCCGACCCCATCCCTGAGGTGAGTTGTCCCTGCGGGGGGCTCGAGCTGGGCGGACCCCACCGGACACCCTGTGAAGGGCGTCATGGATGCAGTACCTGGGGGCCCACAGGCACTAGGGCACTGTCGGAGGAGACAGGTCTGCTCCCATCCTGAGGAGCTGGGAGTGGTCCCACATGCCTGGGTACAGGGCCAGGTGCAGGCCACAGGGAAGGCCCACACTCACTATTCCCCAAAAATGCCCTAAGCCCGCGCAGACAGACGCCCACGGAAAGAGAACATTGTGTGAAGTAAGATTACGTGCTGACACACAGCGTGACAGGCAACAAGTGATGTTGAGTCCCTGGGCCCTTGCTCCCGCTGGGAGGGCCTGTGGGGTCACAGCTCCCCACTCCGGCCTGGCTCCGGCCATTGTACACCTGTCAGGAGGATCCGCCAGTGAGAGTGCCTCCCGAAGGCTGCGTCCCACACACCTGTCCGCGCAAGCTCCCGCTGCTCCCCTGCCCCCTCTTCTCTGATTTCTGCACACGCCGTCCCCACCCTCCCCTCATCACCACCAGAGCTGGCTGTCAGTTCTCAGCCTGGAGCTGGCCCTGTCCTCTCGCCCCTCCTGCACAGGGTCTCTCAGACACCGTGTCAGTGACATCTGAGGGCCAGTGAGAAGGCCATGAGCTGGGGTAGGGCCAGTTCCTGACCAGTGTTAGCTGAAGCCGGCATGCCACTCCCACGAGCCCCTGCTCTAAGGATGACCCCAAGGCCTCTGACAAGCCCTGGCCGCAAAGCTCCCAGTGTACTCTGGAAGCTTCTCTGGGCAGCCCCGCCCCGTGTCCTCTGGGTATTTGTGCTCACTTAGAGCACATGGACGCTGCTGCCCACCACCAGTGTTAGGCCACAGAGATGAGGAACCAGCCAAGCTACCGGGGACAATGGGAAGGGTGGCGAGGAACACGTGGGGATGTGATTCTGTCCACCAGCCAGAAGCACCGTGGCATTCAGTCATAGAGCAGCCACTGGACGCGTTGCCCCTGGCCAGAGCCTCTCGGAGGTGGGGCACCCCCCTGCGGTGTGCAACTACCAGTGAGGCCTCTGGGGTTCCTTCCCCTGAGCCTCCTTCTGCCTGGGGCTTCTGCACCCACTGAGGCAGTGTTCCTCATCCCTGACACCACATAGCCCCATGCCCTGTGGTCCCCCAAGTCACAGCCCAGTTCTGCCCCTCGAGGCCCCGCCCACCAGATGAACATCTCCACCCAGCCTGCCCGGTCCTCCCTCTCCTGCCCTTCCTCCTCATTCTCCCCCTCCTCCCCCAGGTCCCCCCGGTCCTCCTGGTCCTTCCCCAGGTCCCCCCGGTCCTCCCCCTCCTCCTCCAGATCCTCTATGTCCTCCCCTCCTCCCCCCGGTCCTCCTCCTCCTCCTCCAGGTCCCCCAGGTCCTCCCCCTCCTCCTCCTCCAGGTCCCCAGGTCCTCCCCCTCCTCCAGGTCCCCCAGGTCCTCCCCCTCCTCCTCCAGGTCCCCCAGGTCCTCCCCCTCCTCCTCCTCCAGGTCCCCAGGTCCTCCCCCTCCTCCAGGTCCCCCAGGTCCTCCCCCTCCTCCTCCAGGTCCCCCCGGTCCTCCCCCTCCTCCTCCTCCAGGTCCCCCAGGTCCTCCCCCTCCTCCTCCAGGTCCCCCCGGTCCTCCCCCTCCTCCTCCAGGTCCTCCATGTCCTCCCCTCCTCCCCCAGGTCCTCCCCTTCCTCCTCCTCCCGGTCCCCCCCCCCCCCGGTCTCCCCGGTCCCCCCAGGTCCCCCCAGTTCCCCCCTCACAGGTGTGCCCACTGTACTCACTGCCCTCTCCTTCCCTACCCATACTACAGCCCCATACCTCCACCCCTCCTCCTCCCGCTGGAGCCTGCCCCCCGCACTGGCCCCTCCTGAGCCTGCCCCCCACACCAAAGCAGGAGCTGCACCGGGAGCCGGAGCTTCAGCCGGGTCTCCACATGAACGATTGCAGCCCAGACACAGGCCATTTCCTGTTGCTTTCCCCAGGCCCTAACAGAGTGTGGTACCCAACCCCAGCTGCGGGCGTGACCGTGACCCTGACTCAGGGAGGCTGGCCCCGGTACCCAACCCCAGCTACAGGCATGACTGTGACCCTGACTTGCAGGTGCGCTGTGCAGCCGTCTTCGCTCTGGGCACATTTGTGGGCAACTCTGCTGAGAGGACAGACCACTCCACCACCATCGACCACAACGTGGCCATGATGCTGGCCCAGCTGATCAATGACGGCAGCCCCATGGTGCGGAAGGTGCGTGACCCTGCGAGTGGGTACCAGTGGGCTTCCCCTAGGCTCCAGGCCCCAAGCCAGGGCTGCCCCATCCGTGGTGCATCTCTCCACGAGGTCTAATGTATGTGCTTCGAGGGAGGCAGTGGGCTGCGTCTCCCAGCTTTTCTAGTGGGGAGTACACCCCTCAGCAGGTGTAAAGGACGGTGTCCCCTGGCCAGCAGAGGGCTCTCCATGGCAATGGTATCAGCGACTAAACGTGACCATGGCTTGCCCGAGGCCTGTAGGGCTCACAGGTTGCTGTCTGGCCACATAACCCTGTGAGACGCATGCTCCCCACAACCTGCTCCCTCCTGCTTCCGGCAGGCTTCTGAGGACACTGGTTCACGGCTAGTGCCTCGGAGGTGGCCTGGAGTGGACAGCGTCCCATCCGGTGGGGAAGGCAGGCCAGTGTGCTGCCTCGGTGGGTCTCAGATGCCTGGGAGCTCTGCAGGCCCTAAGCCAGCAGGAGGCGCCGTGTGGCTTAGGCTGTTGGTTTGAGGCACTAGGGGGATGTGGTCCTAACAGGCTCACCACCCACAGTCAGAAAGCAGGCGGGTACCCCCATCTCGAGTTCCTGAGTGCCCACATGCCAAACCTTCTAAGGAGATGGGCATGGTAACATGCCAGCCCAGTGAACCCGTGGGTGATTCCTCTAATTGTCCATTAAACTTCGCTCTCAAGGAAAGCTTCCTTTTGCCCAAACATCATAAACAGGAGGGCTGTCCATGGGGATGTCCTGAGCCAACTGGGCCAGAGGAGTGGGCCGGCAGTCCGGGAGTGCCCGTGGGCACCACTCTGGGCCTCCAGCCTGGGTGTGGCTCTCCACGTCACCAGGGCAACATGCCATGTGCCTGTCTGGAGTTGCAGGCCACGGCACGTCCTGGTGTGTCGAGACCCAGACGAGCTATGACCAGCTGCTCTGCTCCTGCCTGTGTCCACTCTGTGCGGCACACCTCAGCCACGGCCGAAGCCCTGGCAGAGGGGTGCCAGGCACACCTACCTAAGGGCACACGTCATCCTGGGGGAGACACCAGCAGTGCTGTCCTACCTCCTGGTGGGAAGGGGTTGGCACAGGCATCTGGGGAGGGTCAAGCACCCTGGGGTGACCGCGAGGGGCCATGGTCTGCTCAGATCTCCAGAGCTGGGTCTGGCTCAGATCTCCAGAGCTGGGTCTGGCTGCTAGTGGCAGCCCCTGTCAAGAGCATGCCCCCCGGCGCCCCAGGCACACCTCTCAGGACTCGCCTGTTCATCACGTTGGCAATGTGGTGTTTGGGGTGACCAGGGTGTCCTGGGGTGCCTCTCAGGGGAGGCGTTGCTGTGCAGTGCCTGGGGCACACCTGTCCTCCACGCCTCCTTCCCACGTGGCCGACGGGCAAGGGCTTTGCTGGCGTGCGAGCTGGCTGGTCAGACTGAAGGTGACAAATCTGTGTCGAGCTCCCATGTGTACTTTTTTTTTTCTTTTTTATTTTTTAAGATTTTTTATTTTTTATTGGGAAGTCAGGTATACAGAAAGGAGAGACAGAGAGGAAGATCTTCCGTCTGATGATTCATTCCCAAGCAGCTGCAACAGCCGGTGCTGAGATGATCCGAAGCCGGGAGCCAGGAACCTCCTCCAGGTCTTCCACGCAGGTGCAGGGTCCCAAGGCTTTGGGCCATCCTGGACTGCCTTCCCAGGTCACAGGCAGGGAGCTGGATGGGAAGCAGGGCCACCAGGATTAGAACTGGCGCCCATATGGGATCCTAGCACATGCAAGGCAAGGACTTTAGCCACTAGGTTACCGTGCTGGGTCCTCTCACGTCCTTTTGAACTTGGCTTGTCTGTGAAGAACAGAATCTACAAGCTGCACAGTCCACAGGCCCTGCCCTCTCAGAGACGGGCAGGGAGTGCTGGCTGGCGACCCCACCAGGCTCTGGGTGCTGGCCGAGGACCTTGGTGAGCTCAAGCACCATCATGGCATTGGTAGATGGAAGACCTGCCCGGACTCGACTCTGCCGGGCTCCCCGCAGCCACAGGGGTGCTGATGGCACATGTCACGCGTTCACCCTGCACACACTGGGCCCTAGTGGCACAGCCAGGAGTGACATGTGGTTCTTCCCCTTGCCATCTGCCTTGGGCATGGTAGGGTGGGATATATGGGAAGCCCCTAGTGGGGACGCCAGAGGAATGGGCCCTGGCTCAGGGAAGAAGGAGGGAAGGGGGTGGGGAGTGATCCAGGGTTCAGGGAGGGGGAGGAGGACCCAGGGTTGGGGGAGGAGGACCCAGGGTTCAGGGAGGAAGGAGCCAGGACTCGGGGGGGTCACCCCCGCAGTGCTAAGTAGAGAGACTTGGCAGTGGCAGGTCCAGGCTGGGGAGACAGCCAGTGCAGAGGCCAGAGCAGGGCCCATGCCCAGCAGGTGGGCACGGCAGTGGCAGGACTAGCTCTGCTCTGCAGGACCTGAGGCAGGAGGGCAGCCTCGCCTCTGTGCTGCCCATGGGGGTTTCAGCAGTGTTCAGGGGCAGCTAGCAGGCTCTGGGGACTTGCTCGCCACTGGAGAGGGAGTGCCAGGAAAGGGGGCCGATGAGCCGAGCTCCCACTGGCTGGGGTGGGGCTGGTGCAGCCAGAGGTTGACTGGGCCATGGGAGGCCACGTGGCAGAGCTCTTAGTCACTGGGAACAAGGCTGTGTGCAGTGTGACACATACGCCTTGTGAGTGAGGGGATGTGGGGTGTCCTTAGGCGTGGACACTCGACATGAAGCCCTGTGCCAGAGTGCCCAGCAGGGTGGGGCCCTGGTGTGGATCCATTCAGGAAAGCTGGGGGAGCTGAGTATACTTGCCAGATCCTGTGCCCATCCCAGAGTAACTGCATGTGGAGCTCACAGGACAGTCCTGGACCATTGCCTCCCCAGGCACCAGGTGTGGGCCACGCTCTCCACGTCCCCTCGACCCCAGGCCACGGCCTCAGTGTGGGCCACGCTCTCCACGTCCCCTCGACCCCAGGCCATGGCCTCAGTGTGGGCCACGCTCGCCACGTCCCCTCGACCCCAGGCCACGGCCTCAGTGTGGGCCACGCTCGCCACGTCCCCTGGACCCCAGGCCACGGCCTCAGTGTGGGCCACGCTCTCCACGTCCCCTGGACCCCAGGCCACGGCCTCAGTGTGGGCCACGCTCGCCACGTCCCCTCGACCCCAGGCCACGGCCTCGGTGTTGGCTGCTCTGCTCAGGACAAGGGGACGTCCCACAGCCAGCTCATGCTGGTACCTTTTGTTTTATTGAAGCAGATCAAGTTTTTGGGGCCACCTCATTTCTATAACCCCACTCCTCCCGCCCCGCGATCATTGAGATCTCCAGGCACTGAGGCCTTAGGCCTCAACTGTCCCGAAGAAGTGGAAACCACAGCCACATTGCCTCGGTGAAGGTGTTTGAGCCCAAGATTCTGTTTGGATTCTGGAATTTACCTTGCTCCTCCCTTAGGGACTAGGAGCCAGTGTGTCCCTGCAGGAGTCCCAGCAGGTGAAATGCGGTTGTCCCATGTTTGCGACGTCCTCCCGCAGCACCGTGCGTGTGCAGGCCTGGGGCGGCCTTAGCTGCTGTGGGGTCTCTGTAGGGGTAGGGGAGGGTGAGCCCCAAGTCGACTCTCCAAGTCAGGCTCTGACGGGCAGCACAGGAGCCTCCCATGGTGCCCGGCTGCCCTGGGAGCTGCGGTGTGCAGGGCCTGCCAGGCCCACAGTGCTGCAAGGACACAGCCCCGGCCGTGCCTGACACTGACGCAGAGCTGTGCCGTAGCCCAGCTGCCTGCGGAGCCTTGGCTGTTCAGCTGCCCTGGTCCTGGGCTCTCGGGGCCGCCTGCATGCCTGAGCAGGCCGCTCTTGTCCCTGTCCCTCCGGCAGGAGCTGGTGGTAGCCCTGAGTCACCTCGTCGTGCAGTACGAGAGCAACTTCTGTACCGTGGCCCTGCAGTTCATGGAAGAGGAGAAGAACTACCCCCTGCCTTCTCCTGCTCCCACAGGTACCCCACTTCACCCTGGCACTGCCAACAGGGCCCCAGGTCCAGCTGAGGCACCACCTGGGTCCTGAGGTGCCTGTCTTGGGGCTGTGCCAACCCACCGCCTCTCACCTCTCTGCCAATCAAAATCAGGGAGCTCTTGGTTTTTTGTTTGTTTTTAAAGAATTATTTGACTTTTATTGAAAGTCAGATATAGAGAAAGGAGGAGAGACAGAGAGGAAGATTCTCCATCTACTGATTCACTCCCCAAGTAGCCACAACGGCCGGTGCTGCGCCGATCTGAAGCCAGGAGCCCAGAGCCTCTTCTGAGTCTCCCACATGGGTCCAAGGTCCCAAGGCCCTGGGCCGTCTTTGACTAGTTTCCCAGGCCACAAGGAGGGAGCCAGATGAGAAGCGTGGCTGCCAGGATTAGAACCGGCACCCATATGGGATTCCGGCTGGTGCAAGGCGAGGACTTTAGCCGCTAGGCTACTATGCCGGGCCCAATCAGGGAACTCTTCACGATGGTGGAACTTTTGCCTCGGGGACTGAGAAGAGAGCATGAGCAATGAGAACCCCTACGTCAGGGCCATGCCCCCCCACTTCCTGTGGTAAAACAATCTCCCCTCCCTCCAAGGGTACAGCCACTGCTGAGGCACTCGCGTAACCAGAACTCGGCATTCCCACCTGGAGTCCACAGGGAGGGGCAGTGTCAGCAGGTGGGACCGTGTCCGTGCCCTCAGGGCCCCCAGGCAGCAGCCCACAGCTGCCATGTGCCATGTGCCATATTCCGTGCTGTGTGGCCTCCTGCCCTCTGCCCTGTGTTGTTCTGGTGGACCTGAGCTGGAGGCCCCTGCCTTAGTCCTGCCCTGGGAGCAGAGGCCGCCGCCTCCTGTCGCAGCTGCAGCTCCCTGGAGGGGAACAGCCTCCCATCTTTTTTTTTGTTTTCCTCTAAGATTTGTTTGAAAGGCAGGATAGCTCCTCAGATGGCCACAGTAGCCCCAGCCGGGCCAGGCCACAGCCAGGGCTGCTGCATGGTACACCCCAAGCACTTGGGCCCTGACAGCTGCTGTCACAGTGTCCTTTGCAAGGGGCTAGGTCAGCAGGACTCAAACTGGTGCTCCAGCGTGGGGTGCTGGCATGGCAGGCAGCAGCGTGGTCTGCTGGGCCACCGTGCCAGCCTCGACACCACCCCCACCCCGCCCCCGGCCCGGTCCAGAAGCCCGTCACTCACCATCCTCCTTCTGCTCTCAGACGGGGGCAGTTTGACCCCAGTGCGGGAAAGTCCGTGCACCCCCAGGCTTCGTTCCGTGAGCTCCTACGGAAACATCCGCGCGGTCACGACTGTGAGGAACCTCAACAAGTCGCTGCAGAATCTGAGCTTGACCGAAGAAGGTGAGGCACTGGGTGTGGCTCTGTGGGCCGCGGGCTGCCCTGCCCGCCTGAGCAGCTTGCTTCCAGCTGTGGGCACTGCCCAACTGCAGGGGTGCCCTTGGGAAGCCTTAGGACCTCAGCTCCGGGAGGGTGGGCTGGGGGCATCCCCACAGCATGCATCCGGGGATCCTGACTGCTGTGTGCCCGGGCAGCAGGCGGCTCGGTGGCCTTCTCCCCCGGCAACCTGAGCACCAGCAGCAGCGCCAGCAGCACCCTGGGCAGCCCCGAGAACGAGGAGTACATCCTGTCCTTCGAGACCATCGACAAGATGCGCCGCGTCAGCTCCTACTCCTCCCTCAACTCCCTCATCGGTGAGTGCCCGTGCGCCCTGCCCGCAACGCCGCGCCCTCTGCGGGTGCCCTCTGCTGGGTGCTGTTGGGTTCTTGCCCAGAAGCTCTGGCAGCTCCGTGTTTGTTCCAAATCTTGGACAATCTTGAGTGTGGTCTTCACTCAACCCCGAGTGGATCCCTGGCCTCAGAACCAGGGGTTTTGGTTTGGGTTGTGGCTTTCTTGATGACCAGATTGTAGTGGAGTGGTGGCCCAGCGTCTCCCAGCCCCACTCATGGGCAGTGCCTTCACCTGTGGGTGCTTACGCCCCAGCCGGGACTCCCACATGGCTCCCCCTCAGCCTCCCCGGGGGAGAGGTCCCTGCGTGGGGCAGTGCAGCATCAGTGTTCCTGGGCAGCGTGTGCTTGCAGCTGCCCCCGCAGGGCTGCAGCCTGTGGCTCTGGGTGCTCCGTGTCCAGGCTGCTGCTGCCGGAGCCTCCATCTGCCTTCCCGGGCTCTGGCCCTGCAGGCGGTCGGCGTGGTTCTGGCTGCGGTCCACAGTCAAGGAGCCTCGCAGAGTGTAATTCCGTTCCTTTGTCTCGTGGGCCTCTCGTGTCTGGCGTGCTCGGACCCAAGCGCTGGGGCCGTCCCCTGCTGCTTTCCCACGTGCACCAGCAGTGAGCTGGGTGGGAAGTGGGGCAGCCACTCCACTTACAAGTGCCGTAAGGGATGCCATGGGTGCAGGCGGTAACTTAACCCGTTGTGCCCCAATGCCAGCCCGCACGCACGGTACCGGCTTGAGAATGTGTCACCATAGTAGCAAATGCCTGTGCTGAGGGAGGGGAGGATGTGAAGGGAGCCAGTCACAGTGCTGGCCACTGGACACCCCAGCCCTTGCTGTTGTCACCTCATAGTCACATGTGGCCCTGGCATCAGAGGAGCTGACAGCCACTCACGACTAGCCCCACTCCTCGCCTTGTCCTGGGGGAGCCAGGTCCAAGTCCTCACTCAGAAGTGGGTGGGAACGGCTCCCCTCACAGAGGAGCACAGGAATCCAATTCCAGGACTCAGAAACTACCTGAGCCCCGAGCTCTCAGGAGACAGCAGGGGCTATGGCCGGCAAATTCTGCCTACCCAGCATGCCCCTCCCGTGTCTCCTTCCTGGGAGAGCGGGGTATGGCAGTGGCCCTGAAGAAGTGTTTACAGCCTGTTTGACTACCCACCAGGAGAGGCTGGTGAGCAAACAAGCCCTGCCCCTGGTGCCACTAGAGGAGTTGCCCTGATGGAAGCCACTGTTAAGTGGCAGAAGCACCAGCCAGCTAGCCAGGGAGCAGTACTGTCCCACTTGAACAGCTGGGGCTGCAGCTGGCACAGAGGGCAGAACGGCTCCTGAAGGCTGCCCCATGTCATGGGTGCAGGTCCTAGGGAGTGGACATCTCCAGGACTTGCCTGTTGGTGCCCAAGGACAGGAAGGAGGCTGACAAGATGGCGCCCATGCAGAGCCCCCAGCAAGGCAAGTGGTTCCACCCGTGTCATAGGCTCGGCCCCTCTGGCAGCGGGGCACCCTGGGGTGCAGAGGAGCCCGGAGCTTGGCAGAGCCCCCAGCAAGGCAAGTGGTTCCACCCGTGTCATAGGCTCGGCCCCTCTGGCAGCGGGGCACCCTGGGGTGCAGAGGAGCCCGGAGCTTGGCAGAGCCCCCAGCAAGGCAAGTGGTTCCACCCGTGTCATAGGCTCGGCCCCTCTGCCAGTGCTGTGACAAGTCCTGACCCAAGCCTCCTCAGAGTTTGGCACTTGTCATCTATGTAAGGATAGAGCATGAGTGAGGCACGTGCGGCCGGCAGCAGGCGTGGACGCCCCGGGCTCGTGCCTGGAGCCCAGAGGTGCTGAGCTGCTGCCTGCCCGCCCAGGGCCCGAGTGTGTGCACACTGGCTCTGTCCTGTTCAGGAGACAGCAGGCTTAACCACAGAACTGCTCACGGAACAGGGGCTCCCGGCCAGACCAAGCGAAGATGTGCAGAGGACAGCAGCTCCCTGTGACACTTCTCATTGGGTCATCCATGTCATCTGAGACTGGCAGAATGAGACTAACATTGTTATATCAAAGTCAAAATCTGCTAGAAAATCAAGTCAGAAAAATAAAGTTGCAAAGCAGCAAATAATAGCACAACCCCAGCAGATGGTAAACCTCAGCTTTGGTGTTCCATGGTGGGGCTCTTCCCCCAGGGCCTGCAGGGGAAGGGGGCCCTGGGACCCTCTGGCCCCTGTGAGGACCTCACTTGGCAACCACACCAGGCTGCCTGGGTTAGGTGTGCGTGCCCGTTTCCCTGAGCTGCCCTCCCATGTTTTGGTGACCGCACATCCAAAAAGCAGGAGGACACCGGGAGAAGTGGGCGTCAGGGCGCCCGCCTTGCTGTACGGAGCAGGGCTGTCCTTGCCCGTCCTTGAGGGCCGAGCCGGGCACTGCCCACTCAGCCTCCCCCCTCCCCCCTGCCCGTGCTGGCCGGCACCCCTGAGGCCTCCGCCGTGTCACCTACTCCACGTTCTGGCTCCTGAGCACCAGCGCTCGGACCCGAGCGTGGCTGCTCCATGCTGTCTCCACCGCCCGCCTTGCTGGCCATCTCCACCTGGCCTCTCTCCCTTCAGAGATTCACATGGTTTCTGGGCTCTGCCACGGTGCCAGGGCCCAGCGTGGCCAGAGGCTGGGTATGTGTGTGTCCTCTGGGCTCTGCCTCGGTGCCAGGGCCCAGCGTGGCCAGAGGCTGGGTACGTGTGTGTTCTCTGGGCTCTGCTGCCATGCCAAGGCCAAGGTGTGGCTCAGAGGCTGGGTACGTGTGTGTTCTCTGGGCTCTGCTGCCATGCCAAGGCCAAGGTGTGGCTCAGAGGCTGAGCATGTGTGTGTCCTCTGGGTTCTGCCGCAGTACCAGGGTACAGCCTGTCACTGGGCTCTATGAGAGACCAGGTAGGCGTGAACAGCCCTGCCTGAGGATGCCACGGCAGCCTGCCTCCTCTGCCCCACACCCAGGACTCCCCAAAACCCAGGGCGAAAGGCAGTGCGGACACGGCCAAGGGCTGCCTTCCACAGCCATGTTCATGTGAGGTAGCAGCTGTGTTCTGAAGAAGCTTCCTCCCCAGGGGTGAATCCAGCCCTGCACGTGGCGACCCCACAGGAGCATCCGCCCACTGAGCCCTCCCGTCTCTTGCAGGGGTGTCCTTCAACAGCGTCTATACCCAGATGTGGAGAGTCCTGCTGCATCTGGCCGCTGACCCCTACCCCGACGTCTCCGACCTGGCCATGAGGGTGCTCAACAGCATCGCCTACAAGGTGTGTGGAGAAGCGCCGCAGAGCTGTGCGGCTGCGGCTCAGCCAGGGGCGTCCGCCAGGGGCTCCCGGGCTCCTGGAAGGGCCCACCTGCCGTGGCCTCTGCGCGCTGTCGGATTTGTGTGCTCCTTGCCTCAGGCATTTGCCCACCCAGATTCACACTTTTTTTTTTCCTTAAAAACTTCATTTATTTAAAAGGCGGAGTCGTAGAGAGGGAGGGACAGAGATCTGACCTCTGGTTCACCCCCGGATGGTTGCCATTGCCAGGACTGGTTCTGTGCAAAGCCAAGAGCCCAGCAGCACTCCACCAACCTCACGTGGCTCACAGGGCATGCTCCCTGCCTTCCCAGGAACACAACGGGGAGCTGGGTCACAAGTGGGCAGGTGGGACTCCAACGGCTGCATCGCAGCTGGCAGCTGAACCCTGGGGCCGAAGCCCCTGCCTCTGCTGCAGAGATATGAGCCTAATTCACTATCTGAATCTGAAGCCACATTTTTATTCATTAGAGTTAAAAACATTCATATCAGCATGACCTGTTGTGAGTGTGTCCCTGTGAGCTCTATGAGGGTCATGTCCCCCCGTGTGAGGGCCGTGTCCCCCGTGTGAGGGCCGTGTCCCCGTGAGCTCTGTGAGGGTCGTGTCCCCCCGTGTGAGGGCCGTGTCCCCGTGTGAGGGCCGTGTCCCCGTGTGAGGGCCGTGTCCCCCGTGTGAGGGTCGTGTCCCCCGTGTGAGGGCCGTGTCCCCCGTGTGAGGGCCGTGTCCCTGTGAGCTGTGTGCTGGTCACAGCAGTGTGTCATCGCCGCCCTGGGGTGCGGCAGCTCCTGTGCGGACAGAGGAAGGGAGCCTCCGCCCGGGCCCGGCTCCAGCCTCGGGTTGGGAGCACCCAGCTGCTGTACAGGTTGTGGCGTACATCCTAAGAGGCCCAGCTGTCGCTGTCACTGGGTGACGCCTGGCCATCTGTGTGAGGACAAGTCCGTGCCGCCTGTGGAGTGTTGTGGGCGGGGAGTGGCTGAGCACAGGCGGAGGTGCCCAGAGCCAGCTCTCGGCAGTCCTGGGGGACCCCCTTTTGGCGAGCTTCTCACCCACGAGGCATCCTTACGGCGGAACTCTCAGGAACATTTCTGACTGCCTGGCTGCCTCCCACGGAGGAACAGCCACGGAGCCCTGAGGCCAGCGCGGAAGCCCATAGCCGCCCATGGGGCATGCGTGGCGAGGCCTGCCCCTCGGGCTCCCTGTGCCTTCTGTCCCTTCCAGTTAGGGGACCAGCCGTGATGGCCTGCTGCTGCCCGGCCTGTGACTGGCTGGGATGGGATAGACTGCCCACAGCCACTGCAGCCTCCAGGGACATGGGCAGGGCTGGCTGCCACAGCAGCCTCAGGATGGGACGGGCCGCCCACAGCCTCAGCTCCTCAGGTGGCCTCTGCCTTTACAATGAGCTGAGAGAATTCCACACTAGACAGGCAGGTGCCACCCTGTGAGGGGTCACATGGGAGATGGACCCAGACCAGAGAGGGAGCAGCGGGCAAGGGCGGTGAGGCCACCTGATGCCCAGTGGTGCACGGTGAGCATCCAGCAGCTCTTCCCGTGGTGTCTGCTCAGAACGGTGACAGGAATGTGGGCTAGGTTCCTCCCCAGCCCTGTCCTGCCCAAGGGTCCTCGTGCCTCTGCTTGGAGGGGCCGTGCACCCAGCCCCCGACTGCACTGCTGGGCCAGTCTGAATCCCTGAGCTCACTGGTGCTCCTCACAGGACTGCCCCTGCCCATGACGTCCGGCTCAGGAACTCTCGGGGGTCCAGGGCAAGGACTTGGCGTCCAGCTGGGAGAGCAGAGCACGGCGCTGACAGTCCCTTAGGCCACCTCAGGAGGCCCTCGTCACTGCCGTTGGCGGCTGCAGGAACTGCTGAAGTGTTCCCGTCAGCTCGGGATTTCCTGTCTCCCCAGCACCTCCCACACTCAGAGCAGGCTCACACTAGACTTCTTGTGTCTGAGCTGTCAGTTTCCTTTCTCTTTTTAGACTTTTTAAAGAGAAATTTATGGGCCTGGCACCGTGGCATAGTGAGTTAAGCTGCTACCTGCAATTCCAATACCCCATACAGGTGGTAGTTCAAGTCCCTGCTGCTCTGCTTCCCATCCAGCTCCCTCTAACGGCCTGAGAAAGCAGCAGAAGACAGGCCAAGTGCTAGGCCCCCTGCACCTGCATAGGAGACCCAGAAGACACTCTAGGCTCTGGCTTTAGCATGCCCCAACTCTCGCCATTGTGGCCATTGGGGACAAATCAGTGGATGGAAGAGCTCTCTCCATGGTGTCGCTCTCTCTCCCTCTTTCTCTGTAATTTTGCCTTTGAAATAAATCTTTTTGAAAAAAGATTATTTATTTGAGCAGCAGAATTACAGAGAATGTGGGAGAAACAAAGAGAGCCCTTTGGTTTACTCATTCACTCCCCAGATGGCCACGGTGACCAGGGCTGGACGTAGACAAAGGCAGGAGCCAGGGCTCCCAGGTCCCCCACGCGGGGCAGGCCCACGCATGTGGTCTCTTTGTGGGCTTTACTTACAGGAGCGCGTAGTGTCCACTCGCCGTGGGAGAGAGCGCGATGGCAGGATAAGGCCAAGTGCACATTTTGTGCCGTCTGTCTCAAGGAGAGGCAGAAGCGTTGTTTGTGCATCGCACTGGTCTGCCCTCTGGCCATTTTTTCACGTGGTGAGGGCAGGAGAATCCGAAAGCCGTTGGCACCCATGGGAGACACCTGTGCTGATTGGCCCTTTGGTGTTTGGCTGGTCAGAGGGCAGGTTGACATCCCGCTGAGCAAAGGCCAGCAGGGCACAAGAGCATTCATGGCCACCCAGCTCCTGCAGCAAGTGTGGGCATACCTGCCAGCTCCCTGGACTGTGCCCCCAGAATTGTCTGCCAGTCTAGCAGTGGTCAAGACCAACAGCAGGCTCTCCAGGGACACAGGAGACAGTGGCCACCATTTTCCTGAAGGGTGGGCTGCACTACACATTGACCCTCTGAGCCACCTAGACACCCCTTCAGACTTCCCGTCACGGTCGCCAGCCTAGGCGTCGCCCAGCCCCAGGTGAACCATTTGGAACAGGTGGTAGGCCTGGTGGTGGAGCTGCCGCTGGGGAGACCCACATCCCGTAGCGGAGTGTCCATGCGTGTCCTCGTCCCCCCTGGAGGCAGCAGGGGGTGGCCCAAGGACTTGGTCCTTGCCGCTCATGTGAGAGCTCCTGGCTCCTAGTACTGGTCTGGCCCAGCCCTGTGTGTTGGGCATCTAAGGGCTGAACCAGCCGTGGAAGGTCTCTGTCTTCCCATCGGATAAAATGAAAACAAAAACAAGGTCTCCGGGGTTACATTCGGGGCCAGTCTGCTGCTCTGTCCCTGGATAAAAAAGCCTTGGCTCCGCCATGAAACCCCTTGGAAGCCACCACTGCTGTGCCTCTCACGTGCGTCTGGAGGCCATTGGGCGGCCCCTAGTACCCTGCCTGTTGCTCCTGTAGGCCACGGTGAACGCCCGGCCCCAGCGCATCCTGGATGCAGCTTCACTCACGCAGTCGGCCCCCGCTAGCCCCACCAACAAGGGCGTGCACATCCACCAAGTGGGGTGAGTAATGGGCCTCGCACGCCGAGCCAGCCGCCCTGCCGCACAAGAGTCACTGCCAGCTCACCTTCCCACTGCTTCCCGTCTTCCCTCCGCACCCAGTGCAGTCCCTCCTGGCCAGCCCCACGTGGGAAACCCTGCGCTAGCACACTCAGCCGTGGCCGAAACTGGGCCTGGCCAGTACCCTGGACTGCTCTGAGTCTTACAAGAGGCCATGAGTCCCCGAGCAGGACGCTGGCGGGTGGCTGCTCCGTCCCATCAGCAGGTGCCCACCAGAGGCTGTGCAGCCATCCTATGCTGTCAGGGGCTGAGGCGCCGTCCCAGGCGGGCAGCCAGGGCCCTCACACCTGGTGAGAGGCCATTCCTACGCCATCAGGCTGCGTGGGAGTCAGGCCACAGTGTCCCCGTGTCTGTCGGCAGCAGCAGGGAGGCCTGGGGCTGTGGGTTAGGGTGCTAAGCTCCTTGGTCTCCTCCCCATGGCAGCGGCTCCCCACCAGCATCCAGTGCCAGCAGCTCCAGCCTGACCAACGACGTGGCCAAGCAGCCAGGCAGTCGCGAGCTGCCCTCCGGCCGGCCAGGTACCACGGCTTCCGTGGCCGCGCAGTACACCCCCCACTCCCACCAGTTTCCCCGGACGCGGAAGATGTTCGACAAGGGCCCCGATCAGGTACGCAGCCTCCAGGGACAAGCCCACGCAGAAACCCCTCGGGGACATGTGCAGCTGGCTCCACGCCCAGCTCTGGGCCTGCTCGGCCCCTACAGATGAGGGCTGCACTGCTGGGTTTTGTAGGGACCTCTCCTTCCTGGCTCTCCAGGCGACAGAATCCAAGCACGTGGCCATGTCCTTCTTTCCCCTCTTGGGAGAACAGGATGTGATGGCGGCTCCACAAGTTTCCTCTGAGCAGGGTGTGTCTGTATAGGCACTCGATTGTTGTGCCTAGGGAGCTGCCTGCTGTCCTCAGGGCTCCCAGCAGCCCACGTGCAGGACTGGGCACCCTCACCCGGGCTGTGCGGAGGCCCTCGGCTGCCATGGGTGCTGACAGCAGTGTCCCTTGGGAGTGGGGAAAGCAGACTTCCCTTGCAGTGGTGTCACTTGAACAAGAAGCTACCTGCTGTTCACTAGGGAATCCCAGGTTTCCATGCCAACCTGGCAGCTCCAGCGCCCCCGCCATCAGAGCTGGAGCAGCGAGGAGGGAGGCCAGCCCGGGCTTCGAGTACAGGCCAACCTCCTGGGTGGGCCCTGGTGCAGGGCGGAGGCCGTGCTTCCCACTGCCACGGCCTGGACACAGTGGGCACAGGGCAACTACTGCACACAGGCACCTGCAGACTACTGCCCTGTTGGTCCTATCGCCAGGCTGGGGACTGCTGCTTCAGGCAACCTGAGCGGCGGCCAGCGTGACACAGGGAGCGGTCAGGTACGGAGCAGCCTGCGGGGCTCTCCCTTGGGACCACCGCTCACCAGCAGGGCCCAGCCACCAGAGCAGCCACGTGCCGGGCCGTGGGGAACTAGCTTGGGCAAGGGACCCTGCTGAGCAGCTGGCCCATGCTGAGCCCACCCCAGGAAGGCATAGTGGACACAGGCCCTGCCGACCTGTCCAGACCCCGGGCCCAGGGTCTGCAGGAACAGGAGATATGACTCCGGCTGCCACCCTGCTCCTGGCCCGGAGCGCTGAGCACCCAGCCACAGCCGGGCTCTCAGGCCAAGGGGGCCCATGCTGTCCCTCCCCTCCCTGCAGACCGCGGACGACGGGGATGAGGCTGCCGGACACAAGAACTTCATCTCCACCGCCATGCAGACGGGCTTCTGCGACTGGAGCGCCCGCTACTTCGCCCAGCCTGTCATGAAGGTGCGTGAGCCCTGGTTACATGGGGCCCAGCGAAGCTGCCCCTTCCGTGGGCATGCTGCTCGTGTGTGACTCCCCACGTGGCCCCGCTGTGGCCCCCTTGAACTGCTGCTCATCACCGTGGCCCAGGGCATCTCCATGGGTCACCTTGATGAGCCGTGGGCAGGATAGCAGGAGTTCCAGGGCCCTTGCCAGCCCCGCCAGCCCCAAGCCAGCCCTCCACAGCTGCTGTCCCCATGGGGCGACATGACACTAAGTCAGTGTCACAGTGCAGGATCAGCAGTTAAAGCTGACGGCTCAAGCAGCCAACTTCACTTGCTTGCTGTCTTCTCCAGTGACTGCACAACCCGCCTGCTGGGAGCTTGCCCACTCACTCCCAAGCCCACCACAGGCCTTCGAGGCCTGCCAGCATCCCTCACCAGGCCCCTGCCTGGGCCAGCACCCTAGGGCTCACCTCTGCCAAAGTGCCAGCTCCCATGGGCTGGCCAGGAGCCACGCTCGGTGGAGTCATGGGCACCCACCTCCACAGAGGTGGCTCAGGAGACCCTCTACCTCCATGGGTGCGTCACTGAAGACCCCGTGTCACGGGTGGTCCTGGGCATGGTGCTGCTCCGCCAGCAGCCCACGGCCCTGCACCTCTCCTCACCGAGTCCGTGTACGTTCCTGGCCTCCCACGGCTGGGATGGAGGGTACCTCTCTCCCACTCGGGTTTTTCTTAAGATGCATATACTGACTTGCAAGATGAAGTCACAATGAGAGAGATCTTCCAGATGACTGTGGCAGCCAGGCTGCGGCCCAGAGCTTCCTGCGTGTCTCCCACAGGGCACAGGGGTCCGAGGACTCAGCACGCTAGCCGGGAGCTGGATTGGAAGTGGAGCAGCCCAGGCTGTATCTGGTGTCCGTTTGTAGGGATGTGGGTATCTGAGGCAGCCACTCTTCCGCTGTTTGAATGAACCCGAGAGTGAACTTCCCACAGTTTGGCCTAGGAAGTCACTTCACTGAGGTCTGAAAATGTTGTGAGATGTGGGCAGGCGGGGTGAACCATGCCAGCAAGCTGGTCCAGTTCCTGGCTGCTGCTCTCCCACACCAGTTCCCCGAGAATGGCCTGGCAAAGGCAGTGGAAGATAGCCCAAGTGCTTGGACCCTGCCACCCCAGCGGGAGACCCAGAGGAAGCTTCCGGCTTCAGCTTAACCCAGCTCTGGCTCTTTGTGAGCGAATCAGTGATGGAAGTTCAGTCTCCCCTGCCCCTCTCTGAATAAACCTTCAAACAAAAAGTTGACAATAACCACTGTTATGAGGAAATGTTTTACAAAGAAAGAAAAAGTTAGGACAGAAACCCCCATCTGATAGTGCTGCCAGCTGTGCCAGGTGTGTGCACACAGATGGCACCTGGAGCCAGCTGCCTTGGCTGTGGGCTGCCAGGTGGTGGCATGCTGGGTGAGCAGGGCCTTGTGCTCAGGACGCAGAAGCACAGGCTGGGCTGTGGGGGGCGCTCTGCTCCCCAGCACTTGCAGGAGGAGGCCAGCCAGAGTGCAGGCTCAGTCAGGGATGTGCGCATTAAGCTGCTCCTTGGAACTCAGGAGTTGCGCTTTACCTCCACGCAGGCTCGGTCCCTTGAGCAGGTCTCACACTGAAGGCCGTCAGGCCCGGGGCCCAGGCCCCTTGGCATGCTGAACCCTGCCCACTTCCTGGCATGGCAGTGAGCGACTGCTTAAAATCCTTGGGCATCGCTCGTTCTGACTCATCAAGGCTTGTCCTAGAAAACTCAAAGCTCATTTCCCATAAACCTGAAAATGAATTTGATTTCTTCCCAAAAGATTTGCTTTCTTCCCCAGGCATTCAAATGAGCCTTCGCTGAGCAAGCCTCTGCCGGCTGCTCTAAGCATGTCTGGCGCCAGTCTGGGCTGCGGCCAGCCAGGGGGCCCCCACACATCTGCTGGGACGCCGCCCACACCTGCCAGGCACCCCGGCTCCCTGCTCGGGGTCGCCCTCAGCTTCAGAAGGGCAGACGGCTGTGGTCTCTCTAGTTCACACTGCTGCTCCTCCCAGGAGTGTTTTCAGTAATTTAATTAATCATCTAATGACACGTTTGTGTGATCAGATGCATGAGGATCCCATTGGCAAAGACAGATTCCAACAACGAGAGCTCAAACCCCAAACCCTACCCTGCCCCAAAGGCGCACCAGGCCTGACAAGCATCCATTGAGCAGGTGACACCCAGGGCACGGTGTGTCCGAGCAGCCGGCCACCCAGAGCTCCAAAGCCACCACTGCAGTGACCGGTTGGCTGGGGGTTTTGTTTATTCTGAGGACCAAAAACAGCTGTGCCCAGCCACGATCGCTGCCCATGTAAGGTAGGGGCTGCCCCATGCCCAGCCGCCATCACCCTGTGTGAGGTGGGGGGCCGCCCCGTTTTCAGCTGCAGTCACCCCATGTGAGGTAGGGGCCACCCCGTGCTCCAGCCACCATCACCACATGTGTAAGGAGCTGCTCTGCTTGCCGCCTGTGCCGTGGAGACACAGAGGCAGGGGCAGCGTCTGCCGTGCACTTGGGGCTGACTCCCGTTCCGACCTCAGAGGGGAATGTCACTTTGTTCCTCTCCATGACTTGTCTGGAGACCGGTGTCCCCGCAGGAAGGGGGCGGGGCCCTTGGCTGTCACTGCGGGGGGCCAGTACCTCCTAGGGCAGCTCATACTCCTGCCTGGGAAACTCCTTCCTCTTTTTTTTTTTTCTTTTTAAGACTTATTTACTTTGAAGTCAGAGATCTTGCACGGCTCCAGCAGCCAGGGCTAAACCGGGCTGGAGCTAGGAGCTTCTTGCAGGTCCCCTGTGTGGGAGAAGGGGACTGGACCGTCACGGGCTGCTCTGGGGCACTCGGCAGCAAGGAGCTGGACTAGCACCCAGATGAGAAGGCAGCACCCGGATCCCAGGTTGACCTGCTGTGTCACACACCTGACAGATACGTTCTTAGAAACCACTAATATATGTGTATAATTAGCTATTTCCATCTACCAGTTGAAAGAAAGAGATGAGATCTTCCATTAGCTGGTTTACCCCTTGAAGAACACAGCAGCCAGGAGTCTGACACTGCATGCCAGCCTCCCGCGGGAGTGGCATGGCAGAGACCATCAGCCGCTCTCCGTGCTGCAGCACAGGGCACAGGGTCAGGAGCAGCTTGGGACGCCAGCGCTGTCAGCGGCTACTTGACCCACACACCACAGCACCAGCCCCTAGCGGCATTGTCTGGCAGACCAACACACAGAAAACCAAAGTTACAAGGTGCCATGTGAGCGAAAACTGGACTTCACCAAACTCAAGGACTAGTTTCTGGAAGACAGTGCTAAGAAAAGGCAAGCCGCCAAGTGAGAGGGAGTTGTGAAGTGCGTGGCAGATGGAGATCTGGGGTTCAGTGTGTAAACTCTCAAGACTCTGCAAGGAGGGGCCTCGCTTGTAGTGCAGTGGGGAAACCGCCGTCCACATGTGACACCAGCATCCTTTCTGGGCACTGGTTCAAGTCCCAGCTTGCCCAGTTCCCATCCAGCTCCCTGCTGATGCGGAAAGCAGTGGAAGACCCAATGTCTGAGCCCTTGCCACCCGTGTGGGAGGCTGTAAGAAGCCCTGCCTTTGTCCTGGCCCTGCACTGACCACTGTGGCCATCCAGGAAGTGCACCAGCAGGTGGAAAATCTCTCTCTCCCTGTAACATTTTCAAAGTAAATACACAAATCTTAAAGAACCAGATGTAATAGTGGGAGGTTTGCAGACACATCACCAAGAAAGATCCGCAGGTGGGGACAGCGTTGGGGACATTGCTCACAGAGCGGGTGTGTGTGGCCAGACCGGAGAGTCTGGCAGTACAGGCACTGACAGCCGGCATGGAGCATCAGAGGCCCTCGTCCTGGGCTGTGGCTGCTACAAGGATGGTTACTGCAGGTCCCAGGGCAGTGCTTTGTGCCCTGAGAGAGGCAGTGCAGTCTTCGGAGCCCTCTGTCCGAGTGTTTCAGGGTCTCTCTTCACGCACAGCACAAACCAGAGGCGACCCAGAGGCCCTTCTCCTGGAGGACAGGCGCACTGCTGTCTAAGGTGCCTGTCAGCTGGCATCCCACGTGCTTGCTAGCTGCGTCCCGCTGCTCTGCTTGGCAGCCATCCCTCGCCAGGGCCTCAAAGAAGCAGCAGAGCATGGCCCAAGGGTTGGGCCCCTGCTGCCCACGTGGGAGACCCAAGGCCTGGGCATCACAGCCATCTGGAGGTGATCCGGTAGGTAGAAGATTCTAGGCAGCAATCGAAGTTAAACCTGCATAACACAGGTGAACCACAAGTGATCTTCCGAGTGGAAGAGGCCACTTGGAGCCCTGGACAGGGCACCAACCCTGAGGACACCCCAGAAGCTGTGGATTGGAGCCATAACATCCTGGTGGGGCTGGCACCCTGTATCAAAAGCCAGTTTTAATCCCAGCTGCTTTGCTTCCAGTAGGTTCTCTACTAGTGTGCCAAGAAGGCAGTGGGTAATGACCTAAGTGCTTAGACCCCTGCACTCTTGAGGGCCACTGGACAGGAGTATGTGGCTTTGGCCTTGTTGCCAAAGCAATTGCAGAGGGGACCAGTGGATGCAAGAGCTAAGTCTGTCTCGGTACCCTTCGCCTTTCAAATAAATACATCTTCTTAAAAGGTAGAATAGAAGGTTAACCTTCAGCCTGCAATACCAACATCCCGTATGTGTGTCAGTGTCCCGGCAGCTCCACTTCCCATCCAGCTCCCTGTCTGTGGCCTGAGAAAGCAGTCGGGGACGGCCCAGAGCCTTGGGACCCTGCACCCATGTGGGAGACCCGGAGGAGGCTCCTGGCTTCGGATCAGCTCAGCTCCAGCCGTTGGGCCACTTGGGGAGTGACCCAGTGGACAAATATCAGCCTCTGTTCCTCCCCTCGTGCTCTGTCCCTTTCACTCCTTCCAACTTACCACATAAATTCAATATTTATAAATAAATATAACACCAGGGCTAGGCGTTAAAAGGAGGACCAGCCAGCAAGGGACCCAAAATGAGGTGTGGTTGCACAGGACGGTACCTGAATTCATGGTGTTTACACGACTAAGCCTTTGCAGAAACTAGGAGGTATACCTTGAGGTGAGGGGCTCTGTCCCTCGGTGTCTTCTGGAGGAGGTGAGGGGCTCTGTCCCTTGGTGTCTTCTGGAGGAGGTGAGGGGCTCTGTCCCTCGCTGTCTTCTGGAGGAGGTGAGGGGCTCTGTCCCTCGGTGTCTTCTGGAGGAGGTGAGGGGCTCTGTCCCTCGGTGTCTTCTGGAGGAGGTGAGGGGCTCTGTCCCTCGGTGTCTTCTGGAGGAGGTGAGGGGCTCTGTCCCTTGGTGTCTTCTGGAGGAGGTGAGGGGTTCTGTCCCTTGGTGTCTTCTGGAGGAGGTGAGGGGCTCTGTCCCTTGGTGTCTTCTGGAGGTGAGGGGCTCTGTCCCTCAGGTGTGTTGAGCAGCACTCGGCTGGGGGAAAGGCACTCCGGCAGGGATGGCACCCTACCCAGCGGGAGTGCACGGGCCATCCTGCTTTGCCCACTCTCCTACCTCCGTAGCTTAGCCAGTCACTGTCGTCCCTGCCCACACGGGGGCGCCACTCTGCACCACACCTGTGGAGCCAGCACCCAGTGGGGGTCAGGGTGAGAGTGGGGGAGCCGCTTCACCATTGGGCTGGAGGCCAGCAGTCTATTGAACAGCAGCAGGACTGACGTACCCAGCCGTAGGTGGGCTTGTCCCTACGTTGTCCCCCTGTCATCGTCCCCAGGGGGAGAACCCAAGGAGCTATGCTGGGCAGTGCCCACCTCGGGCCTGGTCCTCTGCCCAACAGTTGAATTTCCTGCATCTCAATGTGGAGAGGTAGGAAGTGGGGCCCAGCAGGTCAGGGTGGCCCTCGCCCAGGCCCAGGCCACTGCCCTGCCCGAGACCTTCCCAGGCCTTTGTTGTGACCCGCCAGGCTTCCTTCATGGTCAGGATGGAGTCAGGCTCTGAGCTGCATCTCTGTGGGCAGCCGGGGCCTCATAATTGGCTTCTGTCTGAGAAGCCAAGAGCTATGAGAAGCTGGTGGCATGTCAGGACCCTAATCATGTGACCCCATTCCCGTACCTGCAGCCTCCTGGTGCTGTGCTGGGGAGCTCACAGAGCTGAGGCTTCCTGCCGGGAGCTGTGCTGGGGGGCTCACAGAGCTGGGGCTGCCTGCCTGTTTACAGAAAGCTCTGTGCAACCTGGGGAGAGGGGAGATTAAGGTTCAGCGAGGGGCAGATCCTCGTGAGCCCAGTCCTGGCGCCCAGCCCTGCTGCCTTCCCTCTCAGCTTCCCACACTGCTCCACCCTCAGCCCCCGGGATGCCGCGTGGGTGGTTCCTGCACAGTGCCGTAGTGCTGAGCCTATGAGACCTTCCTGAGCTCAGCAGGCCCAGGAGAGCAGCTGTGCTCAGAGCTCAGCATGGCGGATGGCAGCCCTGGCTGCAAGGCAGAGTCCTGAGGGGCCAGCTTGCACTGCCCTGGGTGGGCTGCAGGCAGAGCTCATGTCCCTGGAGTTGGCAGAGCCTATCAGGACCCAGAGGTGCCTCCCAGGGCTTTTCCCCTGCACGTGCTCTCTGCCCTGTCCTGCCCTGTGCCCATGTTCTCTGCCCTGCCCCCTGCCCTGTTCTGCCCCACACCCTCTGCTCCCCATCTACCCTCCCAGTGCCCTTGCTCCTGGCAGGCCCTGAGCCTCACCCTGGTCTTGCATTTTCTCTCCCTGCGCTCGGCGTTGTTGCTTGTCATCTCTTCTCCAGCGAGCTCTAGATTGTCACGGCACGAAGGCCACCCTCTGGGGCCCGCCCTGCGCTCTCCCGCACATGGGACTTTTCTAAGCCCATGGAGGTGCCGCGTGAGGTCTGGGGCACTGTCCCCACAGGCTCTGGCCAGGGTGCCCTTTCTTACTGGTGGTGCTGTTTCAGCGGGGTTACTCGTGTGGCTTTCGGAAGACAAGGAACCCCTGAACAGGAGCCAGGGCGACCACAGGCGTGAGCGTGTGTGTGTGCTTTCGAAGAGTAACCCGTTTGAAAGGCAGCATGACAGAGAAGGAGAGGGGATAAGATCTTGTCTTCACTGGTTCGCTCCCCAGATGGATGACGGCGAGATGTGGGTTGGTCCAGGGCCAGGAGTTTGACCCAGGTCTCCCACATCGGTGCAAGTGCCCAACTAAGCACAGCTTCCCCAGGCCATTAGCAGGCAGCTGGGTGGGAAGTGGAGCAGCCGGGACCCGAACCAGCGCCCTGTGGGCTCCTGGCACCTTAGACCTTTGTGTTGTCACCCTGGCTACCGGCACGGCTGGTCACAGGAGCTTCTCTGTCTCGACTGGGGCCGGGAGCTTCGTCTCTCTCTGATTTCTTTTGTATGACTCCTGGTAGCGGTGTCTGGGGGTAACCGCGTGACACGGCCGAGTGCTTGTGGTCAGTGAGCAGTCCGGCTGCCGAGTCACCACGTGCCGGTGCGGAACCCCCTGCCCGCCCCCGAAAGAGGCTTTAAACAACCACAGGCAGGGCAGAGCCTGGGGAAAACAGCTAACACCGACGGGCAGCCTGGGCCATGCTCCTCATCCTTGCCCCATCAGCACCCTCTGTGCAGGACGTGAGCCTGAGGCCCTAAGCGCTGCTCACCATGGGCCTCCAGGGTGCTAGCCACACCAGACAGCCACCAGGCCAGCTACTGCCTCCAAGGCCAGCATCCATATGGGCACCGGTTCATGTCCTAGCTGCTCCACTTCCCATCCAGCTCCCTACTCGTGGCCTGGGAAAGCAGTCGAGGACGGCCCAAACATGGGGATATTGTACCCGCGTGGGAGACCTGGAAGAGGCTCCTGGCTCCTGGCTCCTGGCTCTGTCCTGGCCCGGTTCTGGCCACTGCAGCCATCTGGAAAGTAAACCAGCAGATAGAAGGTCCTCTGTATGACTGCCTTTCAAATAAAGAAGTCTTTTCAGTCGAAGGGGAGGAGGTGCCTCTGAGGGGCTGGGCCTAACCGCGCTCATCTTGTCCTTGAAGATCCCAGAAGAACACGACCTGGAGAGCCAGACACGCAAGGAGAGAGAGTGGCGGTTCCTGCGCAACGCCCGCGTCAGGAAGCAGGCACAGCAGGTGGTCCAGAAAGGTGAGCCCAGCCGGCAGGGACCGCCCGGGCCGCGAGGCCCCTGACTACCACCAGGTGGGCCCTAGCCCTGCCCTGCCCCCCAGCTTCCCCGGAGGCCATCTTCCGTGGGGCGCTGGGCTGTGGCCCCATGTGCCGTGGCCTCTGGGGGAGCAGGAATGCCCGTGCAGCCAGCTCGTCCTCACACGATCGCCACGTGACACTTCAGCCACACTTTGACCCACCGTGTACTGCTGCACTTGAGCATGGTCTGCAGAGCAGGCGGGGCAGTGGGTGGCTGAGTGCAGCTGGCACACTGTCACGGTGACAGAGTGGACAGGCCCCACCCCAAGACAGACCGGCCTCCGGGACCCTCTAGCCAACACAGCACAGCGAGCACGCAGGCCCTCGGTGTCCACCTGGCAGTGCCCAGACCTGCGCCCTTGAGCATGCTGGGACGTCTCCAGCCTAGAGCCAGGCACCCTGCCCATGGAGCAGGCTCTTCTGGGGCCCTGACGCTGCCCGGGTTCCGGCTCGGCCTCCTGCCAGGTCTCTGGCTGCAGTGGTTGGCAGTGGGATCTTGCTCCCTGTCCCCTGAGATTCTGATGACGGGACGGACATGGGCAGCCTCTGTGGAGGCAGTACCATCCTTTCAAGGTGGTGTGCCGAGGCCTTGCCCGCAGCCACACAGCAGGGAGCAGCGAGTGTTGGAGCCTGCACACAGGACCTCGCACGCTGCCTGCTGAAAGCAACTCGGTGTGGCTCACTATGCCACCGGGGGCCAGTGTTTATGGTCTGCCAGTCGCTCAGGCGAGCATATGGGTGGAGCGGCTATCCAGGCTGACCACCAAGCCCTGCGTGGTCGTCTCAGCTCACAGTGGCTGACGGCAAAGTGACCTCGGGCTCCAGGAGCAGGTCAGCTTCCTGCCGGGCTCCAGGCGGCTGGTCAGCAGGAGGCTGTGAGTGTCCTGCACCGGAAGCTGGCTGGGCAGCTGGATAACCAGTGCAGGAAGCTTCTTCCTGTCTCGGCCAAGAACTGTGCTCGACCTGGGTGTGCCCTGAGCCAGAGCCATGGAGAGGCCACCTGCCTTCAGGAGTGGCACAGGAAATGACCCTGGCCACCCGCACACCGCAGCTTCTCCAGCACTCGGGCTGGGCAGCAGTGCCCATCTGAGCCATGAGTCCTGCCAGGCAGAGCCCAGTGGCCCTGTCCCCATCCTGGCACGTGTCATGTGCTTCTGACCAGACATACCAGCCAGGTGGCATGATGACCATTGACCAGGCACTCACCAAGTGTCCACCACTGTGTCCAGAGCAGAGACCTGGGGCTGCCCCGTGGACAGTGTGGCCCAAGGACGCAGGCAGGCTCTCAGGGCTGCCCCCACGGACAGTGTGAGCTGCTGGCCCTTGTGGCCTCTACATTCTGCCCATTGCCCGTGCTGTCCCAGCCCCCGTTTGGCACCAGCCCTGGCCAGGTACCCCACTGGCTTGCATGGTCCCAGCCCTGGACCCCCCGTGTGTCTCTCTGGCAGGCATCACCAAATTGGACGACCAGATCTTTCTCAATAGGAACCCCGGCGTCCCCTCCGTGGTCAGATTCCACCCCTTCACGCCGTGTATAGCCGTGGCTGACAAGGACAGCATCTGGTAGGCACCCACCCCAGCCTCATGGAAACCTCATCACCTTCTCCAGAGTCTCCGGACATCAGAAGAGCATCCCTACCCACCACCTCCTCACTGCCTGCCCTGCCCCCTGTCTTCCACACCTGGCAGACAATCCCCAGGCAGGGTCAGGGCTCCCCACACCTGGGCAGGGTCAGGCACAAAGGCTTGTCCCACGACAGTAGCAGGCGTGACGGGAGCACATTAGAGGACCCTGGTTCCTGAGGAGGAGGCCATGTAACCCAGCGGGCAACTGCGCAGGCACAGGACCACCCAGGCACCAACACCTGATGCTTGGAGCTCACAAACATAATTGTCACCTCTGTTGTTTCATTTTTGAAAGGCAGACTTACAGAGAGAGATGTGAGAGGAGGGGGAGAGAGCGTCCATCCATTCCCTAAGTGTGTGCTGCCGCCAGGACGTGGCCAGGCCGACTCCAGGAGTGAGGTCTCCTGCAGGCCTCTGGAGCCTGGGTGCAGGGGCCGGGCCGCCAGTCGCCTCCCTTGGGCCACTGGCCACCTCCCTAGTACACCCACACCAAGTGGGAGAGCCAGGACTGGGACCAGACACCTGCAGCCTGCACCCCTCCTCTCGAAGCCGTGGTCAGCAGCTGACATGGAGCTCCCATGCTCACGCATGTGGCTTCACGCTGGCCGACCATCCCCGCCACGCAGCTCCATAGCACTCTCGCCTTACACAGCTGACGGTCGATCCCTAGTCGGCACGCCCTCCCAGCCCCTGCCCCCACATGGTCCCATCTACAGGCAGACCCCTCCCAGGACCTCTGACCAGGGGCTCACACCATGGGGAGGAAGGGCAGGGTCCCCTCCTTTCCCGACTGCGACGCCCCACAGCACAGGGACTGGTGCTCTCCTGCCAAGGGACACCTGGTTGCATGGCCTCCTGCTTCCCGCCTGTAAGGCAGAGGATGTGCAGCCAGATGAGAGTCAGCAGGTGTCCTGGCCTTGCCATGCCAGCTCCTGAAGAACTGCCACATGGCCAGCACGGCTGGCCAGCCCGAACGGGCAGGGTCTAGCTTCCCTGCCTCCCCTCCGCTGCCCTACAGCCCCAGGTGGGCAGTGGCGGGGTCAGCTGGGCCGCCTCTCCCTGACCCTGCGTCTCTTTACTCTTGCCTGAAGCTTCTGGGACTGGGAGAAGGGGGAGAAGCTGGATTACTTCCATAACGGAAACCCTCGGTACACTAGAGTCACGGCCATGGAGTACCTCAACGGCCAGGACTGCTCGCTCCTGCTCACGGCCACGGGTGAGGGCGCTCACGGGTGCCAGGGCACGGTCGGGGTCCCAGGCCCACAAGATACTGGTACAGTTGATCCTTCAAAGGGCACAGGCTCGAGGCTGTCCGTGGAGCCCACAGGGTGATGTGGCCCACTCCCTGTGCAGGGAGGAGACCCCCAGGCTCCTGGCGGCTGAGTGCAGCAGATACCAGCTTCACGCCCCTCAGGGGCCGGGCACACGCCGGGTTTCCTCTGGCCCCTGCCACAGGCTGGGCGGGTGTGTGCTCCAGCGAGGTGGGGACCCGGGAGTGCAAGGGGCTGGGCGGGCTCTGCCGTCGGGCCTCCAGCCTGGGTGCCTCATTTTCCTCCCACACCTCCTGCAGACGACGGGGCCGTCAGGGTCTGGAAGAACTTTGCTGACCTGGAGAAGAACCCCGAGATGGTGACCGCCTGGCAGGGGCTGTCAGACATGCTACCAACCACACGGGGTGAGTTCCAGGAGGACAGGCCCGCGGCTGCCCCCCACAGTCCTAGGCACCTCACTGCTTCTGTGCCCCCACCAGGGTTCCTGAAGCCACACAGTAGCCACGGGGTCTAAGTGCCCAATGTGGTCACCGCCCGGGACCCACACCCCTGTCCCCGGGGCTAGGCCGTGTCCCGGTGGGCAGCTGCCATGGGTAGGCTGTTCCTGTGCGTTGTCAGTGGAAACCTTGGCCACCCTGGCCTGCCATGCTGTTTGTGCTGTTCCACAGCCTAGGGGAGCATGGGCCATCCCCACCCCTCACAGATACATCTCAGTGGACTTGGGCTAGACTCGGGCTCGGGGCCTGGCTACCTGGGTCTGCATTCCCTCCCTCCCCTTCTCCTTCGCTGCTTAAACAGATTTTTAAAAACCTTTACTCATTTAAACTGCACCAAAAGCATGGGGCCCTCGTGAGCTGCTGGTCTGGGAGGTGTTAGGAGCCCCTCGTGTCCAGTGCCAGCTGTGCATCATGTCTTGGCCGGTCACCCTGCTTCCTGCCCCCCAGGCCCCGCCTGGTGCCTGTCCTGGCCTGCCACACCCTCTAGTGACTGCCCGGTAGCGGGATTCTCCGGAGGGTGCTGAATTCCAGCCAGAGCTCCCAAGGGGCCTTGCGTCCAGTCAGGAGCCTGGACAGCGGCAGTGCCCGTGGAGTCACTGACGGGCTGCGCGGGGCCGTCGGTGACACTGTGCCACCATGTCTTTCCAGGGGCAGGGATGGTGGTGGACTGGGAGCAGGAGACCGGCCTCCTCATGAGCTCGGGGGACGTGCGAGTTGTCCGCATCTGGGACACTGACCGTGAGATGAAGGTGCAGGTGAGCCCACGGCCCGCAGTCCTCCGCGAGCCAGGAGCAGGCCTGCTGCAGGGAGGGGCGAGGGGAGGCTGTGGGCTGCAGCCACGGGCCTGCGGGCGCCCAGTACCGCGGCCCTCAGCACCTGCTTCACAGCATAATTAGGCTGTGCCAGCCCTGATTATTTCCAGATAGTTCCATCTGTGGCAGCTGGGGAATGCCGATGCCAGTGGGAGGGGGCGTCCCGAATGCCACCTAAATTACCGCTGCTGTCTCCCGGGCGGACGGAGGCGAGGCCGCCAGTCCTGCTGGGGGAAGCGGCAGGGTCCAGCACCTCCCTGGCCTCCAGGTGTTTGCAGGCCGGGGCCCCACGCTCTGTGTCTGTCTCATGAGGATGGACTCACAGCCACCAGGGTCCTCAGGATGATGAGGCCGCAGCTCCGTCTGCACGGCCTGGCTCTTCAGCTCTTGGTGAAGGTGGCAACCCCGGCCAGGCCAGTCCCACTGCCAAGGCTATTGACGTGTGCCCTGGCCCCAGTTGGCTGTCAGGTGGGCCCAGGTCCACCCCCGAGGCCCCAGAGCAGCATGCAACCCTGTCCCACGTGTCTGACCCTAGGACATCCCCACGGGTGCCGACAGCTGCGTGACGAGCCTGTCCTGTGATCCCCATCGCTCTCTCATCGTGGCCGGCCTCGGTGACGGTTCCATCCGCGTCTATGACCGCAGGATGGCACTCAGTGAATGGTAACTCAGCGGTGGCTGGCACTGCCCCAGCGGGGGCCCTCCCCAGGGCTAGCCCACCGCGTACAATCCACAGGGGTTCCGGGGGCCCGCTGGAGCAGGCAGCTGGTGTGAGCAGGGGTGTTAGGTCGAGGCCATCCTGCAGGAGGTGCCAGCTGCCTAGTCCTGACTCCCCAGCTGGGACGGGTGTGAGACCCACTCTGCTCTGGGAAGAGGCCTGGCCCCGGTGGGAAAGGAGCTGGTGGGACCAAGCTGAGCTGGGACATTTAGGCAGGAGGGCGGGGACAGGTCTCTGGAACCAACACGTGGGGGGTGAGGAGCGACCTCCCGCCCCACATGCTCTTACCCGCAGAGCAGCCCCTGGCTCCACATCCACCCAGTACACCCGCTGTGCAGGTGGGTGCAGACTACGGGAATGTCCCTGAACAAGGGGACACAGCCACCAACAGGTCAGCATCCTCACTGTGTGTCCCCGCCCACAGCCGTGTCATGACGTACCGGGAGCACACGGCCTGGGTGGTGAAGGCTCACCTCCAGAAGCGCCCCGAGGGCCACATTGTGAGCGTGAGGTGAGTGCCGCCCCCGTGACCGGGCTCTGTGGCTCTGCCGACCTGGGCACAGCACGCTGGAACGGCCGGGCACAGCACGCTGGAACGGCCCGGATGCTGCTAGCTCGTTAAAGGGTCAGCAGGCGAGAAGTTAGCGCCCTCACTTCCCTAAGCCATACTCTTCCACTCTTCCCCTTGTTGGCAACATAAAAACAAATGCTGAAAGTCACACAGCAGGACGAGCGGGGCAGTAAGCTCAAGCAGCCAGCCCCCGGATGTGGGTGGGCTGCGCTGGGGCTGCCTGGCTGCAGAGACCCGGCCTGGCTGAGCCGGCAGCTCCCGTGCGCTCTCAGCTGAGCCCGTGGCTCCATCCAGGCTCAGGGTGACCCTGCTCCGTGCCCAGGCTCAGCAGCCACTTGGGGCTTGCCAGGGAGGCCCTGCAGGAGCAGGTGTCGAGAGCAGCTTGGACCTGTGTGTGCCAGCTGCCTAGTCTGCACTCCTAGGGCCCCTCTCCCCCACACCCCGGCTGCAGGTGGCGGTGCCCAGCCGTCGTCCCCCACAGCCGGCCCAGGCGGGGCTGGGTCCCACCTGAGGCCGCCCCTGGGTCTTCTCAGCGTCAACGGAGACGTGCGCTTCTTCGACCCCCGGATGCCTGAGTCCGTGAACGTGCTGCAGATCGTGAGGGGCCTCACGGCACTGGACGTCCACCCCGAGGCTGGCCTGATTGCCTGGTAGGCGCTGCCCGCCGACAGCCTGCAGCCCGCCCTGACCCTGCCCGCCCCAGCCTCCCCGTCCCACACTGACGCCCCTCGCCCCGCAGCGGCTCCATGAACCAGTTCACTGCCGTGTACAACAGCAACGGGGAGCTCATCAACAACATCAAGTACTACGAAGGCTTCATGGGCCAGCGCGTCGGCGCCATCAGCTGCCTCGCCTTCCACCCGCACTGGGTCTGTGCCCTCCTGCTGGGACTCGGGGACTACCCGGGCCTCTCCTCCCTCGCCGCAGGGTTAGGCGGCCCGCCAGGAAAGGAAGGACACACCTGGGGTGACCTTGACGTGGGGCACAGCCCTGTGTCCTTTGGCCTTGCATAGTGCACCCTAGAGTCCCCGCCTGCCTGCCCGTGTGGCTGTGGGATGCAGCCAGCTTAGCCACTGTCCATGAGAGGCAGGGAGGCATGGGCAGGCATGGGAACCCCTGGTCCCACTGGCAGTCCCCGTACCCGCACCCCTTTGCACCTGCTGGCAGCCCCAGGGCTCCAGGCTCCCCGCCACAGCTCACAGCTCACTCTCCTCCACAGCCTCACCTGGCCGTCGGGAGCAACGACTACTACATCTCCGTGTACTCGGTGGAGAAGCGCGTCAGATAGCGGCGTCAGCGCCGGCACCCATGTACATAGCGCCCCGCCACGCCCCGCGGCTCCCGCACCGGGGAGCCCCCTGTGTCCATGTGCCGTGGTGGCACCGGGACCTGCAACCCCAGCCCAGCAACGACCTCCTCCGGAGTGGACGGGGCCGGGCGGTCCTGGGCCCAGAGCACGTGTGCCAGTGGCAGAGTGGACTCGGGGAGACCGGCGGGGGTGGAAGCCCCTGGAGTCAAGTAGGGGCGCCTCCCCAGGAGCGGGCTCCCTGGTCCTCCATCCTCGGCAACTTGGGGAGCACTGTCCACAGATGTGCTGCCAGTCCCTGCAGTGCTCGGGCACGCGTGGGGCCCTGCAGCGCCTGCCTGTGCCGCTGAAGGCTCACCCTGCAGAGACGGGGGCTGGCACCTGCTCTGCAAGGCGGACGCGGGGCCAGGACCAGACCCGGAGCCAGCCCCGGCCGACAGGGATGTTTTTCCATTTTCCTCTGGAATCAGGATTGTTCAGAGAGCGAGCGGGAGGCAGCTGGTCAGTTCTGCCAGGATGTGTTGAGAGGCATGGTGGAGTTCAGGTCCCCTCCTCATGGGGACGCTGGTGCTGCTGGGCGGTGGGGTCCACGGGGACCCTCCTGTCAGTGGGAGACACGCTCCCAACCACTGGGGCTCCAGGGGAGCCCAGCCTGAGTCCTGTCTGAGGGTGACATACCAGAACCTTCTGGAAGCTGAGCTCTGCCGGCAGACACGACCGTAGGCCCCACGGCCGGCCCTGCCCCAGCTGTGTTCTCACGGGTCCCACGCGAAAACTCAATCATGGATGAACCAAGGCTCGCGGGAGCTCACCACAGGTCCGTTATCTCTATTTATTTTACCACACGCAGACGTGGAGTTGTGACGTGAGACCACGCGGCTAGCAGTGGACTGTTAATAAAGACGCGTGCGCAGCAGCGGCCGCCCGCCAGCCTCCTGTGTCTGAGGTTGACTCCGTGGAGACGTGGGCTCACCCGCCAACGCTGGCGGAGCTCCAGCAGCTGCTTGTCCCCATCCGGGCACGGGGCCACATGGGCCTGCTGCCCCAGGCCATGGCCAGAACTCACCAGGAACAGGGCCGGCCAGCGTCTCAGGCCTGGCTCAACCTGCTGGGCCCAGCCTGGCAATCTTTTTTTTTTTTTTTAAGACGTTTTATGTTTTGAGAAAGAGAACACCCAAGCCGAGGGTGACCTCAAAGACCCTCAGAGGCAGCGGCGTCGCACGGGGACCTGGTCACAGCTCTGCGGGCGGCCGGACCAGCCATGCAGTCCCCAGAGCCACTGGGGCCCGTGAGGCTTGTCCCTGCGAAAGCCCAGGCATGCTGGGAGCCAGCTCCCCTCCCCCCGGGGCTCCCGGTGTCCAGAGGACCCACAGCCCTGTGCAGGTGGGCCACGGATGGGGACAGAGAGCGGAGTTTTCCCTGACTCGGGGTCCGAGGGCCTTGTGCTGCTGTGGCCAGGCAACCGGGGGATGCATGGGGTGCATGGGGCTACAGGAGACCAGGCGAGGAACATGGGAAAGCAGTGGTTGCCATGGAGACCTGGAGGCCTAGCGGCTGGAGTGATTAGATTTCGGTTTGCCAGACAAGAAGGATGGATGGCGTTTGCACAGCCATGGCGGCCGAGCCCGGCGTGAGAGTGTAACAGTCTTCCTGTTAGAATTACTGCGCTCTGTACCAAGAGCGGCACCAGCAGAACTCATTAAAATACCAGTGGGCAGCCGCTCAATGGAGTGGCTGGCTGCAGAGGCCACAGTTCGGGGTCAGGCTGCCGGCTAGCCACGGTCCAGCAGCCCTCACAGCCGGGTTGGGGAGTGGGGACACACGGGGACTCCCACTGGACACAGAGCCAGTGCAGGCCGGGGCTGCCACCCCTGGGCACCGAGGCTCAGCACCTACCCTTGGGAGACCCGGAGGAGTAGGCAGGGGGCCTGGGCAGAAGCTACCCCAGCCTGCGGTTCAGGGAAGTCCATGTTGGAACCTGCAGCCAGCGGAGACTGTGAGGGCAGATGCCCAGTAGCCATCCCCCCCACCACTAAGTGTACAGGGAAGGGGCTGAGCTGCCCCTCCCCCAGCGACCCAGGAGGCCCCGCTCAGATGCCCTGACCCAGCCAGGGCCATGCATGCTTGGGGAGGATGGTCCCGGTTTCCTAACCTGCAGCTCTGGCTACACCCTGACGGGGCGGGGAGCAGGAAGGGGGGGGCACAAAATGTTGAGCTGGAGGGCCTCAGCCTGAAGGGCCCCTTTGTGGCCCCGTGGCTGCCGCGCCCCCAACGAGGTCCCAGCCCAAGCAGCCAGACTCACCCTCCAGGGTGGGGGCGCTCCGAGTGCCTGGGGCTGGCCCTTGCCTTCTCCCCACCCCACTCTAGGCTGGGTCCCTGAGCTCCTGTCTGACTCTCCCCAGGTCAGGGAGCCAGGCAGATCCGGGGAGCAGCTCACCAGCCCAAGTGGGAGCAGCGCCCAGCCAGCGGCCCTGCGCACGCATGAGAGAACTTGAGGGTGTTCCCGGGGGAGGGGCTGTCAGCTAGGAGCGCTGTGAGACCCTGGCTGGCCCCCCAGCACACAGTGGAGCCTCATGGGTGTGGGTCTTCAGATCAGTGCAATGGCTTGCAAGCACCGGATTCCAAGTGGGCACCAGCTGCTGTCCTGGCAGCCCCACTTCCCATCCAGTTCCCTGCCTGTGGCCTGGGAGAGCAGTGAGGACGGCCCAGAGCTTTGGGACCCTGCACCTGCGTGAGAGACCTGGAAGAGGCTCCTGGCTCTTGGCATCAGATTGGTCAGCTCCGGCCATTGTGGCCGCTTGGGGAGTGAACCAGTGGACAGAGGATCGTTCTATCTTTTTCTGTAAATCTGCCTTTCAAATAAAAATACACCCCACCAAAGAAAAGATTGATTGGATAAAGAGAAAAGGTGCTTCCATTCACTGGGCCACTCCCAGCCGACTGCAACAGCCAGCCAGGAGCCAGGAGCTCTGCTGCTTTACCTCTGGTTCTGCCCCATGGGTCGGGGGCCAAGCACGTGGGCCATCCTCCACTGCCTCCCCAGGTACATCAGCACGGAGCTGGGCGGGAAGGGGAGCAGCCAGGACTTGAGCCTGCGTCCATGCGTGCTGCTGGCGTCACACAGGGCAGCTTAATGAGGCGCGCCACAAGGCGGGACCTGGCCTTCTCATCTTCAGTGAGGGGGAGGAGCAGCTAGCGGTGTGGGGTGGTGCTGAAGCTGCTGCCATCCACATGGCCCCACATCCAGTCCCAGCTGCTCCACTTCCCACCCAGCTCCCTGCTTGTGGAGGTCCAAGTCCTCAGGCCCAGAAGAAGCTCATGGCTCCCGACCAGCTCGGCTGCAACATTGGTGGTAAATGGTGAGTGACCCAGTGGATGGCAGAGGTGTGTGTGTGCACGTGCGTGTGCAATCCTGCTTTTCAAAAAAAGAAAACAAAAAACAAGGACTTGGAGGGAGGTGGCAGGCTCAGGAGTCATGGAAAAGCGAGGTTGGTGCGGGGTGTGACGGCCAGAGTGTGGTCCTGGCACCCTGCCCCCTTCCCCACCTCTGCACGCTCTGCCCAGGCTCACGCACAGCTGTGCCCCCACCAGCGTGCTCCCCTCCAGGGATCCTACCTCCCAGACCCGGTCTGCGAGGACGGCGTGACGCGCGGCGGGGTGGGGGCCTCGCCTGTGTCTGCAAGCTTCTCCCCGAGTGCCGCCTCTCTCACCTGGGCCCCTTAAGCCTTTCCCTCCTCGCCCGTCCCCGCGGCTCCGGGTACAGACCCCGGTGTCGGCCGCTGGAGCACCTTGCGTGGGCTGGAATCTGCCCGCCCAGATTCGGGGTGCCCCGGGCCGGCCGCCTGGGACCCCCAGGCCGTGCGCAGTCCCGCAGCGCCACCGCGTGGCCGCCATAGGACGCTCCTTCCCGCCTCGTGGGGCTCGCTCCATCCTGACGCCCAGAGGGTCGCAGCGCAGCCAGCCCGCCAGGCTGTCCCTCGTCCCTCGGGGCCGCCCAGCGCCTGCAGGACCAGCCACCTGCGCCCAAGCTGTCCTCACTGCAGGTACCAAGCCTGTCCTGGCCCCACCCACACTCCACCCCCATCCCCAGATTTTTGTTGTAAGGTCAGTTTGACAGAGAGGAAGAGAGAAACAGAAGATCTTGAGTCCGAGGATTCACTCCCCAAGTGACCACAATGGCCGCTGCTATGCCAACCCAAAGCCAGGAGCCAGGAGCTCTTCCAGGTCTCCCACATGGGTGCAGGGTCCCAAAGCTTTGGGCCGTCCTCCACTGCTTTCCCAGGCCGCAAGCAGGGAGCTGGATGGGAAATGGAGCAGCCGGGATTAGAACCGGCGTCTATATGGGATCCCACTCTGTTCAAGGCGAGGATTTTAGCCGTTAGGCTACCGCGCCGGGCCCAATACCCAGATTTTTGAGGTCGCATCCAACTCCTGAAAATTGGCCTTGCTTGTTGGAATTATTCCAGAACGTCTTGGGCACATCTCTTATTCTCTGCCCTGCCCCCTGTGAAGTGTGAGGAGGGCCTAGGGGTGAGGGTGAGTGACCCTGAGCAGCCCGTGTCAGGTGAGCAGTGTCCCAAGGAGCCCACCTGGGGCAGGTCCCGAGAGAGGCCCCAGGATGGCCTGGCCACTCGGCTGCCACTCAGGTGCGCCGCCCATGGTGCTTGCGGGGTCCGGGAACGGGGTGCGCGACACACAGCAGCTTTTCTGAGGGACCAGGCAGCAGATCCTGCAGACCTCCTGTACCTGCGGTGCCCTCCTGCAGCCCGCGCGCATGTGCGTGTGCACGCGTGTGTGTGCGCGTGTGAACACCTGCACAGCTCACGGCGTTCAGGGCTGGCGCCAGGCCCATCCGACCTGCGTGAGAGGCAGAGCTTCCAGCCGTTCGTTCATTTCCCAAGTGACCGCAGCAGTCGGAGCTGCGGGTCCGAAGCTCAGAGCCTGGAGGGTCCGCCACGTGGGGGCAGGCCTCCCGTCCATCATCAGGGAGCTGGATGGCCAGTGCAGCAGCCGGGACTTGAGTGCCCAGAAGGGACGTGGCATTGCAGGCACCTGCCCGGGCCACATGCTCATGGCTGACAGATGGGGTGAGGTGGTGACCGTGCGCAATGGCTCTGGGGGTGTCAGACCCAGCGGGACCTTGGGGTGAGGTGCCCTTGCCATCTGCGCCAGTCCCACCCCTGCCTGGCTGGGCTCTCATTTGGGTGCACCCCAAGGAGGGCCCAGGGGAGGGGAGACCCTGCTGGTCCTGGCCACCCTGGGGACCTGGCTGTGTCTGTGGGAGAGTGGGCGTCCATGGCAGCAGCCTGCCGGACCGCATCAATCGGAGCGTCCATTCCACTCAGGGGCGGCCTGTGAGACTCCTGCTTCCCCGCGTGGGACAGAGACAACCCCTCAACCTGGTGGCCGGGCCTGCGTGGTCACCGCCATGGCCGCCGTGGCCCTGCCCCAGAGGGGCGCCCACCCACAGCCCGGAGCTCCGGGGGACGCTGGGGAAGCCACAGCGCCAGGGGTGGGAACCGTCCCCCCACACCCAGCTCCCAGTGGACGCCTCCTTCGGGGACCCCAGAACGCCCGGGGACGGTGGGGTGGCCAGAGTGTGGCGTCCCGATGGGGCGCCTGCACAGCTTCCCCGGGGCGGGGGGTTAGGGTTCGGGTAGGGGCCGCCCCCTGGTCCCCCGCTCCCGCTGGGTCCACCCAGGCCGGTGCCCCTCGGACACAAACTAGGAACCCGGGGCCACTGTCCCTGCGGTGGCCTATCCCCGAGGGAAGCCGAAGGAGGGTCCCCCAGGCCGGGGCGGGAGCAAGCGGCGGTCAGGGCGCAGCGCCCGGATGCACACACTCGGCCGGTTTGTGGCGGCCGCGCGGACTCGAACCGGGAGCCGCCTTGGCGTTCGGCGGCGCGGGGCCCGGCGCGGCCGCCGTCGGGGGCGGAGTTCGGGCTACGGCGGCCGCGAGGCGGCGATCGGGCTCAGCCGGGCCGGGGCGCGCCGGGCGCCGCCATGGGCAACCTGTTCGGCCGCAAGAAGCAGAGCCGGGTGACCGAGCAGGACAAGGCCATCCTGGTGCGCGCCAGCCCGGGGGAGCCGGGGAGGGGTCTCGAGGGGCCCGGCCTGGCGTCCCGCCTCCCCGGGCAGGGCGAGCCGGGGAAGGGGGGCGAGCCGGGGAAGGGGGGCGAGCCGGGGAAGGGGGGCGAGCCGGGGGAGGGGGCGAGCCGGGGGAGGGGGCGAGCCGGGGGAGGGGGCGAGCCGGGGGAGGGGGCGAGCCGGGGGAGGGGGGCGAGCCGGGGAGGGGGCGAGCCGGGGAAGGGGGGCGAGCCGGGGAAGGGGGCGAGCCGGGGAAGGGGGGCGAGCCGGGGAAGGGGCGAGCCGGGGAGGGGGCGAGCCGGGGGAGGGGGGCGAGCCGGGGGAGGGGGCGAGCCGGGGGAGGGGGCGAGCCGGGGGAGGGGGCGAGCCGGGGGAGGGGGGCGAGCCGGGGAGGGGGCGAGCCGGGGGAGGGGGCGAGCCGGGGGAGGGGGGCGAGCCGGGGACCCCGCGTGGGCTTCGCGGGGCGCGGGGTGCTGCCGGCGGGGCTCCGGCCGGGATGACGCGCGGTGCCACCGCGCCCCGAGTTCTCGGTAGAGAGTGGGAGTCGGTGGTCGCGTCCGGCCGGGTCTCCCCTCGGAGTTCGGCTGAAGGACTCGAACCCGAGCCAGCCCGGCACTGCTCGCCGCACCTGCCTCCTGTTCGTTCACGGGGCCTCGCGTCTCCGTCCGGCCCCCCGAGTCGGGCCCGGGCGTGGGGAGCAGGCCCCCTGCCCAGGGCTCCAGGCTCCTCCTGACCGAGTCCAGCTCGGGGCCCGCGCGTGCAGCTGGCACGGGCACTGGCCCCGGTGCCCCCCGCCTGTCGCACAGGGCCGCCCCGGGGCGGCACCTGCGGGGACCCCGCGTCTCCAGGCTGGGCCAGAGCGGGGCTCCCCTTGTCTCGCAGCAACTGAAGCAGCAGCGGGACAAGCTCCGGCAGTACCAGAAGCGGGTCACGCAGCAGCTGGAGCGAGAGCGGGCCCTGGCGCGGCAGCTGCTGCGGGACGGCCGGAAGGAGTGAGTGGGCGACGGGGGGCGCGGGGCGCGGGCCGGGGAGGGGGCGCCGAGCTCACCGCCCCGCCTCTCGGGCAGGCGGGCCAAGCTGCTGCTGAAGAAGAAGCGGTACCGGGAGCAGCTCCTGGACAAGGCGGAGAACCAGATCAGCAGCCTGGAGGCCATGGTAAGTGGGGGTCCGGAGCCTGTCCCCCAGCCCACCCTGCGCCCCGCACCCTGTCCCCAGCCCCACCCTGCGCCCCGCACCCTGCCTCCAGCCGTGACCTAGCCAGACCCTGAGGAACTCGTCAGAACCTGCGGGTTCAAAGGAGCTGGGGGTGAGGGCGGAGGGAGCATTGGGCAGGACCTCCGAGACGTGGACAGAGGCTGGGGGCCGCTGTTTCCAGGAGTTGCCCGGTGTTGCCCCCGGGCAGCCTGGGCCCACCGGGCCCCCGAGCTGCGCGCCCACCAGGCCCTCCCCCAGCTGCGCGCCCACCGGGCCCCCCCCAGCTGCGCGCCCACCGGGCCCCCCCCAGCTGCGCGCCCACCGGGGCCCCCCCCAGCTGCGCGCCCACCGGGCCCCCCCCAGCTGCGCGCCCACCGGGGCCCCCCCCAGCTGCGCGCCCACCGGGCCCCCCCCAGCTGCGCGCCCACCGGGGCCCCCCCCAGCTGCGCGCCCACCGGGCCCCCCCCAGCTGCGCGCCCACCAGGCCGGCCCCCAGCTGCGCGCCCACCGGGCCCCCCCCAGCTGCGCGCCCACCAGGCCGGCCTCCGCTTCCAGGTGCAGAGCATTGAATTCACCCAGATCGAGATGAAGGTGATGGAGGGGCTGCAGCTGGGGAATGAATGCCTCAACAAGATGCACCAGGTGGGCACAGTGGGCCGAGTCAGGGCGGAGCCACCCGGGATGTGGGGCGGAGCCACCCGGGATGTGGGGCGGAGCCACCTGGGATGTGGGGCGGAGCCACCTGGGATGTGGGGCGGAACCACCCGGGATGTGGGACGGAGCCGGGCCACACCCCCTGTCACTCCCACTGTCACTCCCACTGGCCAGAGGTCTGCTTGGCCACTTGCCCCGACCGGGTGGGGCCGAGGTGTGGCCAGCCTCGGTGCCCCTGGAGGTCACTGCCCACCCAGGCTCCAACAGGGAGGTGCTGCCCGCTCTGTCTCCTGCTAACTGCGTGTGGGTGGCCTGACGTCCTGTCTGATGCCATGGCCAGGCAGGGCTTGCCCGAGCAGGGGCATGGCATGTGCCCTGAGCCCAGGGTGCCGTCACGGGCTGGCCCCTGCTGACCCTTGCCCCGGCCGTTTGCAGGTCATGTCCATAGAGGAGGTGGAGCGGATCCTGGATGAAACGGAGGAGGCCGTGGAGTACCAGCGGGTAGGTGTGCTGTGTGCACAGTCAGGCCGTCACGGGGGAGCGGGAACCCAGCCCGCCCCTCACCGCCCTTCCTCCCTGGCAGCAAATCGACGAGCTGTTGGCAGGAAGCTTCACCCAGGAGGATGAGGCCGCCATCCTGGAAGAACTGGACGCCATCACCCAGGTAGCGGCCCCCCAGCCCAGCCCCGTGTGCGCCCACAGCCCCCGCCCTACCCGTGCTGCGCCCAGGCTCTCCTCCGTGCCCTCTCAGCTCCTAGCCAGGCAGGCAGCAGGAGGACAAGGGTGCGTGCCAAGCTTGGCCACCTGACCTCTCTCTGCGTGGCTGAGGCTGCTCCACGCTCACGCATGCCATGCACGCTGAGGTTAGCTCTGCCACAGCCCTCATCGGGGGCTCTGTGTTCCCCGACGAGGGACTCTGGGGGAGCTGCCTTGGCTTCCCAAATCCTCACCGTGACCTGCAGCTGCCTGGGCTGCGGCTTGCATCCTGGGTATCCTTATGTGCCTGGCTGGGGAGGGCAGACTGCAAGGTGCCCCTGCACATGGTGGGGCACCCAGTGGACGGCAAGACAGCCTCAGGATCTCTCAGGTGTGGGGCCTGGCACAGCCCTTCCCTGCCAGCAGGGTCTTAGGAAGGCTCAGGGGTCAGCCGGCACCCCCGAGCGTGGCTGCCTCCCTACCTGGTGGCAGACGCCAACTGGTGTCCTCTGGCCAGAGCGTCTCATGGCCTTACCTTCCCTCCCAGGAGCAGATCGAGCTGCCGGAGGTGCCCACGGAGCCCCTGCCTGAGAAGATGCCAGGTACTGCCTCTTCCCTCCTGCCTCACACAGCTCTAGAAGGTTTCACAGGGTCAGCCCTCACACACACACAGCTCTAGAAGGTTCCACAGAATCAGCCTCACACATACACAACTCTAGAAGGTTCCACAGGGTCAGCCCTCACAGAGTTCTAGAAGGTTCCATAGGTTCAGCCCTCACACAGCTCTAGAAGGTTCCACAGGGTCAGCCCTCACAGAGCTCTAGAAGGTTCCACAGGGTCAACATTCACAGCTCTAGAATGTTCCCACAGGTTCAGCCTCACACACACAGCTCTAGAACGAGCAGGTGCCCCAGGAGGGTCTTGCTCCTCCTGCTGCAAAGGTGGTTTCCCCCGGCCCCGCCTGCTAGGCAGGTGCCCAGAGTGGGGCGGGTGGTCGCTGTGGGGTTGGACCAGGCCCTGGGGGCTCTGGATGGCCTGAGGCTGCCAGCTTAGCACATGCACACACACTGGGTGGGGCCAGGCCGAGGCTTCCAGCACAGCCGAGGCACCCCCGGGGCCGCCCCCAGGCAGCGGTGGGCACAGGGCACCAGGCTTCGCTGGTGGAGTTGTGCTGCGCTTTCCCTTGCTGGACCACATGTGACGTGCCTGTGTTTCCTCCACAGAAAAGGCCCCTGCCAAGGCCCGGCCCAGGCAGGCGGAGCTGGTGGCAGCTTCCTGACTTGCAGACCTCGGGCCTGGCCTACCGTGTCTGGGTGCACACTGAGTGCACGGCTCCCCCAGGCCTGGTGGGTGCGCCGGGCCGTGAGGCTGACAGCGGGCATGCCAGGCTCGGAGCGGCCTGCACTCTGAGCATCTGTGGACTAAGTGGAAGCCTTCGACCTGGGCCCAGCCCACCGTGGCAGCTGAACCAAGGCTCCCGTGGTGGCCACTCCTGGTGCTTGCCGGCCCAGCCTGGACGGCTCCTGGGTGGGGCTGTCACCGTCAGGCCCCGGGCCCTTGCTTCCTGTTGTTCTATGTGCCGGTGGCGGCTGAGGCCCAGGCCAGGCCTGGCTGTGTGTCGCGCCACGGAGACACAGCTGAGACGGAGACCATCTGCCAGGCAACCTTGACACTGGACAAACTTGAAGTTGCCACTCGGCAGTGCCCAGGCCGGCGTGGGGCCCTCCACCCTAAGCCTACGCACTCAGAGCTCAGCATGTATTAAAGCTGGCTACCGGCCACCGCTGCCCTGTGCACCTGGCACCACAGTGCTGCTCGTTGGGGGGTGGCGGCTCCTGCCCTGACAGTGACCCTGACAGCCACCACCCTTGACCAGAGGCTCACCCCTGAGCCCCACGGCACCCCTGTGCAGCAGCCAGCCAGTCTTGGGCAGCACTGGAGGTCCAGCATGGGCACTGCTCCAGAGCAGTTGCCAGGGGAGCAGCAGCTCCCTGCAGAGGACAGCGTTGCCGTAGGATGCGGCCCAGGCTGGAAGGTGGAAGCCCGGGTCTCGTGACACCCGCTGCTGGCCATGGCCCACGTGCTGCCTGCACCCACCCACCTGCAGGGACCTGGTCGGACACGGAGGCCGAGTGCTGTCAATCCAGGCCTTAGCTGGCCGGTCCCAGGCCAGGCAGCTTCCCCAAACCTCACTCACCACTCCTCCGTGGACCTCGTGGGATGGACATGCGAGCGTGGGGCCCCTCACACTGACCACTCTCCGGGGACCTCGTGGGGTGGACATGCGAGCGTGGGGCCCCTCACACTGACCACTCTCCGGGGACCTCGTGGGGTGGACATGCGAGCGTGGGGCCCCTCACACTGACCACTCTCTGTGGACCTCATGGGGTGGACATGCGAGCGTGGGGCCCCTCACCTGATGCTCCCCAAGTGTTCCCCACCTCTTCCTCGAGTCATCTTGGGGGTCCCTGTTCTGGGTGGGGCAGGCCAAGCCCCACTCGTGTAGAGCCACCTGTGCCCACCACAGGAAGTCGCTGGCACTGTCTGTGCGGACTCTGCCAGCCCCTCCACCTTCCCTAGAAGGGGTGGTGTCCTGCACAGCTGGTGTACCCAGCGGGGCCTCCATGGGCAGGGTCAGCCATGGCTGGCATACCCACGCTGGCCTCCGCCTCGGACAGTCCTGTTGAGACTAGGGAGCAGGGTTCTAGGCCCGCTCGGGGACCTGGGGGGCAGAGTCCTAGTCCTGCTTTGGGGCTCCCAGGTGCCGCTCATCACACCCTTCAGGGCACATGGATGTTTTCTTTAAAAACAAAATGTTTATTTTAACAGAAATTTTCCATCCCTGACTTCCCTGCCATGGTATAGCCCCAGCAGCCAGGCTGAAGCCAGAACCCCAGGGCTCCGCTGCGTCTGCTGTGTGGGTGCAGGGGCCCAGACGCTTGGGTTGTCACTACTATCGCAGGATCAGCCCTGTTCCCCAGAACCAAACCAAGGTGCCCACACCCAGGGCACAGGCGTCTTCACCCCAGTCCACACGAGCAGCCCTGGGGCCTGCGTGCTGGCTGCTTCTGGGGGCAGGTGGGAGGCCCCAGGGAGCACCCCAAGTTCAGAGACTGGGCAGACTGGTGAGTTGTGGCGCAAGGGTCACTGCGGGCAGTGGACCAGCACCCTGGGTTCCCGCCACAGCTGGGCTGTGCCAGGTCAGAGAGTTCCATTTGCGGGGCGGGGCCAATGTGGCCGTGGCAGCAGCAGCTGAAGGCTGACCCAGACCCACTACCTGATGGAACCACGGGCGGCCACAAGTGGGCCTCTCAGGGCTCCTCTGCCTTCCAGGACAGCAGAGTCTCCTGGCAGGATGGCCTGTTGGCAAGCCCCGGATGCCCCTCCCTGCTGTGGGCCCAAGAGGGGCAGCCTGTGGCCACCACACCTGCTCCACGGCCAGGCCTGTTCACAGGCCCAGCTGTGTGTGTCGGATGGTGAGCTGAGTGTTTGGGCCGCTGTCCACATGGGGGACCAGATGAATTCGGGGCTCCTGGCTGAAGCAGCATGCGCACCGTAACCCGCATTGAGAGATCAGGAGTGCCTCTCCTGAGCCCACCCCCGCTGCACTGGGGGCCGCGGGCCAGTGGACTCATCTGCCACACAGCAGACACGCTCACCCTGAGCAGGAAGCACGGACCGTGGCGGGGAGAGGCTGGTTGAGATGGCACCCCGAGTCCCCTGGTCAGGCAAGGCAGGCTGTGGCCAGGGAAGGGCAGGAGTCCCTGCTGATGACCCCACGTGGCGTAGCACTGGCTGCGCAGAATCCACGCTCCATGTCACCAGGCCAGGCGCGGCCCCCTGCAGACCCCACCCCACATCCACCACGCTGCCCAGGGCCCCCTGCAGACCCCACCCCACATCCACCACGCTGCCCAGGGCCCCCTGCAGACCCCCCCCCACATCCACCACGCTGCACGCTCTGCAGACCCCTGCCCCCCCACATCCACCACGCTGCCCAGGGATCCCGCAGACCCCACCCCACATCCACCACGCTGCCCAGGGCCCCCTGCAGACCCCACCCCACATCCACCACGCTGCCCAGGGCCCCTGCAGACCCCCCCCCCCACATCCACCACGCTGCCCAGGGCCCCCTGCAGACCCCCCCACATACATCCACCACGCTGCCCAGGGCCCCCTGCAGACCCCTGCCCCCCCACATCCACCATGCCGCATGCTCCGCAGACCCTCGCCCCCCCACACACGGGGTCCCACACTGGGTCCTAGGCCAATGCTCCGCAGACCCTCGCCCCCACACACGGGGTCCCACACTGGGTCCTAGGCCAATGCTCCACAGACCCTCGCCCCCCCCCACACACGGGGTCCCACACTGGGTCCTAGGCCAATGTCCTGGCATCTCTTCCACCTTGCCTCAGGGGCACAGACCTGGGGGCTCTGCCTGCCACGCTCCTGCGTCCTCCAGCAAGGGGCATGGGGAGAGAGACATCCCAGCGCTCAGGGCTCAGCCAGGCGCTTCCCTCTGGCGTCCGCCAGGTGGCGGGCAGCTTCACATCAAGTCCCCTGCCCGCCTCCCCTCCTGGCAGCCTGGCCGAGCAGCTCAGGCACTGGATCTGAAAAGCAGCATGAGGCCCCGCACCCGGCTCCTGGGCGGGCGGGAACTCAGCTGCCCGGGAACGCCTGGCCCATGTCCCGGGGCAGAGTGCAGGTCTGTGAGGTGTCCCCGCTGGATGACAGGAAAGTCCCAGGCCGCCCAGCACCAGTGGGCCTGAGGTGGCAGGCAGGGACTTGGTGGAGAAGCAGCAGCCTGGAGTTGAAGCGAGCAGACCTTTGCAAAGGCCCACAGAGCCGGCGTGCAGGGACGGTCTGCCACATGGGTGGGCAGCCCTGAGCTCCACAGGCCCACACGGGGGGGAGAGGACACGGCCTTGCAGGCTTGCTGCCACCACTAGGATCTATTCATTTATTTGAAAAGCAGTTACAAAGAGAGCCTCCAGCCACACGTTCACTCCCCCGCGGTACAGCAGCCACGGCTGGGTCTGAAGCCAGGACCTTCTTCTGGGTCTCCCACGTGGGGGAAGGGGTCCAAGCACATGGGCCGTCCTCTGCTGCTCTCCCAGCCACATTAGCAGGGAGCTGGATGGGAACTGGAGCAGCAAGGACTCGAACAGGCATCCACATGGGATGCTGACATCACAGGGTTCCCGCAGCAGCACCCCTGGGGAGCCACACCTCTGAGAATACCCTGGCCTGGCAGCAGGGGCACTGTGGACCCTGCAGTGGTGCCCCCTCCTCCTCCCCGCACTCAGCACAGCCCCCTCCCAACTCCCACTGTGTCTACCACACCCAGCCTGCCAGGCCCTGCCCACGGCATCACTCCAGCCTGCGTGACCCTGCAGCACCTGAGTGGGCAGCACCTCCCACTCTCCTGTGGTACTGGCCTCCCAGCACTGCATGGCCAGCAGGAGGGTGCAGTGCATGGCAGACAGCATGGTGCCACACTCACAGGGCTTCTGGAGCTTTCTCTCTGGTGGTCTCCACCCCAGCCTCAGAAGAGACTAGCCTGGACCCCAAGGGCTCCCACTGCCAGTAAACCATCAAGAGTACACAGCAGGGCCTGGTGCAGTTGCCTAGTCCCTAAAGCCCTCGCCTTGCATGCACCAGGATCCCATATGGGCACCAGTTCTAATCCCAGCTGCTCCAGTTCCCATCCAGCTCCTTGCTTGTGGCCTGGGAAAGCAGTCAAGGACGGCCCAAAGCCTTGGGACCCTGCACCCACATGGGAGACCTGGAAGGAGCTCCTGGCTTCGCACAGGCTCAGCTCTGGCCATTGCGGCCACTTGGGAAGTGAACCAGTGGATGAAAGATCCTCCTCTCTGTAAATAGGACTTTCCAATAAAAACAAGTAAATCTTGAAAAGGAAAAAAGAAACAGACAGCGGATGGCCCCGACAGGGTGGGCGCCCGGCACAGCCGCCCTCCAGGCCCTGCACACCACAGCTGACCCACAGGGAAGGGGCAGCCCCGCGTCCACCTGCAGAGCGCCCCTGGGGCCGAGGGTGCTTTACAGGCCTCCACAAGGAGTCAGACTTCAGGGCTGAGACAGCATTTCAAAATCTGGCTTTAAATAAACATGGGATTAAAAAAGAGGGTGGAAGCGCACGGAGCCTCCAGCAGCTCAAATTAGCAGCAGGCAGCCCTGGGGGGAGGGGCGCCGTCTGTGCGCGGGTGGGACGGCCACCAACGCAGGGCCGAGGCGCCGCTGTGTGGCTCGCCACGTCCAGCACACCTCTCTGGTCACTTGAGGAGTCTAGGGTCCGAGTGAGGCGAGGCCCCTTCTGTCTGGGGCGAGCTCGAGCAGGACATGCAGCTGCACGTGGCCGACCCCACCCTTGGCAGCAGCCCCTCTGGGGAGGCACCTGTGCCAGCCCTGCCCAGCCCCATGCCAGCAAGGCAGCCCCCAAGGCCAGCTCTGGGTGCATGGACACCACGGCCTCATGCGCCTCACCGGGGGCTGTCACCGTCCTGAGGTGCCTCACCCCGCCCTGTCAGCCATTGCATTGTAAGGCGCAGGTGGGTGACCGAGTCAGCAGGTACCGGGTGACTACCACTGCACCGGGGAACAAACAGGCTCGCTGGCGCCCCCGCACCCGCCCCCGCGCCGCCTCCCACGGGCGCTGGAGTCAGGCCGAGGCGCGGCGCCCGCTTACATAAGGGGGCTGGTTGCTGGGGAACCTCTCCTCGCCCACCGCCAAGGGGGGAGTCACACTTCTCCTGCCCTGCCCCCCGGGGACCGAGGCGCCAGCGAGGAGGCCGGATCTGGCTAGGAGCCTCCCCGCCCCCAGTCCCACAGGGCTCCCCCTTCCTGGGGGATGTGGGCCACCTCAGCAGCTTCAGGAGGCACTGCCCTGCCACGGCCATGGCCAGCCCTCAGACCCTGCAGGCTCAAACACTCAGGAGGGTCCCCACCTCGGTCACCAGCTGGCCCCACAGACTGGTGCCCAAGCCCTGCCCCTGCCTGCTGGTCCCATGGCGTCCGGCCACAAGGCAGCCGTTCCACCTGCAGACCCCACTGTGATGGGACCCACGCAGCCCTGGTCCCTGCAGGCAGCGTAGGGACTGTGCCAAGCCTGCCCGTGCACACCCACCCAGTTCACAGCTGTACCGGAGTGCCCTGGTGAAACCCAGCATGCCAGCCCTCTGCACCCAAGCCTCACCCTCAGTTTCCCTCATGTCCAGGAACCTGCCACCCCCCACCAGTGGCCATGCCTCCTCAAACCCAGTCTCCTTGTCTTGGGGCGCCCCTGGCAGTTTTGCAGAGAGCTGCTTGGGTGGGGGGACAGTCCTCGCCCTGGGATCTGCCTGAAGTTTGCCTCGGGATAAGACAGGGGTTAGATGGCCAGCAGGTAAAGCCACTGCCCGCAGCATCCCATGTGGGCACCAGTTCAAGTCTGGCTGCTGCACTTTCCATCCAGCTCCCTCCAATGTACCCGGGAAAGCAGTGGAGGACGGCCCAAGCGCTCGGGGTCCTGCACCCACGGGGGAGACCAATAGGAAACTCCTGGCCGAGCCTGGCCATGTGGCCAAGTGCGGAGTGAACCAAGTGGAAGACGTGTGGCTGTCTGTCTGTCTCTCCCAAATAAAGAAGAAAAGGGGGCCACAAAGGAGCGTGAGCACAGTCCCATTCCTTGCTGAGGTCCCGGGGGGCACCCGTGCCCAGTGGCTGAGGCAGGTCCCATGGCGCTTCTAGAATGAACCTCTGACCTGCGGGAGGTCCCCAGGCGGCCCATGGCAGGGGCCAGTTCTCCAGGTCCTGCTGGCCACTGCAGGCCCAGGGCATCTGGCTTGCTTTGTGGGCACACCCAGCCACAGGAGTGCCCTTCACAGCCTCACGCAGCACTGCTCGCTAAGTTGGTCCAGGGGCTCGGGGACCCACTGCCTCCTGGGCGTCCCCCAGCACGGACTAGCCCAAAGTGTGTGGAGGCAGGAGGGGTCCCCTCTGGTCTCGGGTGACCGTGTGCAGGTGGTCGGGCCTGGTCAGGCCCTCCCAGCACCGGGGCCCAGGCACCGCTCCATGGGCTCCCGGGCCCCGCCCAGCACCGGGCTCTGGAACCTTCCGGCAACCACGCAGATTAATTCAGGAGCAAAGGGAGGGAGGGGAGCTGTGCTGGGCGGGGCCTGGGGAAGGGGGCTGCCCCCCGCCCCCCACCTGCACCCTCCGGGGAGGGCGGGGGTCCTGCTGGCCGTCACCTCGCCGGCCCCTGGACGCGGCCAAGCCTCACGCCTCCCCGGCCCGCCTTGCCAGGAGAACAGCTTGCCTCAACAGCCAAGGCTGTCATCGTGTAATTAAATCCGAGACCCCCCCTCCGCATGACGTGCAGCGAAGCCACTTACATAACACCACTAAAAATAAGCCGCTCGAGCTGCGGGGCGGCGCCTCCCCCCCAAGCCGCCGTCGGGGGCCCTGGGGGTCGGGGGGCCCGGGGGGTCGGGGGGCCCTGGGGGGCGGCTCGCGCCGGGACCCGGCATCTCTGCCGCGGCGTCGCCTAGCCACGCGCTCAGGCGGGCGCAGGGCCGGCCGGGCACGTGGATGGCCAGCTGGCTCCCGCCGGTGCCGCCCGCCGCGCCCCCAGCCTGCGGTGTCTGTCTGTCCGGCCTGGGTGGGGGCGCAGCTGCTCCACCCCACCAGGGCAGCCTGACCGCTGTCCCACAAGGCCAGGGCCCTCAGCCCGGCCTGCCAGCACCATGCGCTCCGGACACCGGTACTCGGCCCACACCAGGGCCAGAGGCCGCGGCAGCTGCAGGGACAGAACCCCCGGGGGGTTAGGGGACACAGCCTACTGGGGGCAGACCTCACCCCCAAAGAGCTAGGGGGACAGACCCCCACCCCCAAAGAGTGGGGGGGACAGACCCCACCAGGGGGGCTTAGGGGACAGACCCCCACCCCCAAAGAGCTGGGGGGGGACAGACCCCACCAGGGGGGCTTAGAGGACATAGCCCCCCTGGGTTACTGAAGGAAAGACCCCCACCGTCGGGGAGTCGGGGGGGGGACAGACCCCGCCGCCGGGGAGCCGGGGGGACACAGCACCCCGGATTACTGGGGGTCAGACCCCCCAGGACTGAGGGCACAGACCCGTCCTCATGCCCGGCTTTGCTCCCCCACCTGCCGCCCGCCCGGCCACTCGATCTCCTCCCGCCCAGGACTGAGTGGCTGGACACGGTGTGGAGAAGGCGGCCGCGAATGGAGCGTTTCCCTGACGGGGACCCCTGAGCAGGGTGGGGGTCAGGCGAGACCCCTGGGGGCTGCCGGAAGGTGCAGAGGGCCCAGGACCCCGGAACAGCCCAGAGGGGCAGGAGCCCCTCAGAGTCGGGGCCCGGCCCGGGGCCGCCGCGTCTGCCGGACACTCAGCCCCTTGCGATGAGCCGGGAGCCCCGGCACCGGACCCCGCGCAGGGTACGGGCAGCCGGGGGCTGGGGGTCGCGCCTGGTCGGGCCCCGTCCAGCACACGCCGCCGAACAGATTCCAGAAATCCCTCCGCTTCGCCCGGAGACGCGGCGCACGTGGAGAACTCCGGGCGCGCGGGCACCAGGGGAGCGGACGGGGAGCGGGACCGGCCTGGGGGCCCAGCCGGGCAGGGGGTCTCAGGGCCGCCGTCCTCCTGAGCGGCCAGCACCGGGACGCCCATTGCACATCCGGGTAACGCCGGCCGCACTCACGTGGGGGTCCCCTAAGTCTCACTCACGTGACCCGGCAGCCCGCGGGCCGCCCCTCCGCGCCCGGCCGACTCACCCGCCGCGCCCGGCGTCCGCCGCTCCCCGCGCTCCCCGCCTCCCGCTCCTCTTCCTGCGCCGCCCCGCCCCCGCGCCCGCCCCCAGCCCGGCTGTCACCGCGCCGCCCGGCGGCTCCGGGCCCCAGCCCGCGCGCGCCTCCGCCTCCCGCCCCGGGAGCGACACGCCAGCAGGCCAATCGTCGCCAGGACTCGGCCTCAAGCCCCGCCTCCGGTCCCGCCCCCGCCAATGGGAAGGGCGGCGCGGCGGTTGCCTAGCAGCAGCGGGGCTGGGCGGGGGCGGGCGGCCGGGGGCGGTGATCCGGGCGCAGCGGGGGCGGGGCCGGGGCGGGGCTTGCGCAGGGGGCGGGGCGTGAGGGGCATATAAAAGCGGCCGCCGCCGAGCGCCGCGCTCCGTGGTCCGCGCCGCGCGCCCTGTGTCCGTCTGCGTCGCCGCCGTCGCCGCCCGCGCCCCCGCTCCGGTCTGTGGTGCAGCCGAGACCCGGCACCATGTCGCTGTCGCGCTCGGAGGAGATGCACCGGCTCACGGAGAATGTCTACAAGGTGAGTCCCCGGCGCGCACCCGGGCCGGCGGCCTCGGGGGAACGGGGGTGGTCTTCCCGGGGCAGCCAAGGACGGTCACAGGTGGTCGCGCCGCCCGCGTCCCGGCTCGGGGAGTGGAGGTGGGGGCGGCTCGGGCGCACCGCGCCTGGCAGAGGGGCGCGCGGGGGGCGGTTGGCGCCGGTGGCTTATGTAAGCGCGGGGGGGCGCGAGCACCTGTGTGGGAGGCCGGCGCCGCGCCCCGCGCCCCTGCGCTCCTGCGCCCCTCGGCTCTGCGCCCCTGGGCTCTGCGTCCCTCTGCTCTGCGCCCCTGCACTCCTGCGCCCCTCTGCTCTGCGCCCCTGCACTCCTGCGCCCCTCTGCTCTGCGCCCCTGCGCTCTGAGCTCCTGCGCTCCTGCGCCCCTCTGCTGTGCGCCCCTGCGCCCCTCTGCTGTGCGCCCCTGCGATCTGCGCCCCGCGCCCCTCTGCTCTGCTTTCCTTTGCTCTGCGCCCCGCTCTCCTGCGCCCCTCTGCGCCCCGAGTCCCTCCGCTGCCTGTGCCCGTGCGCCCCGCGCCCCGGAGCTGGCCATGCCCCCCGCGATGGCCCTGGGAACCGGCCGGGGCCGTGGGAGAGCGGGAGGCGAGCGGGCTCCGTGGTACGCAGCCGCCGTGTGCGGGCGAGCTTCCTGAATTATTAGTCATTAGTTCCCTGGCGACTCGCGTTCTGCCGCCAAAGCCACGAATCGGGAACTTCAGGGTGCGGGGCTGGAATCCTGTGGCGGCAGGGCGTTGGGGCTGGCCGACCCCTGCTGGACGGCTGGACACCCCTGCGCCGGGCGCCCGCCGCCCCGCTGCCTCCCCGTCCCTTCCGGGAGCCGCTCCCGGCCCAGGCATTCCCCCTGGCACTACCCGGCCGTGTTTGCCTTGGCAGGCCCGGCTGCTTGTCCCTGGCCCCGCTGAGTACCGTGCGAGAATGAAATGTTGGCTCGGTCCCCTCTCTGGAGGACTTTGACCCCGTTCCTGGTGGCTGCTTCCCCTGGGAGCGGGTCCCGGGGGATTTCATGAACACTGCCGGGGAGAGGAGCCCCGAGAGAGGGACGTGTGGGGGCCTGCTGTCCCGCGGGCCCCCCAGGACCCCTGCAGGCTGTCGGCGGGCCCTGGCCCGCTGAGGAGCCAGCAAACAGGTCAGGGCTCTCCTGGTCCTGGAGCTGAAACCAGTCAAGCCCTGGCTCCCGGGTGACACAGGGCCCCTGAGTGCTCCAGGCACCGTGCCGCTGGCCTCCGCCCTGCCCTGGCACGCGGGAGCTGTGAAAGCCTCAGGCCCCGGCGGGCAGCACAGCCCGAGTGGCCTCCGCCAGGTGCCAGCAGCTGGCTGGGCCCCGGTGGGCACGGAGTCAGGGCTGGTGTAATGGTGGACAGGGGCCAGGGCGGGCACGGGCTGCTCATCCTGCCCTTCTCCCACCTTGCCCAGGGGAGTGTTTGGGGCGCTAATGGGTTCAGACCCGTGCACAGTTCCACAGGGCTGAGCAACCACACCCCCAGGCAGGGAGGGGGGCCTCGCTGCTTCCAGCCTGGGCAGGGCAGGCTGGTCGGGAAGGCGGGAAGGTCTCAGCCTGGAGGGCCGTGGGGGCACTGCAAAGGGTCCTACTGTGTGTGGGCTGTGTGTGCAGAGCTGCTTGTGTGTGGGGGGGCTGTGTGTGTGGGTTGTGTGTGTGTGTATGGGCTCCGTGCAGAGCTGTATATGTGGGGGGCTGTGTGTGGGCTGTGTGCAGTGCTAAGTGTGGGCTGTGTGCAGTGCTGTGGGTGAGTTGTGTATGTGTGTGGGGGCTATGTATGTGTGTGAGCACATACGTGTGGCCATCGTGTGTGTGTATGTGTGTGGGGGGGTACTTTGTTCCTGGACATGTCTGGGGCTGGCCCCTGGGGTTGGGTTGGCCGTCCTGGGGCCTGCACGTTCCCCCGTCCCCCCTCTGTCCCCTGGCCTTACCCCGTTCCGTTTTGGCAGGAGGGTGTCTCTCAGGGGCAGTGAGGGCAGTTTTCGGGGTGCTGAGCCTGTGCTGACCAGGCCCTGCGACCTTTGGAGGGGTCAGCTTGCCACATGAGAACCAGGGTGTGCTGTGAGAGCAGGGGCTGCTGGGAGCCGCGCGCCTGCTGCCCGCTCAGGCCCAGCCTGTCCGGAAGTCCACTGCCTGTCCCCCTGCCATGGGCAGCAGGGAGGGCCGGTGTGGGGCCTGCTGCTTCCCAGCCCTGGGGTCAGGCTGGGGAGCTGAGACGCTGCGTGCCTGGTCCTGCTTGAGGTCGCCGCCCACCCCCCTGGGAGCAGGCGCCGTGGACAGGGCCACCCGTGCCACCCAGTCATCTGCGCGCCGGCCGTTGCAGGGGACGTGGCCCTCCAGTGCGGACGCCTCGTGAGCAGTGGGGCTACCAGGTACTGCTGCTGAGCTGGCCTCTGCCATCTTTCCTTGGTCTCTGGGTGCGTCGCGGCCTATCCTGCCAGTGCCTGTAACTGCCGGCGGAGTGCCAGCCGGCACCTTTCCCACCGCACCTTCACCGCCCCCGCCCCAGCCTGTGTGTGACACGTAGCGACAATGGCTGGAGTCGGCCCCATGTCACGGGCCTGGCTGCTACCTGCCTTGTGACACCAGAGCCCCAGAAGTGCTTGGTCGTCCCCTAGCTGGGACCCTCGTCCTGCCTGGTCCCCTACGGGCAGCCTGTAGGTGGATGCAGGGTGCAGTGTCCTGCCTGGAAAGGCAGGGAGGGGCCTTGTGGGTGCTTGCAAGCTGGGGTGGGGGTGCCACGCCTTCTGTCCTCCCCTCAGGGTTTGGCCGATGGGAGGTTCGCCTTGCACGCCGCGGTGGGCCTGCGCCTTCCTCCCCACACCCGAGTGACCCCACCTGCCTTGGTGCAGCCACTCACCCTGCAGGGGCCTGGGCAGCTTGTGCCATCTCTGTCGCCAGCCACACCTCGGGGGGAGGCCTGTCTGGGCTGTGGGCTGCCTGCCGGTGTGACCTGGTCTGACCTCCTTCCAGCCTGGCTGTGTGCCTTGCGCCGCAGGCTGGTGGGCAGGGACCCCCGAGGCTCTTACGCTGTGCGGTCCTGGGGGCAGGGCGGCACTTGGAGAAGGGCGACCAGCCAGACCAAGTGTCCTGTGGTTGCTGAAGTAGGGGTCCCAGTGTCGCTCGCTCAGGGTGTTAAGCCAAGAGTTAGGCGTACAGGAAGGCCCAGTTCATCTTGGAGTTTCAGCACGTGTGCAAAAACGAGTCCTGGCTGAGGGTCTGAGGTCCCCAGCCCAACATCCAGCCCCAAGCCGCGGTGCAACAGCCTGGCCGCTCCCACGGGGCGGGGGCCAGGGAACTGCTGCCTGGGGGGGCGTGGACCTGGGGTCCCTCTCGGAGTTCCCTCTGGCCAGGGCAGCTGTCTCTGGCAGAAGATTTCTTGTGTCTGTCAGCTTCCCTGCACGCCCACAGAGAGCCCCCATGCTGGGCGGGGGGAAGGAACCTTGCGGCCGGGCAGGGAGCCTGGTGCCCGAGCCAGCACAGAGTGGCACTCGTGGTGTGTGCTGGCACAGCCTGAGGTCTGCGGTGACCACCCTCGCCCTCGGGAGGCGCCAGCCCCCTTGCGGCTTGGTGTAGTTCCTGTCCCGTGGCTCCGGGCGCGTTTCCATTCCTGTGCCACCATGTCGTGAATAATCCAGCAGGACGATGGCGTGCTTCCTGGCACAGCGACAGCGTTGGGGAAGTGGCGGCCAGATTGTGGCCTGAGGGGCGGAACGTCCTCAGGAGCGGCGGCCTGCTGCAGCCCAGTGTCCTACCTGTGGGTCCGAGGCCAGCGGGAGGAGGGGCTGCCTCCCACCCGCTCCTCGGCTTCCTCTTCCTGCAGCGGGCCAGAGCTTGCCCCCAGGAAGAGGCGAGGCCGGCAGTTCCTGGGCCCTGCTGCTACAGGCAGGGCTGTCGGCTCTCAAGCCGGCCTCTCCAGCCTGCCCCGGCTGCCAGGTCTCCTCGGCGCCAGGGTCGGGCCACAGCCCGGAGGTGGGACATCGTGGCCATGCTGGCAGCCTGGCTCCCTCCCCTGTGGCCCCGGTGCTGCCGTCCCCGGGCGTGGCTGGCCTTGTCCAGGACCAGTGGCCACCTGCCACCCTGGTCACCCCGGAGACCCTGTCTGCAGACCCAGCCTGGGTCAGTGTGTCTGAGGGGCATGCATTTACCCACAGCGCCCAGCCTTGGGTGGGCACCTCCCAGCCTCATTGCAGCAACCAGCCCTGCCCATCCTGTGCCCCATCCTCAGGCTAGGCCACAGGCAGCTCCCACACCACGGAACCACGCTGTTATGTCACGATCAAGCAGCGCTGCCCGCACGCCTCCACCTGCAGGTGCCTCTTGAGGTGGAGTGGCTGGCGGTGAGGCCCATGGCCCAGGCACACAGGAGTGCGGGCAGGGCCTGATGGGGGGCTGCTGCCCCCGGGAGTTGGGCTGGTCAGTCCGTGGTGTGAAGGGCATGTGGCCAAGGTCTGGCTTCTAGCGTGGGGTACCTCCATACCCAGCCTTGCCAGGCGCTGTCACAGGCGTGACTATGGCCCTTGGGGTCATTGCCTAGGGATCAGACTGGAAGAAGCCAGCAAGGGGTGGGGGCACAGTGTAACAGGAGGACAGGGGCGTGGGAATTTGGGTGACCTGCGAGAGCCCAGTCTGAGTGGAACGGCTGCTCTGCCTCGCTGTGCTGGGACAAGGGACCAGCTGCGGCCACTTTGGACCATAGTCCCGCGGTGGTCTGGAGCAGACTGAGTGGGCAGGGGGCAGGGAAGGAGCCCCTGCTTGCTGCCCCCACATGCCCGTTAAACCCAGACACAGCCAAATGCAGCGGTGTCCCCATGGTCACACTGGAGTTGGAGCCGCTCCCTCGTGATGGGCTGGCCCTCTGCCCTCACAGACCCCCTGAGAGGCTGGGCTGTCCCTCTGCCCCATCCGCCCCCTGGCCTGCTGCCTGCACACCTCCGTACGAGTCCCACATGGCCGCCCTTCCTGAGGCGGGCCTCCACCCCGCAAGGCAGGGATCCTAAGGCTCGGAGTCCCTGGCTTGGGGTATAGTCTGGCCCTGCACACATTGGCTTAGGCACAGCTTGCTTCCCTGGGCTGGGCAAGGGTGTGGAGGGACCTGGGGGGCTGGGGGGGCAGAGGTGTCGGCATGCGGGTGCCTGACCTGTTTCCATCTTAGAACTGGGGTGTCTGTCCTAGGGGATCTTTCTGAATGGAATGAAGCCCTGTCTGGGGCTCAGCGAGTGCCACTCACGCCTGGCCCCTGGAGCGGTCAGGCCCTGCCGTGGACGCGGGTGCAGCCCCAGCTGAGCCTCTGCGTGTGTCCATGCCCTCTCCCGACCCCCAGAGTGCGTGCAGGGGAGGTGTGTGGGTGCCAGCAGCAGCGCCTGGAGAAGCTGTGCGTTACCCTCCCCCCGGGAGGGAGCATGGGGCACTGATGCCCCGTCCTCGCTGGAGGAGCTGGGAGCCAGTGAGGCAGCCACCCGCCTTCTCCTTGGTCCACGGGACCGCTGGGGGAGCAGTGACGTGCACCAGGGGACTCTGGAGGGCCCCCCAGGTGGGACTGGCTCCTTTTGAAGGGCGGGGGCGTCTCCAGGCTCAGGGTGCCTGGAGGTGATGGCGGAGCCGGAGAGGTGCCCTAGGCGGACAGTTGCCTATAAGTTGCCGTGTGTCACCTCTGCCAGCACTCAGCTGCAGGGGCCCCAGTGTGTGCAGGCCGTGGGCTGCCTGTGTGTCACCTGGAGACTGGCTAGCTGCCTCTGTGCCTCCCTTGGGCTCTGGGGGGCTCCCTGCCTGTCTCCTGGCCCAGCTGTCGGGCATCTGTGGCACACATGCCTGCCACTGGGGCCTCGAGCGCAGACCTGCATGGCTCGCGGCCCACCAACATGGTCACAGGCAGAGGAGTCCACCCAGGCCAGTGTGCCCCGTGGCCAGAATCTAACAGGCTCCAGACCCCTTTTGCCCTGTGCCTGTGTGACCACCCAGCCCTGGTTCGGAGGCCTGCATGGTGCCCCTGCCCCCTTGCGTATACCCCTGGAGCACCAGGCACCCTTCCTGGCCGTCCCTTCCCAGGGTGGGCATGGCCTGGGGAGTCTAACGTCTGTCTGGGCTGTTGGCCAAAGTCCAGCCTGCCCTGGGCAGCCGGAGAGGTTGGGCAGGATTCCATCCGAGTCCTCCTCCAAGCACGGCCAGCCCCGGGATCCTCCTGGGCTGGGGCTGGCCGTGGGCGGCGCGGGTCGAGCTGGTAGCGGTCCCGTTCGGCTGTTGTTTGTGGTGCCTGGTTTTACGCCTTGTAATTAAAACGTTGATTTGGCTTTGGCGGCGGAATCTGAGAGCTGCTGATGCTGGCACGAGACGGCCAGCAGCCGGGCAGACGGCGCGGAGCCCGCAGGACGTAAGAGGACGGCTGTCACCAGGCGTTGGCCTGCAGCCGTGGCCCCCATGCCAGCACCACCTGCTCTGCGTGAGCCCCTGGGCTCCGTCTGTCTCGGCCTCAAGGCACAGATGTGCACTGAGGCCTGGGGGCTGGGGCCAAGGGCAGACCTGGGGCTGGATCCTGGGCATGCCTGCCTGGCTCATGGGCTCCCCGAGAAATGAGCCCCACAGGACCGTGCCCTGCAATGCCTTTTTTTTTTTTTAATTTTAAGGTGTATTTGTAAATCTGATTTTCCAATAATAACAGAGAAGTGGAGAGACAGAAAGATCTTCCATCTGCTGGTTCTCTCCCCAAGTAGCCAGGCAGCTGAGCAACTCTGAAGCCAGGAGCCCAGAGCTTCTCCCAGGTCTCCCACGTGGGTGCAGGGTCCCAAGGCTTTGGGCCGTCCTCACTGCTTTCCCAGGCCACAGGCAGGGAGCTGGATGGGAAGTGGAGCAGCCGGGACTCGAACTGGTGCCCGTATGGCATCCTGGTGGTTGTAAATCAAGGCTGTGGTCATTAGGGCCTGGAACACCTGGGCCTGGAACACCTTTTATTTTTCTATTTTAAATTGTTTTTTTTATGAAAGATTGTTAATGTGTTTGAAAGGCAGAGAGATCTTTTATGCACTGGTTCACTCCTGAAATACTCACCATGACTGGGGCCTGCCAAAGGCGAAGCCAGGAGCGCCATGCAGGTCTCCCGCATGGGCACAGGGCTGTGAGCACTCGGCCCGTGTCGTCCCAGGCACATCAGTAGGGGCTGGATGGGAGGTGGAGCACACGGGCTTCAAGCTGGCGCCCCGGGCTGTCTGCGCTGTGCCGCCACGCGGGCCTGTGACATTCTTCCATCTCGGCTTCTTCTAGACCATCATGGAGCAGTTCAACCCCAGCCTGCGGAACTTCATCGCCATGGGGAAGAACTACGAGAAGGCCCTGGCAGGTACGAGTGCGCGCCTGGTGCCCGTGAGCCCGGCTGGCAGCTCCTGTCGCTGTGCAGCACGAGGTGGCAGCCGGAAGCAGAGCTTTCAGGAGTCGGTCCTGTGGTCACCTGCACCCTGGGGCGTGGGCCGTGGCAGCTTTGGCTTTACCTCCCAGAGGGTGCGGGGGAGGGTTGGTGGCATCACCTTGGCCGCTGGCACGGGGCGTCTGGCTCGCTGTGTGGCACCCACGGGCCGGGTCCTGCTACCGGGCCTTCCTGGGCCTGAGCACAGCCCTGAGCCAGCCCCTGCAGCGGGTGGGCTGCAGCCAGAGGCCAGGCCACTCAGCTCTTGGCTTTCTCCGGCTGTCACCCCCACGGCCCTCCAACACTCTCGGCCAAGCGGACGCAGCTTCTGAACAGAAGGGAAGGGAGCCTGGCCCGGCGGTGGGGGTCCTTGATGGTTGATGAGCAGCTGCTGTAGTGGCCCGGTTGGGTCTGGGGCCACCCAGGGTGGAAAGTTCCATGAGGCTGCACCCAGGGGAGTTGGGTGACTGTGATGGCCACTCTCCTGGGGCCTCCCCTGGTGGGGGACACGGTGCTGCATGGACTGGGCCCCGGCTTCTTTCGGACCCTCAGGTCTCCGTTGAGGGCTGGGCAACTTCCTCTCTGCTGCCTTCCTGCGTCGTGGGGGCTGGGTCCAGACCCCCTCTCTGGTTCTAGCTCTTTGATACTGGCCCTGCTTCCTTCCCCGGCATCCTGGCGAGGCCGGGCTGCAGGGATGGGGCTCTCCTCCCTCTTCCTGTTTCCTGGCCGTCCCTTGGGACGGAGTGCTGTGCGGGTCCGCCCTGGCTGCGGTGGCGTCCCTGGTGCCAGGAGCCTCCCGGCAGCTGTGTTCAAGCTATGGGGACGGACGGGACCTTGTGTCCCAGAGCAGACCCGATGGTGTCAGTCAGTGCGACACAGCCCCAGATGCACGCCCCTCAGGCCTTCGGTCCCACACAGGACAGGCCCCTGGGCAGCGTCTCTCCCTCCTGGAGCCTGAGGCCGGGTGGCGAGGTGTTTGCCAGATTTGGGGCAGCTGCAGCCCCGGGAGGGGGGGCCTAGGAGTCTGCAGCAAGCCACAGTGCCCACCCCAACCTAAGGAGGCTCCTGTGGGGTATGCCTTCAGCCCCTCCCCTGGTACTCCCCTCCCAAGGCCAGGAGCCATTTGGGGACCCCACTCCCCTAGGAGGCCAGCCTGGCCCAGCTGCTGCCTAGATGCTGTGTCTGTCGCAGGGTGCTCATCCCCATTGAGAGGAGCCTGGCACTGAGGCCCCAGCAGCTGCAGGCCAGCACCAGGCACCAGACACTGGGCACAGTACCCCTTGGGTGGCTTGAGGGGAGCAGGGAGGCCTTGGCTTGCTGGGGGCTGTGCAGACAGAGGCTGGTACAACGTCCTCTGGTTGCAGGGTGCCCACTTGGAAGGAGGTGACACCCCCTTCCCTGTCCTCACAGGTGTGACGTTCGCTGCCAAAGGCTACTTCGATGCCCTGGTGAAGATGGGGGAGCTGGCCAGCGAGAGTCAGGGCTCCAAGGAGCTGGGTAAGGTTCCTGGTGGAGCGTGCCGTCCCATAGGTCGGGGCTTTTGTCTGTGTGGTCCTTGGGTGGGAGTGGCAGCTGCTTAAAATGGCCCCAGCCCTGTGAGCTACCGAGGCAACGAGGGGTGCCTCCAGCTTGGGGAGCCCAGGCTGCTGCCCACCTTCCAGGGCCACCCACCAGCATACACGGTAGCAAAGTGGGCACAGCCACATGGGCAGGTGTCCAGGGCAGGCTGTCGGCAGCTGGTACGGGAACACCCTGGACGGTCAGACCGCAGGGCAGCAGGGAGATATGGGATCGCTCCCTACTGCGAGCAGGACGCCAAACAGACGACCCAGCTGCTTCCATGTCCAGCAACCCAGGGCCTGGCCAGGACCCTGACACTGTGGTCAGTTGCCATCTGGGGCAGAGAGGCGCAGACTGGCTGTCAGCGGGGACATGGGACGGGCCGAGCGCTGCATTAGTGCCCCTGGCCTTGGACCACAGAGCACTGAGCTGTGGCCCGTGAGCTCCTGGCTTGGAGTGGGGGCTGGGGGTGGGCAGCCAGGACACCACATGCAGATGCGCAGGCGGAAACAGGTCACGGTGGCAGAATGGGCACACACCCTGTTCTGTTGTGGTTTTCCTGGGGACTGCCCTGGGCTGGTGCTGACCGGCAGGGCCACCAACCCTCAAACCCATCACACAATGAGCCTGCGATGGGAGGCCGTGGGCCCGGGAGCGAGCCTGCCGTGGGAGGCCGTGGGTCTGGAGCGAGCCTGCCGTGGGTTTATAGTTCTCACCTGGGCCAGGTCCAGTTCATGGGTCATACCCAGCAGGCTGAGCTCCTGCAGAGGGTGACCCCGTTGGGTGCCCGGGAGGAGGCTGTGGCTCTTGGCAGCCCACGGGGACCTGAGGGCTGACACCCTGGGTGCGGTCTCAGGTGGACCATGGCCAGTCACGTGTGCCTGGGTGGTCAGGGCTCTCCTGTGAGGCTAGTGCTGCTGCTTGTGTTCCTGCACGCGGGACCACCCTCACCCCCAGGGCCATTTCCTGGCATTCACTGCTCTGTGTCTCCATGGGTGGATAGCACCAGGTCCTCCGTATCTGGGTGCGTGCTCCCTGGAGCAGGTCTGGGGTTCGTGGTTCTGTGCCCCCCGAAGGTGCTGTCCTCAGGGCTTGGGTGTAGTGGGCTTGGCAGACCCCACGTGTGCTGCACAAGGTGGTGGGCTCTACGTGTGTGCCTCAGGAGCCCCAGCTCTGTCCAGGCCGTGGACCTGCCCAGCCCAGACGGGCCTGTCGGGGCAGCTGGGGACCCTATGGCCAAGGTGCTGTGGAAGTGGGGTCTGCCATGTCTGCTCCTGTCGGTCTGCACGTACAGCCTCGCTGCTTCGCTTCTGGGTCCGTGGCTGGGTAGGGGGCCCCCGCTTCTGGGTCCGTGACTGGCTGCTGGGGCCCCCGCTTCTGGGTCCGTGGCTGGGTGGGGGGCCCCCACTTCTGGGTCCGTGACTGGCTGCCGGGGCCCCCGCTTCTGGGTCCGTGGCTGGGTGGGGGCCCCCGCTTCTGGGTCCGTGGCTGGGTGGGGGGCCCCCACTTCTGGGTCCGTGACTGGCTGCCGGGGCCCCCGCTTCTGGGTCCGTGGCTGGGTGGGGGGCCCCCGCTTCTGGGTCCGTGGCTGGGTGTGGGGCCCCCGCTTCTGGGTCCGTGGCTGGGTGTGGGGCCCCCGCTTCTGTGTCCGTGATACTCACTTTTGTTTCCTTCTGCGCTCTGCTCTGACACTAAGCTGGGCCTGGCCAGGGCGGGCCCAGACTTTCCAGGACAGAGCTGGTCCTGTAAGGCCGTGGGAGTTAGGGAGACACGGGCCAGGGTCTCGCTGGGCAAAGGAGCGAGTGGCCGTGGCTCGCGGGGTGGGTCGAGCTGCTGGGTCTCGCTGGACAGGGGAGCGAGTGGCCGTGGCTCGCGGGGTGGGTCTTGCTGCCTGCACAGCTGTCTTCCTGGTGGGTGTTGCCTTCCCGACTGTCTCACTGTTAGTGTTTTGCTTGGGGCCAACTCTGCTTTCCTCCGTGACTTCCTGTGGGCAGTCCAGGCAGTGCTGGGCCCAGGTCAGCTGCTGGTGCCTGGCTCCGGGAGGGGTGCAGTGCCCCTGCTAGCAGAGTCCTCAGGGGAGGGGCGGGCCAGTCGGGCAGAGGGGCTCCACCTTGACACAGACGCCCCCACTCCCTCTGAGACCTGCCTGCCTGGGCCCCTGGGTGCTCCTCTGCCGCCTCTCCTGCCAGACCCTGTCCCCGCCCACACCGCCGGCTGGGCTCCCACGGTAAAGGACAGCAAGGACGGGGGTCCCAGCAGCAGTCCTGTCCCCCAGGACAGCCAGGCTGAGGCCAGAGCCCTGCCTCGAGCCAGGAGTACTCCAGGCAGGCGTCCCCGCTTCCGGGCGGGCCCACGGAATCCCTGCTTCCATAAGCAGCCACTTCTCCGACGAGTCAGCAGGAGGCTGAGAGGCTGCGCCACATCTGCCTTTGGTCCCGCTGGCCTCTCTGTGCCTGCAGTGCCAGCGGGCGTTGCTCCCCGCGGAAGGGGCACGCAGAGGGCACAGCGGCGCTGGCCTGCAGCCAGGGTCCCTCCCAGGCCTCCCCCCGGGAGTCCTCCCTGTTGAGCGGGGGCGGTGCCTGCTCCCCAGCCTCCTCCGAGCCTACCAGTGCTGTCCCTGCCCAGGCTTGCCCGCACGTTCATTGCCAGGGAGTCCTGCTGCCGCAGCCTCTGTGACCCAGGCTCCCCGTGTACACACCGGGTTCCTGGCTCCGGGCACCCCCGTGCCTGTGGGCATGGGAGCTAGAACTGAGTGCTCGCCCCCACTCCCTGGGCCTGTCCCACCTGCTGGCACCCATCTGTAGCCCAGGGCCTATGGGGCGAGTGTGGGGCGGTACTCCTGGGCTCCCGCACACTGCTGGCCTGGATATGTTTGTGTCCCCGTCCCAGGTGCAGCTCTGCCGAGAGCCCTGGGCCCCTCGGAAGGCCTTGGTCTCTCCTGGGAGAGGTGTTTGGTCCGCTTGTTTATGACCTAGGGCATGTGTGTGCTTGCCTGGCATGCCCCGGAGCTCCGTGCTGGGCGCAGCCGCAGAGCAGGGTGCTGGCTGCAGGTGCCAGCGTCCCCACCCAGAGCTGTGGGCTGGACTCGGTCACTGAGTCACTGAATCCAGGTGCAGCCCAGTGGCAGCCGTCCACACCCTGCCCTGGCATGGGGAGCCGGGAAGCATTCCAGCGGCCAGCCTCGGGGGGACAGCCCCGTGGGGCCGGGTGACTTCCGTTCCACCTTGCAGGCACAGGGAGGCCCCGTCCCATCCCCTGGGCTCCTGCTGGCTTGCCTGTCCTCTGACCAGCAGTGAGGCTGGGCTGGTGGTCTGGCTGGCCTGGGCAAAGCCCTCAGCCCTGGCATGATGCAGGCAACGGCTCTGGCCCTTCCCCGGGGCGTCTGTCAGAGGTGGCACTTGCCATCAGACCTTAACGACAGGGCTGGCATTGGGACACCACGTGAAGGCCTTAATTAGGGTCACATGAAGGGGGTGAGCTGGTTTCTCATTGTCCTGGGGTGACGGGTGGCAGGCTGGGCCGCCTGACCAGGGCCTGGGCTCGGGGCGGCCAGCACTGGCCACCCCATGTAGCCCTTGTCATGGGAGAGAGATTAACGGGTGCCGTGATTGGATCTGCTGGGCTCTGGGTCACGGCTCAGTGTCCTGCCGCTTGGCAGGTGTGGCGGGAGGTGGACCGCCAGCCGGGCTGCTGGCCGCTGCCTCGGAGCCTGGCTTCTGCCTGGGAGGAAATGAGGAACCCTCTGTGGGCAGGCGCGCCGGCCTCTCCCTGCAGGTGAGTGGGTGGGGCGCCGGCCGGATTGCCCAGGGCCGGGGCCTGCTGCTGTGACACTGTTCAATTGCCTCTCCCGGCTCTGGAGGTGCAAGCATGGCATGGCAGCCTGGTGGGGCGGCAGCCAGCACCTGTGTCCCATGAGGCCAGGGCAGGCCTGAGGGAGTGTCCCCAGGGAGGGTTGATGGCCACCGCGCAGCTGATGTGAGGCATGGAGGGGCTTGCCTGGCAGAGGCTGCCATGCCAATGCCAAAGCCTCAAGTGACACTTGGCAAGCCCTGGCAAAACAGCCCTCAGGGGTCTGCCCAGCCTGGCCGCCAGCAGGACTGAAGGTGGGGCAGTCAGCTCCCAGCAGGATGCCCCTGTGCAGCCCCTTCTTCCCCAGCTCCTAACCTCCCACTGCTGCTGCGGAGTCACTGCCTCAAGTCTGCAGAGGAAGCCTGTGTGAGCTGCAGCTCCTGGGTCTAGGGTGCAGGTAGGGGCCAGCCAGGGTGCTGGGCCCAGGGGTGCAGGTGGGGACCAGCCAGGGTGCTGGGCCCAGGGGTGCAGGTGGGGACCAGCCGGGGTGCTGGGCCCAGGGGTGCAGGTGGGGACCAGCCGGGGTGCTGGGCCCAGGGGTGCAAGTGGGGTCAACTGGGACCCTCGCAGGGGTGTCTGTGGTCCCAAGCGTGCCCTTAAGCTCCGCTGTGGCATTCTGACCCTTTCCATCCTTTGAGTCACGTGGTTTGCAGTGTGGTATAGGAAGCACCGTGGGTTGGGCTGGCCCCCCTCCGGTTCCCTCGTGGGGCTGAGCGGTCAGCGGACCCTGGTCATGCAGTCTTGAGCATGTTGTGTGCACTGGAAGTGTGTCATGCTCACACACGTAGCATGCGGCTGAGGTAGCCTACACGTGTGCGCAGATGCTGACTCTCCGGGGCCCGTGCTGAGCTGGCCACGCCTCGTGTGCCCATGGCGTCTCCGTGGAGTGCTGGGGGACGATGGGCAGGGCATGGTGGCCAGCAGGGAGGCGTGCACACAACAGTGGCCACCCGTACCTTCCCACTCTGTCCTTGACTCCCAAGGTGGGCTCCTGGGGCCCTGGGACTGGCTCAGCGTCCTCTGGCTCGGCCCTCTGGGTGACTGCTCTGACACTGGGGTGAGAGAAGGACCGGATGCAGGGGTGACCG